TGTAGGATTCCAAGGTTGGATATGGAGATGTTGATCAGTGCACGGAGTGTCCGACTTTGTACTACATAAGCCTCCCGCAGGTTAGTGCTTGGCGTTGGCTTCGATTGTTATGCTTATTTAAGGTGAATCACTTGATTATAGAATATGCAGTTAGTTTTTTAGGATTCAAGCGTTTTGTGCAGTCTGGTTTTAGATATCGGTTATGTCTGTAGTGCGCGGATATATATTTCTAAAATTAGTACTGTGGTATCCTCAATTGCTTAGTGGAATATATTCAGATAATGAAATGCTTCGTTTTTCTTAGTAAGGGATAGAAATAGAATCCAGAGTGCTGCAATCCTCCATAGACATTAGGCAAAAGGAGAGAGAGGAAAAATAACAGGCAATGCCATGCGACAAAAAAAAAAAAAAAAAAAAAAGATGTACAGTAAAAGGAAAATATGCTACAAGAAGGGATATCGTCGCAAGCCCAAAAAGCGGTCGTGAAAAGAAACCAAATCAAAACAAACACCAAATAATTCCGTTTTCGAACATGCTCAAAGGATAATGACAATGCTCGTCAATGCCAGACAAAGAGTGACCAAAACTGTGGCCCTGGTTGTAGGGGCAAAAACCGAAGAAGCAGAAGATGATGCGCCATTCTTCAACTGGGCCAAGGTAACGTTTTTAGAGTTGTAACCACAGAGACCACTGCCTTCCATGTATTTCACGGGCCAGAACACTCGGGGCTCGCCCTTGTCCATGTCGACTTTCAAGGAGCCAAAATTATCGGGCGTGTAGGTTTTGCAGTTCAGGATTTCCATGATGCTGGTACCGGCGTTATAGCTGTTCTTCAGATCCACTTCGTAGGCGCCACTGTTTGAGCCTTGGGTCGAGAGCATCATTATGACTTGTCGACCTTCGACACCTTTCGAGAATGCAAGCTCACTTGCGCCCTGGTAGACAGGGCGTGTTGTTTGGTCAAAGTAGTCACTGCCGAGTGAGTAGACATGCTTGCGGAGCTTGTTAAGTTTGGCGATTAGCTGGTAGAGCTCAGCGTCGGTATTGTATCCCGAGAGCCAGACGGCTTCTCGATCCTCGGGTGGGTCGCCTCCTTTGAAGTGCTGCTCTTGGCCTTGGTAGATCATGGGGATTCCGTCGAAGAGGAGTGTGAAGACCAGGACGTTTTTGGCCGTCTGTCAATCAGTCTGGTTAGTAAGGATAATTTGCTGCAAGGCGGGTTTGCATACCGCCGTATCATTGGACATGCTCCCAATGCGAGGTTTGTCGTGGTTCTCAGAGAAGGATACAAGTGCATTGACGTCCGGACAAGACTGCTTCATGGCCTCCACCTCGAGGGCTAACACGCTTGTGTTTCCCATTGTAAAAGCCTGCAGCATTTGGAAGTAAATCGGGTAGTTTGGCATACTACCAATGTATTCTGTCTGGTAATGCGAGATGATATCCACGGCACCTTCGAGAACCTCTCCAGTACTGAATACGCCGACATTCTTGCAGAACCTCGTGAGGAATCCGGAGTCAACGTGCTTGGCGGCGTCAATACGGAGACCGTCAATGGAATATGTCTTGATGGCATTTTTGGCCCAGTCGATGAGAAGGTTTTGGACATCTTCGTGCTCCGTGTAGAGATCCGGGAGTGGGACGTTGAGATCACCAGTTTGACAGTTTTGTGCATCTGTGAAGTTGTTCCAGTCCGTAATCTTGCAGTAAGGGTGGAAATAGTCCTTGTTATTGAAAGGGTTGAAGACTGTGTAGTCGAGTTCCTTGTTCGGGTCGGTGCCGTTGGGGATGATTTGGGCCATGTTGTTGATCACCGTATCCATCATCAGATACATGCCACGTGCATGAAGGGCATCACTGAGATCGAGCAGATCTTGGTGTGTACCGAAGCGTGCGTTGAGAGCGTCGAAGTTCACCGGCCAGTATCCATGGTAGGCCTCACCGTACGACACTCGACCTTTGATATTGTCGATGATAGGGGAGATCATGACGGCATCGAAGCCCATTCCTTCGATGTAGTCGAGTTGGTTAATCGTCCCCCTCCACGTGCCTCCGCAGTACAGCCCATCCTTAGTGTTGCAAGGGGAAGTTGTTGAGTTATCTGTGCGAGCAAAACGGTCTGTCATGGTCTGGTAAACGGCCCTTGACTTCCAGTCTGCCGTGGACGCGGCGGAGGCCAACGTGACCAGGCCCAGCAGGGCCAGTAGGAATGACATCATGAGAGGTTGAGAAGGAAAGAGCGAAGAATGAAAGAAAGAAAGAAGGGACGACCTTAACTTCAAGGTCACGGAGGAGGACGAACGAATGACATGTGGACTGTTGAAGCTGGAAAGAGGAGAAGGAGCAGGTTTCTACGGCGAAAATGGGGGAGGGGCCCTAAGTTCTGTGCAAGTCCGTCGATCCATAGAACCTTTTTTTGAGCTAGCACTAGACTATTCACGCGCCGGATATCCATGACAGCTGTTGCCCAATCCTACTGTGTTATTGGCTTCACATCTTGATCCCCCGCTCCCCGAATAGAGTGGCGTGAAGACTGAAGAGATCCCCCATGTCCACCAAAATGATGGCCCCCAGACTATCCACGATGGTGCAGCCTACCGTTGCATCCAAAGAATAGTCGCGCCGGACTTCGACACTAGACAGACACTAGACAGACACTAGGCAAGGGTGGGAAAAAGAAACCCGACTACCTCGGCCTCTGGTGGAGATATAATAAAGTGTGCAACGCACAGGGCAAGGGCCAGGGCTGATATGCCAACGCTCACAGAGTACAACTACTACACTCACTCCAATAACCTTGGAAATAACCGATTGGCACAGTGAGTTTTCCAGTTACATTGAGACTGCCCCTGAATGCCCGAGCACTCGGAATGGTGATTGATTTGTTAATGCGGGAAATTCCATGTTCGGTGGCTGAGACACACTTGTGCCCTAATTTCAGAAGCAGCAGTAGTCACGTTCCCGTCACAAACAATCACCAACTTCGGATGGGCCAATGATCCGGGACAACGTCCCATTCTTTTGACACTAGCGGATTTTGCTCCCCCACGAAACAAAAACTGGGAATAACTGGGAATAGATACGGTAGTAGTTCGGTACATGTCCTTTTAACTTACTATGTGATACATAGGAGGAATCGGGGGAAATCCGAGAGCGACGCCGACTATGAATAATCGAGAGGGCCTTTGCGCATGCAATCTTAATGGTCTGACGGGGCGTAGAGTCCGGACCAGTCTAGTGATTTTAGATTCAGAGATACTGCAGCAGCCAGGCAAGAGTGGCCAATCCCAAGAAAACAAGGCAAAAACTAAAAAGGAAAATGCAATTAGGATAGATAAGTCTCTGTGGAGCGACTCTGCATCCTGATAGATAACTGGGAGTACTAATTCCGGGTGGCTGTACCAGTGGCTGCCTTTTGGAATTTTGACATCCTGTGTGAGGAGTTCATGCGTGTTCGCAACGGTCGAATATAGTAGAGCAAGACATTGGGGGCCGTACCTGGCATTGTCGGCCTGTTCCTCAATGTGGGGACCGGGGCAGAGATTTTCGTGATCTTAATTTCTTTTTAACTATCCGTTTTTCTTATTTTGGTATTGGGTTTTGCAAAAATACCAGGATCTGACACGGTATTGTAGTATTGTTGATAATACTGACCTGTCTTATCGAACCACATCGTACATGTACATTGACATGCATTTACATATAAATGCATGCATCGTATTCGGAGATTTCACAAAGATCTCCTGTGAAAACTCTGATTCAACTTTCGGGACTATTTCACTAATGCAGGTTAGGTAATTTAAGCGGAGCTTCAGAAGACTGAAAACTTGAAGGCACCGGGCTTCTTGGCATTGGAATTATCGGAATTTAGTGTGGATGTTCCCGAGATAGCCGTCTAATCAGGCCGTTCGATGCCCGAAACCCTGCCAAGACTCAAAAATACCAGGCTCCGCTGAGCTAAGCCTGATCAAAGAAGTGGGAAGGTCTCACACGTTGACCAATCGGCGGTTTCGGTATCTCGGATGGAGGATTGTGATCCGCTTATCGGGGCGCTAGTAATTCGCGTAAAACACGAGTTACAGGTTGTCTCAACTGAGACTCGGCCCGGAGGTCTCGGCAACGTCTTATGTAGATATCAAGAAAATGATATTTGTGAAAAAAGGTACACTGGTTCATGTGTGTGACAGGAACCGAATAAGCATGCAAGACAATGATCAAATGATCACCAAATAGATTCAGGGTCCAAAGTCAAGTCTATGGGTCTATTCAAAGAGCCGAGCCCCGTTATGGACGACCCATATTTATCTTTCCAGATCACTGGCCGAAGGCTTTCTTACTCGATCGAGCAAGGCTGCCTCGTTTTTCTTTTTTCTTTTTTCTTTTTTTTTTCTTTTTTGCCCTCGTATCCCATACATGCCAAACAGCGGTCGATTGTCAAGGCCCAGTGCAGATGTGACGAATGAGAATTGTACGTTAAACGAATGCAAGAATAAAAATGAAAATGAAAAGGCAAAAATACGGAGAAGCCCGTGTCTGGAGGACACCAAGGCTGATAGTACAATATGTCTGGGCTATCAGCACGAGCCTCAGCCTGTCTCATTTACTCCATGTTAAATCCTGGTTTATTTTTATCGAGAGCTTCATTACCCCAAAGCCACTAACTGAACCAGCCTCTTAGCTTCCTTCGGTTGAGGCGACCTTGTCTTTTTTCTTCTCAGCTTATTGCTTTCTCCTTCATCTTCTCTAGTTGTCATCTTTTCTCTCGTTTACTCTTTCCCACCTTTTGTCTCTCGTTCTTGCGTTGGCATCCTCCGCTATTCTTTGATGCCCCCGGTCTGGACATTACATCTCCCGACTTCCAGCATCCCGAGCCGCACATCTTTGCTCATGGCCAGTGAGAGCAGTGCAGCTCCGACTCTTGCATAGGGTGATTTACACTATCCTCCTCTCTCCGGTCATATTAGGACTGTCAGAGGCGCACATCCATTCCCCACGCAACCATGAAGTGGTTGTGCTCCACCGCGCTGATCTCGCTTTTTGCGACGACAGCAACGAGTTGGCCTTATGACGAGAACTTCCTTGACTACAACCTGAACACAAACAAGCAAGCAACAAATCCCGCAGAATATGATGGAACGTGGGATGGCCACGAAGGGAAATATAATCCTTCTCCCGATAACTGGCGTTTCCCGTTCTATACTCTGTTCTTGGATCGGTTTGTCAACGGCAATCCTGAGAACGATAACATTAACGGCACCTTGTTCGAGCATGACCTGAATTCGAACCAAATGCGCCATGGTGGTGATGTGGCCGGTTTGGTTGACACTCTGGATTATCTCCAGGGAATGGGCATTAAGGTGTGTTTTTCTCACCTGTTGCCATGGGGAGGCAATTACTGACCATCTCTAGGGTATCTACATCGCCGGAACTTCTCTTATGAACCAGCCTTGGGGATTTGACGGTTATTCCGCCTTGGACACAACACTTCTGGATCAGCACTATGCTACAATCTCGGAATGGCGCGACGCCATCACGGAAATCCACAAACGCGGCATGTACGTGTTGTTCGACAACACCATCGCTACGTAAGTCAACCTCGTTCACACTTATAAGAATCAAACTGACAGTGCATCTAAAGAATGGGTGATCTGATCGGATTCGAAGGACACCTCAACAGCACGACTCCATTTTCCGAAAAGGAATGGAAAGTCCAGTGGAAGACCAATCGCCGTTACGTTGACTTCGATGTCGGAAACGACTACAATGCCTCTTGCGACTACCCCCGGTTCTGGTATGAGAATGGAGAACCCGTCAATGAATCTATGACTGCCGGATTGGTTGGTTGTTACAACAGTGACTTTGACCAGTACGGCGATATTGAAGCCTTTGGTGTTTGGCCCGATTGGAAGCGCCAGCTGGCCAAGTTCGCCTCAGTTCAAGATCGTCTCCGCGAATGGCATCCTTCTGTTCGCGAACGTCTGATCCGTCACTCTTGCATGGTCATCAAGTCTCTTGACATTGACGGTTTCCGTTACGATAAGGCTACTCAAGCCACCGTGGATGCTCTCGGCGATATGTCTGAGGCTTACCGAGAGTGTGCCCGCGATGTCGGCAAGCAGAACTTCTTTATTGCTGGTGAAATTACTGGTGGCGATACTTTCGGTTCCATTTACCTTGGCCGTGGTAGACAGCCTAACCAAAACGCTTCTGACTCACTGGCTACTATGAAGTTGACAAATGAGTCTGATCCGCAATTCTTTTTGCGTGAGGTCGGCAAGGAAGCTATTGACGGTGCTGCTTTCCACTACTCGACGTATCGTACCCTGACTCGCTTCCTTGGTATGGATGGACAGCTTTCAGCTGGATATGATGTGCCTGAGGACTGGGTCGATGGGTGGAACACGATGTTGAAAACGAACGACCTGATCAACGCGAACACCGGTAAATTCGATCCTCGACACATGTTTGGTGCTACCAACCAGGATGTCTTCCGCTGGCCGGCAATTCAATGGGGTGTCGAGAGGCAACTGTTGGGCTCTTTTATTACCACCTTGCTTCTTCCCGGCATCCCGCTTCTGCTCTGGGGTGAAGAGCAAGCCTTTTACGTCCTCGATGCGACCGCGTCTAACTACATCTACGGACGCCAAGCGATGTCAGCAGCGACAGCCTGGAAGACCCATGGCTGCTTCGCATTGGACTCATCGCAATATTACCAGTGGCCCCTCGAGAAAGCTCGGCATGGCTGCGAGGACGATGCTGTCGCTTACGACCACCGCGACCCATCTCATCCTCTGCGCAACATCTTCAAGCACATGTTTCAAATGCGTGAAAATTTCCCGGTGTTGAATGACGGTTATACCATCTCCCACCTCTCAAAGCAGACGGAAGAGGTCCTGTACCCTGGTTCCAACACTACAACAACCGAGACCGGAATGTGGTCTACTCTTCGCGATGCCAACAGTGAGGTGCAGAACCTAACCGATAGCCAATCGATTTGGTTCATCTACCAGAATGTCAACCGAACAATGCACTGGACATTTGACTGCAGCAGCACCGATACGGAAAAGACATTGATTGCTCCTTTCGCATCAAAAACCAAAGTCAAGAATCTGTTTTATCCCTACGACGAGCTGACCCTGGAAGAAGGATCAACTAAGCAGGGCATCAATGGGTCTACAGAGTTCAATGGCTGTCTCTCCAAATTGTCACTCGACAGGTATGAATTCCGTGCCTATGTTCCGATCGACAAGCACGTCAAGCCCCGACCCATGGTTACTGAATTCTACCCTGGCCATGATGTTCCGATGCGCTCGACCGTCAAGCCGAATTCAGATGAAAGTATCAAGGTCGCATTCTACTACTCCGAGGAGATGGATTGTGACTCTATCACCAATAGCCTGAGTTTCAACTCGTCCACCGAGTTTGGCAAAAATCCCACGATCCAGTCCGGTACTGTCAACTGCACGAATATTCCCGCCACTGAGACATCGTATACCGGTCAGATCCCGAGTGTTTGGATGTGGTCTGCCAATCTCACCGGAGTGTACAATGGTGTCCACCGTTTGACTGTGAACAATGCAACCAACGCCGACAAGACTGCCTCGACAAACTCCGTCGACCACTTCCTTCTCCGCATTGGTCAGATTGATAACCCGATGGTTTTCAGCACTGCCAACTATTCCAGCAGTTTGTTCCACAAGGACGACAATGGCACTTTCTTTGTCCAGCACCACGCCGCAGGCGCCGACAAGTGGCGCTACTCTACCAACTGGGGAACAACCTTCTCCAGTTGGAAAACCTACACGGGTGGTAATGACACCGTTGACGAGCTTGACTGGTCGGGGACCAAGAAGCAGAGATGGAACGGTGACCACATCCGTGTCGAGTACTGGAGCCGTTGGACTGGCAGCAGTGACTACGTGCAGCAAGGCGATGTCGACACTGCCCAGACCCCCCGTCGTTTCCCTCATCTCTTCTTTAACGGCCCTTACAACCAGTATGGATACGATGCCGGTCTTAAGAATGAGGTCGAGCTCAACAAGGATACCGGATACTGGAACTACCATTTCGCTTCTGAATGGCCCGCAGTCGGACAGCTCAATGTCTGGGGTATCAACCCTGATGGCAAGCCTGATCAGAGTATGGTGCTTGGTGATGCCGACGGTGACAGCATTCTGGACCGCATGCCGCCGTCTTCTCTTTCCGCTACTCTGATCAACATTACCAAGGCTCCCATTGATGGTCATCTGGCATGGAAGTTCTACATCAACGATGCCACTCTCAAGTACAACCTTATCCCGGTTGGTGATCAGAGAATACAGATCGCCATGTTCGTCCTTTTCTGGATCATCCCTGTTCTTACCGGCTGTGGATGCGTCTATATCTTCATGAAGTCGTTCTACAAGGTCAAGTTCAACCAGGTCGGTGTCAGCGAAAAGCACAGCCTGGTTCCTCTCGCCTTTTGGAAAAAGCTCAAGCCCTCTCGCAACCGAGATCAATCCTCGAACCCTCTCATGCGCTTAGCGAACAAGTCTGGCTTCATGCAGAGCACGACAGCCCTTGGCAGCCTTGCCGCCTCCGGAAAACGCCGCATGGTCCTGATCGCGACTATGGAGTACGATATTGAGGACTGGGCCATCAAGATTAAGATCGGAGGTCTCGGTGTCATGGCTCAACTCATGGGTAAGACCCTCGGTCACCAAGACTTGATCTGGGTTGTTCCTTGCGTAGGCGGTATCGACTACCCCGTGGACCAGGTTGCGGAGCCCATGGAAGTTACTATCCTCGGCAGCGCATACCAAGTCCAGGTCCAATACCACGTCTTGAACAACATTACCTATGTCCTTCTTGATGCTCCGGTGTTCCGCCAACAGTCGAAGACCGAGCCCTACCCTGCTCGTATGGATGATCTGGACAGTGCCGTTTACTACTCAGCTTGGAACCAATGTATTGCGGAGGCCATCAAACGTTTCCCCATTGACGCCTACCACATTAACGATTACCACGGATCCCTGGCTCCTCTCTACCTCCTGCCAAACACCATTCCCGCCTGTCTCTCTCTGCACAATGCCGAGTTCCAGGGTCTCTGGCCCATGCGAACCCTCAAGGAAAAGCAAGAGGTCTGCTCAGTTTTCAACCTCGACGAGGATGTCGCTCGTCGGTACGTCCAATTTGGTGAGGTATTCAACTTGCTCCACGCCGGAGCCAGTTACCTCCGTGTTCACCAACAAGGTTTCGGTGCCGTCGGTGTGTCCAAGAAGTACGGAAAGCGTTCTTACGCCCGTTATCCTATCTTCTGGGGTCTGCGCAAGGTGGGCAACCTGCCCAACCCCGATCCCTCTGATGTCGGCGAATGGACCAAGGAGCCTACTAAGGACGAAGATATTACCGTGGACCCTACTTACGAGGCCAGCCGTGCTGATCTCAAACGGCAAGCCCAGGAATGGGCTGGACTCGACCTGAACCCGGATGCCGATCTGCTTGTGTTTGTTGGTCGTTGGTCTATGCAAAAGGGTGTCGATCTTATCGCCGATGCCATGCCTGCGGTTCTCGAAGCCCGTCCTAACGTGCAATTGGTCTGCATTGGTCCCGTTATTGATCTCTACGGAAAGTTCGCCGCTCTCAAGCTTGACCACATGATGAAGGTTTATCCCGGCCGTGTGTTCTCCAAGCCTGAGTTCACTGCTCTCCCGCCATTCATCTTCTCTGGTGCTGAGTTCGCCCTTATCCCCTCCCGTGACGAGCCCTTCGGTCTGGTTGCCGTCGAGTTCGGTCGTAAGGGAGCTCTGGGTATTGGTGCTCGTGTCGGTGGTCTCGGTCAAATGCCTGGTTGGTGGTACAATGTCGAGTCTATCTCCACATCCCATCTGCTCGTTCAATTCAAGCTCGCAATTGAGGCTGCGCTGAACTCGAAGACTTCCACTCGTGCGATGATGCGTGCTCGATCTGCTAAGCAGCGTTTCCCTGTTGCTCAATGGGTCGAGGATCTTGAAATCCTCCAGTCTACTGCCATTCAGGTTCACAACAAGGAAGCTGCCAAGGGCCACGCTCGCCCTGGTACTTCATCTGGCCACAGCACTATCCACGGTTCTATGACCCCCCTCCTCACGCAATTAGCAACCCCATGAATGGCCTGCCTTCCCCCGGTCTTCCTCCTGGCTTCACCCATTCTCGTGACAGCAGCTACTCTTTCAACCAGATGAACGATCTTGGCTCTCAGAACAAGGCCATCTACAGTCCTGAGCCTAACGCTGACGACACCGAGAAGCCGAAGTCTGGATTGAGCAGGTCTCTTTCCCTGGGTGTCCGCTCGGGTCCTGGTCACGCAGCTCGCCGCAGAGCCGCTGCCGCCGGAGAGGCTATTCCGGAAAGCGATGCTGATGCCGAGGACAGCAGCGACGAGGACATTTCTCACGCTGTCTATGGTGATGATGAGGAGTACACTCTTACTCCGGCTCAGGTTGAAGCCGAGCGCCGTGCCCAGGCCTCCCAGAGGGAGCGTGGTGGTGGTCTTGCTTCGCCTACCAGACGTCTCAGCCAGGAATCCATGCACCCTCGATTCGCCCTGCCTCCTAGCAGCCCTGGAACTCCACCCACCGCCGAGAACCTTCTTTTGCCTCCTACTCCTTTCGGCGACTCCCACCGTTACAGCAATGCCTCCGTTCTTTCTCTCGACTCCGTTGTCGGGAAGAAGACTGATTTCAAGCTGCAGAAGGTTGATCCTTTCTTCACTGATAGTACTGGCGAGTACTACAGGACTTTTGATAAGAGACTGGCCAACCTCAACGGATCCAACTCTGAGTCTCAGCTTTGTATTGAAGAGTTCTTGATCAAGAGTGAGCAGCAGTGGTTCGACAGATTCCGCAACGCCAGACTGGGTCGCCACAACAAGTCTCCTACCCCCTCGATCATGCAATCTCGAAATGCCTCTCCTGTCTCATTCTACGATAATGACCTAGCATCGCACCACAACGGTAGTGAGGATAACATCACCGATGACGAGTTCCTTCTCGGAAAGGACTACGTTCCTCCTACCGGTCTCAAGAAATGGATGCAGATCAAGCTAGGTGACTGGCCCGTCTACTCCATTTTCCTTGCTCTTGGTCAAATTATCGCTGCAAACTCCTACCAGATCAACCTGCTCACTGGCGAAGTCGGTGAAACTGCAGAGAAACTGTACGGCATTGCTACCACGTATGCCATCACGTCTATGTGCTGGTGGCTCGTCTACCGCTACTTCAAGTCCGTTGTTTGTCTCTCCAGTCCATGGTTCCTCTACGCTATCGCTTTCCTCCTCATTGGCTCTGCCCACTGGGTGTCCGACGAGTTCAGCCGTGGATGGGTCCAAAATGTCGGTAGTGGCTTCTACGCCGCGGCCTCGTCCAGTGGATCTATCTTCTTCGCCTCGAACTTCGGTGACGAAGGTGGTGCGCCTGTTGAAACCTGGATCTTCCGCGCCTGTGTTATCCAGGGTCTCCAGCAAGTCTACGTGATTGGTCTTTGGTACTGGGGTTCGACTCTCACCAAGGCCTCTCAGGAGGGTATCCTGTCTGATAACACACTCGCCAACAGCTGGAAGATGACTGCCATTTGTTATCCAATTGCGGGTTTCCTCTGCATCATCGGTCTGCTCCTCGCTTTAGGTCTCCCTAACTACTACCGCCAAAAGCCCGGCAAGGTTCCCTCATTCTACAAATCTTTATTCCGCCGGAAGATTGTCACCTGGAACTTCGTCGCCGTCATCCTGCAGAACTTCTTCCTCAGCGCTCCCTACGGTCGCAACTGGAGCTTCCTCTGGAACTCCTCCCACACCCACGCCTGGCAAATCGTCATCCTCTGCATCATCTTCTTCGGCGTCGTCTGGTGCATCTTCCTCTTCATCGTCAGCAGGTTCTCCAAGCAACACAGTTGGTTCCTCCCCGTCTTTGCCTGCGGTCTCGGCGCACCACGATTCATCCAAATCTGGTGGGGTATCTCCGGCATTGGCTACTACCTTCCCTGGGTAGCAGGCGGCTACACAGCCGGCGCCCTCGTGTCCCGGAGTATCTGGCTCTGGCTCGGAGTTCTGGACTCCATCCAAGGTCTTGGCTTCGGTATCATCCTACTGCAAACCCTGACCCGAGTGCACATGTGTTTCGCCCTCATTGCCTCGCAGGTTCTTGGTTCCATTGCGACTATCTGCGCGAGAGCCTTCGGTCCTAACAATACTGGACCGGGCCCTATATCGCCGGATGTCACGCAGGGTGCTCATGCCGTTGCTAATGCTTGGTTCTGGGTTGCCCTGTTCTGTCAGTTGCTTATTTGTGCTGGCTTCCTTCTCTTCTTCCGCAAGGAACAACTCGCGAAGCCTTAGGTGGTTTTCTCATCCCCACTGCGGCTTTTCGCTTCCCTCATTATCATAGACGTTCGACTTTTTTTTATTGCGAATAATGGCGTACATGAACGATCCTTTTACATAATCCCTTACGCATAATTGAAGCATGTCCGCCTTTCATTGTCTTTTCTGTCATCCTTGTCATCTGTCGCATCTTTTTTTCCCTTTTTAATACCCTTTTGGAAATGGACACATTTTGTTTTGGGCATATTTACATACAGAATTTACATACAGACAGGACAATGCCTGGCAAATCCTGGCTTTCCCTGTCTGTTTTAGTGCTCACCTTGCCGCATTTTGCTCACCAAGTAGCCTAATCCCACTCACTAAGCGTGACCTAAGCAAAGCGGGTGAGCAGCTAAATCATAGCTCACCTTAATAAAATCCACCACGCTAGCCCTAATACAGTCTTTCACTAACGCTCTTAACCGTTGTCCCTTAACGAGGGGATAGCGCAGCGTGTCTGAGTAATCAGTGAGTGATCAGAGCAGTCAATCAGAGTCACTTAGCACTCACTGAACAGCTCAATGAGCCTGAGCCCGGACTGAAATTTAGTCAGTGAGCCTAACTCTGTGCCCTCACAAAAGCGGCGGCAGCTAAGATAGGAAAGCACCACCCGGCAGAGGAAATCTGTTATGTAGAGTTACAGAAGTACGCCCTTGCCATATAATCAAAGAAACACGGAGTTATCCACGCCTCAATTCTCCATGTAGACGGCAATAATGAATCAAATACTACGGTGCAGGCTTCCTCGGTATCAGGAGCAAATAGTCGCCGACAACTTTGATCCTGTTGATAAGTTTCGGGTATAAATGCCGCCGTTGAGAACGATTTTCCCAGCCGTGGAATTGCCACTGAGAACTTGGTGCGTCGGCGACGAGGCAAGATTCTTTGTATAAGGCTTTGCCTAGGAGTAGACCGCGGCATGAGGTTTGGGTCATTGTCAAAACTCACGTTTATTGATATTGACCCAGACATTTTTCAAACCGAGGCCAATTTGTACAAAACTTATATCATACACTAGAAGTAGCTAATTTAAGTACTATTTAGCTAGTTCACTTAACGAGAGCTATTTATTAAATTACATTTTTCTAATTGATCTCAACCACGGGGTCCATTGTTATAGAATCTGTTCCAATGGCTGAATCCGAGCTGCAAGGTACATATAAAGGGTCAGCATTCGGTTGGTTGAACAACGTACACGGTAGACGATAATGGAGTCAGAACAAGACCTGGCTCGTATCGTATCTGTAAGTTAGATCATAGTAGTGGCTTTATGGAGTTAGTCACCCGACCCACAATGGCGCAGAAGTAGGCGGTCGTATTTATAATCATCGACGTAGTGGCTATTCTAAGTTTTACTCTCTTCCGTTATCAATGGATACTTACCATTTCTGTTCCAAAGCGAATTGAATGATTTCGGATCAAATTTTTCTATACGTACACATAACAGTCGCCAGATGCTGCAGGTTGTGTTGGCCTAGATGTTTTCTATTCCTTGTATTTGGTAATCAATCCGCGCTGACCACTTGTCCCTTAGCCTGGTGCTCAGTGTGTGATACTTCAGCATGCGTGAAAATGAAATTGGCGATCAGGTCCTCCCAACAAAGCCACAAACCCCATGCCTGTCGATCTATCGACCACGGCAATACCAACAGGCACCTCCTCCCCACAAACATCAAAAGTATATCACGCATGATACGCTCCTGTTTGAAGAAATGCATATGGGTGTTGCCGTTGTGGATGTGGAAAACTGGAGATTAGTGGTCGACGGAATGGTGGAGAACCCAATCTCGCTTTCTCTCCCCGAATTACGCAAATTGCCGAAGTCGTCCATCACCGCATTCCACGAATGCTATGGAAGCCCGCTGCGGCCATCAGATAGGAACATCTGGCGTGTAGGGAATGTCACATGGTCTGGAGTCCGTCTCAAAACTCTTTTGGGGATGGCTCGGCCTACGTGCTTCGCACAATATGTATGGTCTGATGGTCTTGATCAAGGCGTATTCGCCGGGAAGAGAGTGTCTTGTTATCAGAAAGACCTTCCATTGGAAAAGGCAATGAGTGACGAAGTGCTTGTGGCTTATGAGATGAACTCCGAACCGCTTCGAAAAGAGCGAGGGGGTCCGGCGAGACTGATAGTGCCTGGGTGGTTCGGTACCAACAGCACCAAGTGGCTCTGCCGAATATCGCTTCAAGAAAAAAGAGCTCCTGGAATATTCGCAACATATTACTACAACAGGCCTGATCCAAAGGGAGAGCTCCAGCCCGTGTGGAAAGTAGAGCCTAACTCCATGATCACCGAACCTTCACCGAATGCCAAGGTAGCTGGGCCAAAGGTTGTTATCCGTGGTTGGGCGTGGAGTTGGGACGGTATCGAATGTGTTCTGATACGCTTATCCAGCAAACAAGGATGGCAACGAGCTGAGACGAAGCCACGCAAGGACTTTGGCTGGCAAGAATTTTGCCATGTTGTCGAGCTATCGTATGGTCGTTGCTCTATAGTGGCTCAAGCGATTTCACGCACGGGCGAGGTGCAATCCCTGGAGAGCCAAAGAAATTGTGCGCATAGAGTCGACTTTGAGGTGATTTCTGTGCACGAATCATCTATGGAACTAGAAACGGGCAATTGACCTCACTCCATGGTAAAATAGGTCTCACGTGTGTATTGGTCAAGTCGAAACTGAGAAGGGAATACTGATAGATATTGTTCGTGGCCATTGCGTCTGAAGTCAGGAGTTGAGGGTGGTGTAAATAGTGACGTACAGGACTTGAGGATATGCCCGGAAAATCATTGCGTAGGTAAACTCGGGCTATTTTCACACTTTATTGATATCATGTTTGCAGGTCCTTTCCAGTTTCACGATCGAATCCCACAGGGCTGTATTTATCAAAGATAGGCATATCCCAAAGAACTGCAACAATTTTCCTCTTTCCTGATCAATGGTTACACCGTATGGCATCACCCGCATATCAGATGGAGGGGCACGTTTGAACATCATAGGCAGACATCCGCGAGATAAATAGCCCGAAAATATTGATCAGCAAGCCACAGGTCCTTTTGATTCAACTCCCCTTGCCTTTCGCTTGCCTTTCCCTTCCTCCTCTTCCTTTTCCTCTCTTCTCCCTTGTCCCCTTCCAAACTCCTCCCCATATCACCAATAAACCGGATCTGCAAATCTTCCTGATGCGTCCAAGTAAGAATCTGCGTAATACGTCTCGTCCCACGGGGAAAAGCACTCAAAATCAACGCCCCAACACCCTTCCCTAAAGCCGTCCCCAAGATCTCCTTATACTCATCAGTATTATAAGCCCAATTCCGCACGGTTTGATCTTGCATAAGGTCAAGCCCAAACCTCGGATAAAGCACAGAATCCACATAAGGCATCGTCATCCGATTAACAACATTCAACCGAAATACAAACTTCAACGAATTGATATCGTAATTCGCTTCATAATGTGCCTTGGCGAGCTCATTCCAATGTGGTCCATCGACTCGCGTGTTATCTTCAGCGAAGATGGCGCCAAGTGTAGTGCGTCCTTTATATTCATTCCATTTTTGCCTTCGTTCTTCGCCTGTTCCCAGCTTGCTGACGTGCAGTCTGTGGTATGTACCAGGATTAGTGGGGAGATCAATTTGATGGGTATCGTGTAGTTCAAGGGGTCTGTCGATCCAGCCGTTTTCTCGCACTTCCCATCTATCTGCTGGGTCGGGCGTGTTGAGCATTATATCTGTTGTCAGTATTGACATTGGTACTGGACATGGAGCTGCGCAATCCTCGTCGTTTGGGAACTGGATCCAGTCTTGGTAATTTGTTCCTTTCGCGAGGAAACCGTCGACTAGTTCTTCCGTGATTTCTTCGAATGAGCCCCATGAGACTGCTGATCCTGATCCTGTTTCTGATGATCTTGAGGACCTCGATCCGGATTCTGATCCGGAACCTGATCTACGGCAATTATGAGGGCCAGAGCCAGATCCTGAACCTGAGCCTCCCGATCCTCCCGAGTCCCCTGGTCCCCCTGATCGATAAGGAGGACCAGAGCCGGATCCTGATCCGGAGCCCGATGGCTCAGCCTCTGTTTCCTCGTTGGATCGACGTCTCTTGACGGATGGCCCGCCCACCTCGACTCCCTCGGAGGCGCCACGCTTCTTCAAAGGTGATGGAAACCTGCTTGCAGATCCGCTCCTGTTTTCGCCCTCTTTCGGGGAGCCACTCCCATCTCCGCCACCGAAAGCTTCCTGTTTGAGATCTGCCTTTGGGTCTGCCTTTGATGCGCGGCGGACAGGATAGCTGAATATTTCACCATCTATGCCCAAGTGGGGTGGCTGGACGATGGTCGCGAAGGGACCTTTGTTTTGGCTCCGTCGACTTCGCCTGGGGAGTCGGTGCTTGGCTCTATCATCCCGTCCTGCTGGACCTTGCTCGACCTCTTCTATCTGTTCAGCTGGTTCTTCTTGGGGAGCCTCTCCTTCTTCCTCCTGATGTACTGATTGTGCTCTACTCTGATGGGTAAGCCGTGCAAACGCCGCTCTGATCCGTGCGGTGCTGGAGCGACGCGTGTTTGCTGCTCGACCTCGACCGGCTTGCGTACTCACATTAGATGGCATTGGAGTAAGCTCAATATCATTGCCGGGATTGGGGTTCGCTCGAGTTCTGCGCCGACGGCGATGAAGACAATGGCCGAAGCAGTTCAGGGTGCAGCAAACCATAGCTTTGGCTTGGTCGATGAATTAGACTCGGGTTTTGATGATTTGGCTTGAGACTTTGCACGTTGCCGTTCAGGACTCGACATTTGTGGTCCGTTTTCCGGTGGTTTGAAGTCCAATTCATCTCTAAACGCGGACATTTTGAAACCCTTATAGCCTCGGGCATAGAATTCCGGGCTTTCATTGTTGGCCCTTTGTTGGGGTGACATAAAGGAAGGCCTCAAGGGCTCGCGAGGGGGCGGCGAGGGAAAGTCAGGTAGCGATCAGGAAAATAACAAAGGAACATGTACGGTCAAGGCGTCGAGAAACATTACCACTGGTGAAAGCTTCATTCGACGAAGCAAATCTTCTGATTTCGAGTCATACATATCAATAGACAAAGAGATCCACGCCGAACAATAAAAATAGAACTTTTGCGACCATCTCTGTCAGAGGCCAAGCTACTGAAAGAATAAAGATGATGACGGAGCTTTGTTTAGTGGAAAGCAAAGATGAAGGGAAAAAAGAAAACACAAATATGAAAGAACATGATTGACGGTTAACCCCCGATAGATTGGATATATTCCCAACCCTGGAAGAGAAAGTGAGCAATGACAAAACCTCTAGTACGACAAAGTCAAGGGGTACAGTATTCAAACATTTGGATAATCTACGCTCATCGCAACATCTATTTATTTCTTTGAGTTGTTTTCGTATTGCAACCAAGCCAAAAGCAAATGCTTGTGTCGAGGCGGCCAAGGCTATCAGACAATACCCTGACGCCTTCGTAAATTGGACGACCTGGACAAAGCCAACTGCTTCTTATAATACTAGAGCAATTAAGTGCAACGCTTTCCTCAGTATCGTAGTGAACATAATTTCCAATAAACACTTCATGTCTGGTTGACCTCTAGGTTCACATGTCGCAAATGACACAAATCACCATTTTATTTCGAAAGATCATACATACTCTATGTTTGAACTCAGCGTAAGTCTTGAAGAATAAGGAGCAAAATGAAAATGAAAATGAAAAGACCGATCAAGGTTAATGCGTATGTTTTGCTGAGCGACATCATATGTAGAGAAATACAAACTGGCTGATCAAGCGATGTAGTAGGTGACTTACCATTATCGTAGCAGCATAGGATCCTAAATCCTCGTGAAGTCGTTCTATCAACCTCGGTAGCACATCGTTTGAAGGTTTGATCAAAGCACTGACAAAGCTCTTTTTTGATTTTGAAAGGACATCGACTACGAGCCTGGTTCAAAGATCGAACACAATGGCCTTTGTGATTTTCATTGATTCCTTTGTTTTACTGCCTCTCAAGATATTGAAGTTCTTCAAACTACGGGGCTGTGATATAGCAAACCTATATTTCACCCTCGATCTTCGCAGCTTTTCGAAAAATTTGCAGTTTCTGTGCACACTATCTTCTCATCAAACCTCACGACTCAGCTAAATCACTGAAATCAACTGACAAGATGTCCGGACGTACACACGAGGCGCCAAACCCCCCAATGGCAACTAGGGTCAGTTCACGCGGGGCCATACTTCTCAAGTTCGAGGAGGAATGCAGCCGATTCAAGGTGGGTCTAAGGATCCAAATTGCTCGGCTGGATAGATTTGAGGGAACTGAAATGGTCACTGGTGAGTACCTCAAGGAGCTCGGTGACCAAGCCCGTTTACTCAACGGCCTGGCCCTTCAAATCGCAGATGCTTTTTCAAGCACTTCAACTATTCAGGGCAGAGCTCATACCTATTACAAGGACTTCGTACCAATTGAGTGCAGAGCTCTCACTGGGATCCTGCCAGAGCTAGGTTCAATTCTCCGTGACAACAAGCCCGGTGGTGCCCGTAGAGTCTCCGACCGTCTTAAGCGTTACCTCGAGAAGACAATCCTGTAGTTAAGCTAACTAGGTTCGATTTTTCATGGTTATCCAAGAGACGTCGGTGCAGCTTTTGACAGTATCTATTGAGAGTTTTCTTCTAGTTCAAGTTCACATCAGACGGACAAGATAGACAAAATAGACGTTTTTCTTTAGAAAATACACACTTTCCACTTCTTCTTTCCCGTAGATAAAAAGCTGGTACTTAAGAAATCAATTCAGACATTCGGAGCTTGCATTTATTGGCTTTCGTAGAGACATAATGGAAGCAATTGGAGAAGTTCCAATGTTGCGGGATGTAGATAAGGTAAAATTTCAAAGTATGTCTGCGCAACCCGTAACGCGAGATCGATGTGATTTATCCAGAGGCTTATTGACGGACCGGAGGGATCTGAAGCGCCGTTATCTGGTTTTCCGACACTTCGTGTGCTATTTAGAACATAGAGCTGATTGTATATATGGAACAGAAGATGCAGACATGGATCGTATCTCATATTCCCCGAATTTAGAAGGCTTATCTTCCACAGATGCAGTTCCCTGAGCATCTCGCAGTCCCCGTCCCTACATATAAAAGACCAAGCAAAACACATTCCGTGCTGAAAGCCCTGTTGCTGGAAGTCCCAAAGCATCTATTCTGACAATAATTCCAGATATAAGGCTATATGGGTGGAAGACCGAGTAAGCCAATATCGGACAGGCGATGCATTATGAGTTCTACATCGCCAGAAGTACATCATCGCTCTTCTGCCTTATTCTGCTGCTCGCCTGTCATCGATGTGAAACTGCCACAGCAACAGCCGTATTGCGAGGAAGCTTGATTGAGGACTGAAGCTGGACTGATTTGGGATATTGCTTGGAGTGGGGGAGGACAATGATTGGGGCGGACAGGATCAGGGCTGAAGGTCGTGTGACTTGAGGATGTTTGCCGATGTTGCATTGTGCATTCTGATGCCTGGATTATACAGTAGTCTACCAAAGGTAAGCTGCTCATTGGTAAGCTAGTGTTGAGGGGAAGAGGACTGTTTAAATATTTGGAGGATTGGATGGTTGGCTATGGCTTCATATACATCAGGCCGGCCTGGAACTATGTGTCGAACCTTTTTAGGATAGAAATTACATAAGCAATCGGTTAAGATTCCGAGAGAGTCCATTATGTTCATAAATATGGGAAATGTTTCATATAAACACCGTGCGCGCGTGAAAATGCGATGAAATGGGAAGAAAATGACCGCAAAAGCGAGAGAATATCCAAGAACAGATGGCAGAGTCGAATAGCGAATGTAAGAGGTATGAGATATATAGATCCAATAAGTCCCACCAAGCGTGAAGCCGAATAGGAAGTAGCAACCTATTCATGCAGGACGCTTCTTGTCGAGCCAGCAAGAGACCATAGTCTTGATGAGAGCAAGGGTGACCACGCGCCCTTGTTCGATATTGGCATCTTCGGATGCGCCGGGTACATGAAGAAAGAGGACATTACGGTCGTGACCCTCAAGCAACGCCAAAGACATGCTGGTATAGAAGATAAAGTCACATAGATAGTGTCCTGCATCCTTAGAGAGCCGAAGATCCGACTCCGGAGCAAAGGACTGCCACGTGTCCAAGAAATGTTCATCGGGCTGGTAGGGCGAGGCAGAGGTCGGGTCATCAGTCACACAACCAGGTGTCAAAATGGGTGGGAGGCCCAGTTCTCTCCACCGCTTCTCGCCATCGAGATACCCAGAGCGGCCCTCGACATCGGTGATGTTATAGTCATCGCGGTGAGCCAAGGTTTCAACTGAATAGTATGGCCGTGGAGAGGCTATGCCAATATGGACGATGAGGTCGGGTCTTCGGCCACCATGGGAAGCAGCGAACTCCTCCAGAATTAAAGGGAGGGTCTCCCGGACTGTGGCGTAAGCCACTGAAATAGGTGTAGAGTGAACATGGAGGGACACTCGACGCGGGTCCGTGTCCTGGTCTTTAGATGGGAAGATGAAAGACGACGGGAGGGAAGAGGCGATCAGATATGAGGCGTTGACAAGGTTTGTCTTGAAGGGCTGTTACACGTTAGTTTCAGTATTCGGAATAGACACGAGCACGATCCGAGACGCAGATCATACCCCAAATCCAGTTATTAGGACGGATATCTCGTTGGCAGAAGCCGAGGGCTGCGGTGGATTCCTGGCTCGAGTGGAGCGCAAGGGTGGAACAGCTGTTCCGTAGTCACCCATCTTGAAGATAAAAAGAAGTCAGAAAGGGAAGATGAGGTGTCGCGGGGAAAGTGAGGAGACATGCTGAATGCGGGGTCTTGGCGCATGCCGTCCATGGATCTTTGCCCTAATCGTCCGATAAAAAAGTGGCAAATCTAACCTTCGCAAGTTATAAGCATAAGTATATCCTTATTTCTGTCGGGTTCGTAGTTTGTGGCGGCCATTTGTGGCGGCCATTTGTGGAGTCGAAGCTCTTGTACAACAATCTCGTACCCAAAATTCTACGTCGGATATGGCCTGCCAACTGGGGTATGCACTGTCCTGGTCGCTTCTACTGCCATTGGCACGCTAATAGCTTTGACGGTGGCTGCAAGCTGCGAGTGAATCCCCAGAGCAGTCTGTCCTCGAATTGCCCCTTTAGGAAATGATCGCTATAATTTCTCGTTTTCGTATTCTTACTTCGTCAGTGCACACAATTTGTCGGAGCTTTGACGTCCCGGCTAAATGAATTGGTGAGTTCACTCCCCAGACGGGTGGCTCTGATTCGGCTGTTTTAGCATCCGATGGTCCGATGGCTGGCGTGCAGCCTTGTGCCGGTTCTTCATCAGTCGAGCAAGTACGAAATGCAATAGAATACTTCTGACTGGCCCATGGCCCGGGACTATTATAAATAGGTCGACCCTCAGGGTATGATCAGCTGTAGTAGCCCAAGCCCTTTTTTTTTTTTTTTTTGTTACTTCTCGGCCTAACGATGGGTGTTCTCAACGAATTACTCAACAGCCCCTATGTGGTACAGGGCGTCTGCATTGCCCTTGTGGTGGTGTTCATCACAAGTGTATGGGGTGATCTAGCGGACGAGATCCCCTTTCGTCGTGTGCCTCTGGTTGGAAAAAACCGGTGGGAAATCACCAACAAAAAAGCCAGGTCGCGCTTCACACAGTCGGCGCGTGCTTTGATCGCCGAGGGATTCGCGAAGGTGAGAAACAAACATACCGGGGATGATAGTTGCTCTTCGACAGGCTCACAATAATAGGGAGCCAATGTCTTCCAAATTATGGGAGCGAACCAACCAGTCATCCTCGTACACCCTAAGTATATGAACGAGATCAAGAGCCACCCACACTTGAGTTTCGAAGACGCCATCAAGAAGGTAGGTTGTCACACTTGAAATGACCCGGATCATGTTCACTGACATCACCAGACCTTTTTCAGCAACCGTATTGCTGGCTTTGAGCCGTTTCATAATCCGGGATCTTTCAACATCACCGCCGGCGTCGCGCGCACCCAGTTGACCCAAGCACTCGGTATGCAATACTTGGGATTTCCAGGAGACCGTCAAAGCTAACATATACTGAATAGGGTCCCTCTCAATCCCGCTCTCAAAGGAGACTGGCGCGACAGTGAAAGACGCATTTCCTCCATCGAATGGTATGCTACCATCCCTTACAGCATTACAGCACGAGCCTCTATTAACTCGTGTTCGCTTTACAGAGTGGAAGCCCTATAACTTCTTCCAAAAGACCCCGTACATGGTAGCCCGGATCTCGTCCTTGATCTTCCTCGGAGAGGAAATCAGCCACAACGACGAGTGGGTGGATGTCTCAGTCAACTATGTCATCGACGCCTTCGAAGCCATGCGAGAGCTGCGAGGGTGGCCCTCTGTTCTGCGTCCGCTAGTCCACTGGTTCATGCCCACAACCCAAAAATTGCGCAAGCACATGGAGAGCGCTCGATCGATCATCGCCAATGAACTAGAAAGACGTGATTTAATTCGTGCAGGCAAGCTTCCTGAAGATGACCCGCCCCGCATCCGCGATGCTCTGGACTGGTTCAAGGAGACTGCTGAAGCAAACAATTTTACCAATTTTAATATCTCCCGTGCTCAGGTTGGGTTGTCGCTGGCGGCTATTCATACCACGTCGAACCTGCTTACCAATATTATGTACGACCTGGCGGCGTATCCGGAGTACATCCAGCCGCTGCGTGATGAGATTTGTGCTGTTGCTGCTGAGGATGGGGTTTTGAAGAAGACGAGCTTGCTGAAGTTGAAATTGATGGATAGTGTGATGAAGGAGTCACAGCGGATGCACCCATTGGGTCTGAGTATGTGATCTTTCAAGGGTTACTGTTACGGAATCAAGAGAGTAATAGCTAACACTGGACACAGCTGGCCTGAACCGCTACGCCACCCAGCAGATTACCTTTTCTGACGGTACTATAATCCCAAAGGGTGCAACGATTGCCGTGAGTGCGCACACAATGATGGAAGATGGCATCATCTATGATAATGCCAGTACCTACGATGGGTACCGCTTCTACAACATGCGCCAGGAACCAGGCAGTGAACACCGGCACCAGCTTGTCACGACAACGCCTGAGCACTTTGCTTTTGGTCTTGGCAAGCACGCTTGTCCTGGTCGATTCTTCGCTGCCAACGAATCCAAAATTCTGCTGCTCCATTTGATTATGAAGTATGATTGGAAGCTGCAGTCGGGTGGCCGACCTAAGAACTATGAGAACGGGTTTGAGTTGATCACCGATCCGACAGTGGAGATGTTGTTCCGGTCGCGCGAACCAGAGATCGATCTGGGTTTCTTAGGCGAGTAGTGTGGATTTGTTTATTGGTTTCTTGTTTGAGGACCACCACCTATTCTGTGTGATTTTTCTTCAATATCATGTTTATTAGTTGCGGACCAAGCTGGAACTTGGGTGACACACGCATTCAGACATTATGATCTCGTCTGAAACTCTATAAATTGACTCTGCCTGCCCAATACCGAGTCAGTAGATCGGCGGTGAGACTCGGCTCCTCGAAAGTGGGTTTTCGTCGGGTTCCCCGACTGTGGCTACCCACTGTAAGATGGAATCAATTATTTTGAATCGAGCCAGCATAAATCTCCGACAGAGAAACAATGAAGTTGAAATTGAAGTTGAAGTATACCAGTGACACGTGATGGTAATACGCACGTGACTGTAAAATACGGGACGCGACTTCACGCGTCGCGCGTCAGTGGAGAACCTCACCTCCTCAATGCGCTCAATGGGGTTATATTGGCACTTTGGCCCCGGCCCTTTGGGTCCCAGACCGCACAATGAAATCTGTCCCGCTGATCCCCCTCCAGGGTTTTTTTACACAAACCAATTTTCTCTGAAAGAATAAGAATTACCCTGGACACGGCCCGAGCCACGTCCACTATGTGTAATTGGAAGGCCAAGTAAAAAAGCGAGGTGAAGAAGATCAGTGCAGGGCATCATCTGATGCATGACCGTTCTATAAGCAACCTCGAGGCCCTTGCAGCCAAGGAACGGCTGGAGACAGTGTGTCTACTTGGCCTAACCGAACACCCACGATCTTATAGAACTCTACCTAGTCTGCCAGCCTCCCGTCTTTCAGGAACAGGTCCACGGGCTCTGTATATCCTTGCCTATTTGTACACCTATTTTTACTCTTTTCTACTCTGTCCCTCTGACCCATCCTTACCTCCCAAGTCCGGATTCTCGTAGTCTGCATCAAGTAAGGTCCCTGCAGCAAACCACCTAGGAAAGACTCGAGAAAATCTAAACAAACCCCTATGAAAGTAGAAAATATTCAATGTAGAATCCAATAAGAATAAAGAAGCTGTTCTGTATCGCACAGTCTCGCGAATCGTAACTCTTAAGATTTTCGCGGTGGGCCGTTGAACCGCAAGTATCGAGTACGCTGTTCAGTGAGTGTAGCCCGCCGGGACCACAGGTACCAGGTACCCCCCTCCCGACGCCTCACCCTACGCCCAACCTCCCCATCTTCTCTTCCTCTTCTCTCCGGTCTTTCTCACCTTCTCTCTCTACCACCCGTTTTACCACTTCCGCGAGATCCTTTCTCGCTGTCTCCATTTCGGAGACCTTCTTTTCTTTTGTGCTTTTCTGGCGTTGGGTAATGACGAAATCTCCCTCCCCCTACTAGACGGGATGGAGCCGCAGATGTGATCTGGTGATACCGATTTCGCGCATTCCTGAGCCTTTGATCACACCGAAACCTCGGTCTTTTTTCGTTGCTTCACCTCTTGTGCCCTCGTTCCCTTTTCCTTTCTCATCCACTCACGATATTACGACACTTGACGCGACTTTGCGCGCTCCTCGAAGCCGCATATTCACTGATCCACTCACCTTCCGACACGCCCTCGACCTTCGTCAGCTCGCATTGACCCACATTCTGCGGTTGAACCGCAGAACCGCAAGATCGCCAGTATGGCTCAACGTCAGCTTTCGCGCACTCTCCCGAAGAACTTCACCTTCCCCTTCCTAGATGACGATGTGCCCAAGACCCCGGAGCGCCCGAGTACCAAGATTGAAGTTCCGCCTCCACCTCGTCATTCTATCTCTAGTCTCCGCTTGCCTCGAGTTCGGGCTCGCTCCGGCACAGATGTATGCGCGCGCATGGATCTCGACCTTTTCCAGTTCCGAGGCTCAGATGTTCCTCTTCCCTCGATTGAATTCCCTCAGCCTAACAATGCGCTTGAGGCGCCTTTCCTCGGCCAGTCCCCCCAAGATGAGAGATTACTTGCGCCACCTCGCGCGCGCATGAATTTCAAGACACCTCCCGCGCAGATCCGCGGCACACCTTTCGATGCGTGCGAGACTGGAAGCCCATGGCCAGCCTGGGATCAGACTCCTGGACCCGTCAAGCGTCCAGACTCTGTTTGCTCGAGTCTGTCTGACTCGTCTGTTGAATCTATTGAGACATTTGCCTCGCGGCCATCTGTTGGAAGTTGTACCAGTGTGGAAAGTGACCTGTTTGACCCATACTTCCCGCTCGAGTTCTCAAAAGAAACCGAACTTGAGTCGCCTTCGCGACGCAAATCATCGAACGCGTTCAAGTCTGCATCCGACAGGGGCTGGACCCGCGAGATGGATAACCATTTGTGGAACACTTATCAAATTTATCTCCAAGACCCCACTATGACTCCCTTCAAGATGACCCCGGGCAGCATTCCTCCCCTGGGAGTGACTTCGCGTGTTTCGCGCCGTGCTAAGAAGACGTGGGATAACAAGCGTACTCGCATGGCCCAATCTGTCTCGATGAAGTCTGCTGAGCCTGGAACTGGAACCCCCAAGGCCACAACTGAAGCATCGCAGCCAAACTGGCCGAAGACCGACGCCAAGACTCGGCGTCGTCTTAAGGCTCTTTGCCGTCGCAAGTTCTCGATTTCGCCCCATTACCAGCGCATCATGCAGTCACGTACCCCTGAGCCCACGGAACTGTCCGCGCCCGCAGATACCCGCCCTCCCGCGTTCGCAGATAACTCTGCTTACACTACGCGTGATCTTGGTGTCTCTCTCGTCACCTCGAATGATTCAAACCCCATCGCTCGCGTTACACAGGACCTGCCGCCATTGCAGCCATGGAACACTTACTCGTTCAATGACCCTGTGCCAGCCAACGTCGAGCCCGAAATTGTCCCAACCCCCAGCCAGCATCTCCGTGTTCAATCTGCTCACAGTATCCCTCGTCTGGGATCTCCCTTTGTGTACAGCACCTGGGGCCCAGGTGGATCAAATCGCCAGGTCAAGAGCAACAGTACGCCTCGTCGCGAGACCATCCATGCCCCGGGACGTCGTACGCGCCGCAACACATACCTGGAGCAGTCTTTGCGCAATGCTGATGATGTATTCACCAACGCCCAGAGCGAGACTAAGAACGCCGATGAAGATGTCGACCGTCGCCTTGAGGATTACCTTCGTGGCAACAAGCTCCAAGACGTGGGTCATGGCCGAGTCCGTCTTCGCAACCGTGGCGCTACGACTGGTGGAGTCAACCCTCGAGATGTTGTTGACCAGCTTTTCTCCCCGCCCTCGTCTCTCAACTCAGGCCCAATTGAACCTGAAGAGACCACTCCTGTGATGAAGCCACCTGTCCACCCCTTGTTAGACCTTGGTGAAAATATCAAACGCCTTGGTTCACCCTTCAAGGTTGAAGGTGCATACAAGCGCCGCGAAGCTCCGAACAGGTTCATCAGACATGCACCCTCGCTGTCCGATCCATTCTCGAGCGGCGGCCCATCCTACGTGAGACCCACCAACGATACTTCTCCAATGCAAATATCCCCCACTCAAGCACCCGAGAAGACGTCGGCTACTCTACCTTATGATGCATTCGAGGAGGGCCTCTCTGATGCCGAGCGAATCCGCCGGCAAATCTTGAATATGCCTTTCACGCGCAACTAGATTGCGCTCTTTTGCTGTCGACTTTTCGAGTATCCGTTCTGTTCCGGTGTTGATTCCGCGAGTTTTTATCCCTTTGCATAATGACCTGAACGAGATACAGACGGGGCCCAGTTATCGCCCCCAAATTACCAGCCTTTTTTATGACAGCAACGGCATTATCCACGACTGTAACGATACGTTTGTGACTTGTGTCCTGTTTTTTCCTCACGCTCATCACCTTACCCACACTACAACACCCAATTCCAAGAAAAATGTGATAGGTTTTTCGCTTTTCATCTGGTTGTCGGAAACCACACTAGTACATGGACATCTAGCTATTGGTTGCTCGGCAGCGAACTTTCAACTCGTCTTGCCTTGTAACAGCAAATACTGTGTGTGGTCTTTCTTCGAACCATCCAATTCTATTGGCACTTACCCTCGTTACTCGGTGGAACCTGTCTCAACTTCGATGCACGCCCACCCTTGACTTCACTCATTGACAACTGTCTTCACCGTTTCCTTCTGATCTCTTCGCAAAACAACAAAAAGTCCAAAAAAAAAATTTCAAAACCCGACCTGAAAACCCGAAACCTACTGTCACAACTACTCGCTATCTTTGCGAGCCACATTCTCTACAAATTATCTTTCTTTTTCTTTCTCGGGCTTTGTCCAATTGTCGCCTGTGAACTTTCGCATTATGCCTTGCACATTCTCTCGCCCGGCATTCTGGAAAAGTGACACGACTTGGATAATTCATTTACCTATCGAACTACCCGTCACACATGGAAACGATCCCCTGCCTCCATGTTGACCCTCGTCAACCAACATGGACGGCAATTACATACACTCCCCCCTCTTCCCAACAAAAAAGCGAATGTGCAACGATACATATGCAAATACCATAGACGAACCGAAACGAAACGAACGCGCATGATATTGCAGTTGACCAACGACATCCCTGATACGCAAGCGAGGTGTTTGGTTTGGTTATCTTTTGCCAGCGAAACTTGATTTTTTCTCTCCATAATTCATTCGCATTTCCCGGATCTCATATCAGTCTCGAATGTTCTCGATTTCTCGAGTCTTGATCCCCCTTATCGATTTCTCCATGCCTTCGATTCTGATCTGATTCTTCCCGCTCTGATTCTGCTGATTCTGCTCGTGCTTCATGATTCCCCTCAACCTTGTGGCGAACTTTATTGGCCTTGCATCCGGACAGTCGCATGTGATTTTCTTCTGCTTTCATTTTCTACACTGCTTTTCATCTGATATCTTTTCTTTTTTCGTTCTAATCTCTTCTGCGTTTCTCATGACGTATGAATGCCTATCTTTTCTTTTTAAGACCTTATTCTTATCAGATCTTTTTGATCTGGTTGTGCAGAGTATGGCTTGTTATTTTATTCTTTGATTTCGTGTTTTCTTTGCGCTTTGATCCTCCACAGGACCGGCTTGCTCTGAGCGCGGAATCATTAGGCAAATCGATTATTCTTAACTTTCCATTCTTTTCTTATATTCCGTAAATTGTATGCCACAGTGAATGCTCACAAGTTGAACTCCTCAGATCGTCATTCTGCGCGCGTCTGTATCAAATTCTTCACATTCATGAGACGTAAGCTCTAGAGACCCACGCATGAGCATGCTTAAAAAGTGGGGGACCGAGTATTGATACTTTAATCCATTTTTATTTACATGAGAAACAGTATAACTGCGTCTATTTATAGTTTGGTCCAACTTGATATTGGTGGAAAAAGACGGCGCTTTTTGATTGCCTACGGACTCGTTCTTGTGAGAATCTTTGCCATATGAATCACTCTCAGATATTATCTACAACCAAACAAGCATATTAACAAAATGTAGTAAGTAAAGGGCCTTAAAGACCCAACAAAACAAAAAAAGTCACATGGGAAAAAAGAGATGAGGGTATAATGTATAGAGGAAGGAGTTCACAATACGGGCATTTCAACAAGGAGGAAGAGTAAAGCAATCACTTCTCCAACTTCTTCTTGCGCTCCGCGAGAAGGTGTTCGATCTTGCGAAGTTGAAGAGCGAGGCCTTTCTTCTCAGCATGAGCAAGAAGCCACTCTTCCATGCCACGGCGGACATAGCGCATGGAATGTAAGACGGGAAGAATAGGTGCCGAAGATAGAGCAATATCCGGTGCGCCATTCTCTCGCTCGATACGCTGCCAACGCTCAGCACCTGGGTTCAATAGGAGATCGAAGACACCGGCCCACAGCTCACGGTCCCAGTAGCGTTTCAGAGATTCACGAATGCGGTAGGTGCGCGAGGATCCCGGTGGTGTGTTTTCATCGTTGCTATCCACGGGAGTGGACTCCACGTACTTGCCGAAAAGAAGGACGTGGATGACGCCGGCAACGCCGTATAGATCAATTTGGTGGGTCCAGGGCCTAGCCTCGCGGATCTCGTTGCATTCATGTGCACCAGTTTCCCAGTCTGCGATGAACTGCACATTTGGCGAAAACGCTTGCATGTCAATGCCGCGACCAAAGTCAATCAAGGCGAGGCCCTTTTGTTTCCAGCCGTAGGATCCACTTGGGGAATAGTGGATGCTTTCGCGGGGATCGAAGGGACATTCATCGGCGCCCAAGTCGAGGAGGGAAAGGCCTTTGGTAGGTGGTTCGTTGGGGTTGGAGTCATCGAGGCGGACAAGGCAGTTGTCAGCTTTGATGTCGCCGTGGAGAACTCCGTTGGCGTGGAGTGCTTCGACGGTTCGAAATAACTCGATGGAGAAGAACATTGCTAGTGCCTCTTCGAGACCACCCTCGGAGGTATGGTTGGAGCCAATGGATTCGTTGCGAACGATGTTAACCAAGTCGAGTAGGGTGCCTTGTCCACGATAGTCTTCTATCAAGAAGCTCTCGCGTTGATGCACATGCAATTCATGTGCACGAACAATGCTGTCTGTAGCGCGTGCATGATCTACAGATTGCCGAAGACGATTATAGGAAGCACGGATCATGTAGAATTCCCAGGCACTGGATGGTCCGTTCTCAACCTTGACTGCCTCGAAGGGGTTACGGGGTGTTGCATAGGCATTCAATTTCGGGCGAGAATCTCTGCCACTGGTCCTGGCACCATCGTCGGAATCGGAGTCGTAGGATTCAAGACTGTCCACGCTCTCCGCGAGATAAACTGGAGCATACGCACCAGCTCCAAGCTCACGTCTAATGATGTAGCTTCGCTCAGCCCCTGGGAATTCAAGGATAGGCGTATCGAATGCCTCATCGCCACTCTTTGATCGTCTGGTGTTAGTTTTCACAAACTTCTGGATCATCGAAGCATAGTTGCTATCTTCAACGTGGCCATGATATCCTGTGTATGTGTCAAGCGGCGGTTCCAAAGAATTAAGAATCGTATTGCGAATGCCCTTGTCCGTCGGATTACATTGCGAGTCTCTGATGATCGCTTCCCTTCTCCGCAGCTTAGGTGCAAGCGCCTTGAAAGCTGTTGGGCTGAATGGGACGTCTGCTGTAGATGTGAAAGTATGATCTTCCCCCAGGGGGCTATCAAGCAGGAGATCTACAGCAGGCGATCGAGGCTTGGAAGGTGTTTTCGCATTATAGATGCTGTTTCGGGCGGCTGTCAGGGAAGGAATGGAACATTCCGTTCGTTCCACGATAGGTGTCATAAAGGGAAGGCGATTCTGGGCCATGACGGCAGGGTCACGGTAGGTGCCCCATGGTGGAGCATAGTCCTCGGGCATTTCTGGCACGAATCCTTTCCTTTCTGGTGTGCCATGCGAGGAACTAGCTGCTCCTTCACTTGCGACAGATTGGGAGGTCAGCTCGGCATTCTCAATATCAGGGATGTCGCGGTTGGGGTCGAATTCTGTCCAATCGCCCCCATCAACACTGTCAGCCCGTGTGGTATCGGCGTATTCGGTGTCATCGTAGGATTTGTGGAATGTTGTTTGTGTTTCATCATCGCCAAAGTCACTCGAGGTCGCTGAGATGTGACCTGTGCCCGTGCTATCTCCCGTGCTGGTGCAGTCCTCGTCCTCGTAATCACTACCGCAGAAGCTATCGGCATCTGCTTCAGTTTCTGCCTTCAATGGCTGATTGAAGATGCTATAGATCTCATCAGTCGCCGCACGAGTGTGCATGGTCATTGTGGGCTCCCGGGTGCTCTTCCGCCGGGATTTGGATTTGGACGGTGAGTCGAACTTCATCTTAACTATACGGATTATAAGATTAACCGGCTCAGAACAAGCGCATGGTTGCATCGACTTACCGGTCTGAGTCTGTGTCGTTTCCCCTTTGACCTTGGTGCGTCTTGATTTGCCTGGTTTGCCTTCATCTTGATCGTGAGACTGGGAATGTCCATCTATCGTCAGATTCTGAACCAAGTGCTCCGGTAGCTCTTCTGTATTGGTATTTTCTGCAAGAGATTCGACGCTTCCTGCATTCCCCGAGATTTGTTGCAAGGGCTCTTTCTGTTTCTTCCAATTCTTGTCCATCCACCCACGTCTAATGGATCTGAGTTCTTCGAAACTCATTTCATACGCCGGGTTTTTCCGATCTGGGTATACTGATTTCAAGTCGACGAATACACGCTCTCGGCGGCCGGTGCGCGGGTTGACCGCTTCCCTTACATGATGTTCCGGTACTTGCTTGGGAGGCATTGGTTCTTTGGTAGGTAAATCTGGTTTGGACTGAATACATAATAAAAAACCATAGGGTTATGCCAGCAATTAGTCCTGTGATCGTAAATATGTGGAGGTTCGTAAAGGGAAAGGTTAACCCATAGTGAACACTTACCTCGTCCCTGAAAATAGCCATCTTCTGTGATGGTACTGCTTTCTTCCCAGCCTTCAATGTTTCACCAGCCCATGGCTTCGCCTCAACTTCATTCTCCTTCTTGCGGTCCCGAATTGATCCAATGCTGTCCCATCCCTTTGTTGCTCCACCAGTTGCTGGACCCGGCGCAGCGGAATCGGCGTCTGAGAAAATGGCCATCTTTGCCTTTCCGGATTTCGTCTTGGGGGCAGCCGAGGGCGATGGCCGAGAAGCTTGTGGATCAGCAGGGCTTTCTGATGAGGCGAACGGATCCATTTTGGCGGCCAGCGCTGGACGAACGGCCGGCAAAGCAGGCGAGGATGGCCCCGCATCCTGTGGTCGTCGTTCGTACCGATCTTGGAACTCGCTGTACTTCCTCGCCAGTCTCTCGACGGGTCGCGCTTCGCGGTCCATGCCGAGCCTATATACCTCGTCGGCTTGTGACCACCGTCCAGCACCCTCTAGCCACCCAGCAAAGTCCTCGTAAAAAAGAGCCAGGCTTTCACCAATGCGATGACGCGCGAGGAATGCAAATGTCTCACGCGGGGCGTCGGAGAAAAGTCGAATGTAATGGAGCCATAGACGCAGATATCGAGGGTCGTTTCTGTAGTGTGATGATGACAAGAATGATTTCGTGGCTCGCTCCAACAAAGGAAGAAGGCCAGAGTCTGGGGTCGCTTGTGCGGATGGGTAGGCGTTCAGTGTCCATTTAACGTAACGGTCGTAAACATCCAGCGGATCGTCTGATTCTCCGATCGACTGGAGTTCTCCTTCGAATTCTTCGCGCACAGCATCGTTGAGTGTCCTGGTCGCGTTCGGAGATGGTGATGGGATCTTGTCACTGTTGCTGCCAGCTGAAAAGATGCGGGCAAGCTCTCTTGCTGATCGACCACCGGGGAGTGATTGAATGTTTTCCTTCTGATTCTCAATAATGTCGAAATCGACTAGATCGTCGGAGGCCGCCATGACGACAGACGAGAGATCCGAGAGGAGCCCAAAAATTGTCGAGATAGCTGAAGTGACAACTTTGTGTGAGGGGAGGTGTTATCGATAAACATCACATGACCGTTGCCCCGGAGATACACCTGTTCTCTGACCTTGCTGGATCATATTGACAGCATTGAGCAGATACTCCAAATGATCATATCGGACAGTGCCTTACTTCATTAGCTCAGAACCGTTTACCTATGTCTGTCTTGTTCCTTGACATTTACAGCGACGGGAGCCAATCCCGATCGACACGAGGCTTGGCAAAATCAGCCAACTTCTTCGCGTCTTCGGTCGAGTATCCGCTCTTGGAACTTGCAACATCGTGAAGGACGCCTTCAAATAATATGTGCTGCCAAACGCCTGAGTCGCCAAAGCGCGAAGACTCTGAATCAAAGGCTAATCACAAAAGAAACCTCAGCAGTGGCACATCTGATGCCTCGCCTATGAGAAGATCCAAACGACAGAAATCAAGCATCAACCTCAAGGAGCTGTCTTCTCCGGAGGCATCGGAAGCAGAGGGAGAAGTTACATCTCCACTGGTCAAAGAAGAAGCCGTTTACGCACCTGCCCCAGTTGCTGCCCCCAAACGGAAGGCAAAGAAGCCACCAGTCAAGAAAGAAGCCACCGGGGACGCTGATAGCGCCAAACCTGTCAAGAAAGCGAGAAAATCCAAGAAAGATCAAGAGGCTGAAGCTATGCCTCTGGCAGCTCGGGCGCAGGGTCTGCGTATGTTCATTGGCGCACACGTCAGTGCTGCGAAAGGTCAGTACTCAAATCGGATGAGCTGCAACTTGATATTGATCTAGAAATCCTTGAGCAGGCGTCTTCAATTCTATTCACAACAGCCATAACATTGGGTAAGCTCGCGCTTCTATCCATCGTTGGTTCAAACTCAACTAAGTATGGAATTAGTGGGAACGCGTTTGCGTTGTTCTTGAAGTCGCAGAGAAAATGGGACAACCCAGCGCTATTAGATGATCATCGTGATCAATTCCGTCAGCTATGCGCAGAAAAGGGCTATGATGCATCCAAGTAAGTCACTATGATCACTATCATTCATCATAACAGATCACTCATACTCAGTCCAGGCACATTCTTCCACATGGCTCGTATCTCGTGAACCTGGCCCAAAGTGACACTGCCAAGTCCAAGCAAGCATACACCTCATTCTTAGATGACCTCCGCCGTTGCGAAGCCCTTGGAATCTCTCTCTACAACTTCCAGTTAGTCAACCCTCTCTTTAATCATACCTTTACTAACATCCCCAAGCCCCGGAAGTACCAACCAAACCCCTCTCCCGGAGGCGCTCGCCCGCCTAGCCAGCACCCTCACCCAAGCAATCACCGAAACAACAACAGTAATCCCCGTGCTAGAGACAATGTGCGGCCACGGCAACACAATCGGCGGAGCTCTCTCCGATTTCCGAGATCTCCTAGCTCTAATCCCAAAGGAACATCACTCACGCATCGGCATCTGCGTAGATACCTGCCACAGCTTCGCAGCTGGCTACGATCTCGCCTCCCCAGAAGGCTTCAAAGCCTTCCTCGCGGAATTCGACGAGCTAATCGGCATTCAATTCCTCAAAGCTCTACATCTAAACGACTCCAAAGCTCCCCGCGGCAGCAAGAGAGACCTGCACGCCAACATCGGCACCGGATTTCTCGGTCTGCGTGCATTCCACAATGTCATGAACGAGCCCCGTTTCGAGGGCCTACCCATGGTTCTTGAAACGCCTATCGATCGCGCCCCGGAGAAGTCTGCAGACGATGAAGATGCCGGAGATGGTATTGAAGTGGAAGGCGAGAAAAAGAAGGGTGCCAAGAAAGGACCGAAGCGGCCTGCAGGGGCGGGTGCAGCTACTGTTCAGGATCCTGGTGTTTGGGCACGTGAGATTAAGCTGCTCGAGTCGCTTATCGGGATGGATCCTGAGGGTGAAGAGTTCAAGGCTCTTGAGGCTCGGCTTGAGGAGGAGGGTCGTGCGGAGCGTGCCAAGTATCAGGATCAGTATGAGCGGAAGCTTGAGGCGGTTGAGAAGAAGAAGGCTAAGGGGCATACTAAGCCCAGGGGTCAGAAGAATCTTATGGATATGATGAAGGAGGATGCGAAGAAGGAGTAAATTGTGCGGATATTGATCCCAGATTGGGAGCACAACATCACATATTTTCTTTCCGGTCCAGTCTTTTGATTGTTTGGATAACTAGCAATAATAGTACTGGGAGATCCTCCCTTGGCATCCAGCACTAAAAATGAACAAAAATGAATTGGAAAGGGGCTAAATCGGAACCAAATAGAGTGTAATGCTGAGTAGATGACCCTGCGCTCCCAGGCAGTATGTGTGAATGGAGACTACTTGTACACCAATAAAATATTTCGTTGCTATACAATGATATCATTATCTAGATAAAGAATAGGCTGCAACGGCAGCAATTGAGAGATTGAAAACGGTGTATAAGTAAAAGAAATCGAATTGATGGTATCAGTGAAGTCCAAGGCAAAAAGCCAACAACCGCGTCATGCAAAAAAGTAACTTATATCCTGGCCAATCCAGAATTAGACCAAATCATTTCTGAAAGGAGACATGCAATCGAGACATACAATCCAAGAGGCACGCTTCGGAGGTCAGACCAGCCAACAGAAGGTTTATAGGTGGCATACAACCGTCACATGGAGGGGAATATAGGGTAGATCAAAATAAGAGATGAGTAGGGGAGAACGAAGGTGACACGCTAGTGATGAGTGGGGGTTTAATGCCGTACAGGCGAAAGGGACGAGGTTGATTGAACATCCGGTGAACCCTCGCGATTGGAGGGTAGGAGATGAGGGAATCCCGCTTGGGCCATTGTGGTGATAGTGGGAGGGGCAGATCTGAGAGGAGAAGGTGGCCCGTCGTCTTCGGGGATGGTAGATGTGGAAATGGAGAGAGCATGTCTAGTGTGTCTAGAGCCGCTTGCGCGCACTCGGAATGAGCGCTGTTGATCGCCAGTCAGCGATGCGGTTTGGTCATCATTCAAGTGGCCACCTGGCGCAGGGCTGACAATGATAGCATCCTGGATTGCAACTCGACGATAGTCTCCTTGCTGTTGCCGTTCGCCACCGCTACTGTGGTCGCCATCTTCGGTATCGGATAATGGACTCGACTCGCGGCTCCATTCCGCTTCCTGTGCCTCGCTGCGCATTTTTGAAATCTTCATATAGTTGTATGCTGCAATGCTGCTGATGGTCACGAACAAACCGGTCAAGTTGACCGCAGTGAGCTTATCGTGGAAGATAATGCCCGCTGCGCTGATTGTGACCACCTCCTTGAAGATACCACAAATACTCAAAGTGACAACTGAAGAACGCTTGAGCAACGCAAATTCCGAGGAGATCATGCAGAATGCAAGCACGCCAGGGAAAATGAGGAGAAAAGAGCCTAACAACTGCCCACGCTTTTCAGCGAGCACGAGATATCCTTGGTAGATCTCAGCAGGACCTTCCACGGATAGCGCAATGACTATAAGAGAGAAGAACATGACAGGAGTGAGAAGGAAGAGTGTCGCAAACGGATTTGAAGTGGCCGGATGGCGAAGCAGAAGGATTTGTGTCAAGCCCCATCGGAAGCCCGAGAAGAATGCAGACGCAATGACAAGTGCAAAACCAAGTGCATTGAAAGCAGTCTCTCCGGCGACCATCATCACCACACCGATTGTCATCGTAGCGATAATCAAGATCAACTTGACGGACGGCGATTCGAGGCGGAAGAGGATGGCGAATAGGAGAACAAACGCAAGTGCAGATGATTTGCACATGGTAAGGAAAGTAAGAGAGATGAATTTCAAGGACATGTTTCCGAGGCCAATGTCGAGCGAGGTTGCTGTACCGCATGGCACGAGGCGGGTAAAGTAGAAGAATTTGGTCAGGATCGGCTGCTTTTCTTCAGGGCCATCCACCGGGGATGTTGCTGCAGAACCCGAGGGGTGTTGTGGACGGAGCGACGGGAAAATCCATAGAATTATAACGGAAAGTGTGAATTGAACAAGCATGTGTAGGCTTGTGGTGAAAAGAGGAAAGGGAAAGACGACATCGCTCTCGGAGAACATCCATTTATTGTACTACACACAAGAATCGTTAGTTCGAAACACCAGGGGAAGGTTGGAACACGATCACTCACTATTGAAATGGACAGGGAGAAGAAATACCACATCAAAATCAATGCGGCATTGACCCCTAATCTCTTGACGATGCTGCGGTCTGTATCAATGTCTCCTCGTGACTTGGTGTCTGCGATTCGGGCATCCAGCTTCCGTCGTTGGTTCCTCCGTCGTCGTCGCTGGCGTTTTTGGTTTGAGGTGAGTCCCGTTTCTTCGTCATATTGGTCATCATCTGAACTCATCAAGTCGAGCTCCAAACTCTCTGCAGCGGACGACGGATCGGACGCATCAGTGTCCTCTTCAGCCGTCAATGGCTCTTGTTCTTCGCGCTTGTGGTTTCCTCCATCTGCATGTGACCAGAGGCTGTCATCTCTGCGCTCCGTCGAAACTGGCTGTGAAGCTCTCCCTGTCCCGGCGAGCATGGAGCTTCGCCGACGGTGGTGGCTACCGGCGGAGAGCCCCATTCTGAAGACTGAGACAGTTAGGTGGAAATGAGAGGAATGTAGACGAGAACTGATTCCCCCATGAGCATGGGAAAAAGGGCGTCACACGACAGTGCACGAGAGCAGTTCGGGTAGGGAGACGATGCTGACAAAGAAAGGGAGAGGGGGAAGAGAAAGGGTGGAACTGGAGGTGGAACTCGTCCCAAGGGAGTGAATGTTCGGGAACAAGGAAAAGAAAGGGAAAAGGAACGAACACAAGAGCAGCTGGGCAGGGAAAATGAGTCCTGAGGGATCGAGTGGCAGATCGAGGGTCGTCAGGGCGGTCTCACGACTAGTCAGCTTAACTTCAGCTCTGACTGGTTCCACCGATCTTTCTCCGCTCCACTGTCCGGTCGATCCGGGGCAGAAGTAAAGACTTGAGGAATTTCATGAAAGTGTTTCTGGCTTTCCTTTTTACCATTGGCGGATTGAAATCTCCGGCGCTGGTAGCTTGAGGGACCATATGTTGTGAAGGTATACAAAGCCCTGTGGTATCTCAGGGGATCCTGAAACTCCCGGCTAACCTCGCCCTGAGACTAGAAAACATCACAATGCCAGAAAAATAAACTCAATGCGAAGCTCTTCAGTGATGAGGTCCCCGCCTTCAGCTTGTCTGTTGGGGAGAAGCCCCCATCCACCGGCATAGCCATGACCTCAGACCCATGATACATGATCATCATGTCGTACTTTCTCCATAGTCGTCGGGCCATGCGGATGATCGATGTCAATGGGAGACATTTCATTTCCTCATGCCTTCGCCTCTGTTTCCCCTCAATCTCCCGGGTTGGTGCTGCAAAAAGCATTCAATCCACATCCAAAAATCTTGTATTTTGAACTTCTATCGGATTCCCTGCTGTCACTATTGTCCGTTGTCATCATGTCTGAGGGTTCGTACATTGCCATCGAGGACTACGGCCTGATCGGGGATATGCACACCTGTGCCCTGATCAGCAAGGCTGGTAGTTTGGATTACATGTGCTGGCCAGTCTTTGACTCGCCTAGTGTCTTCTGCCGCCTGCTTGACGACAAGAAGGGGGGATTCTTTTCGGTAAACCCCTACGAGACGGTGGTCGATGCCCACAGCAAACAGCGGTATCTTCCATATTCGAACCTGCTTGAAACCAGGTGGACCAACGAGGGTGGCGTCGTGACGATGCTGGACTATTTCCCAGTCACCCCTAAAAAGGTCAGCCAGTCCGCTAGGTTGCTGTCAGGATACTGTCCTTGCAATGAGCCCGGCACCAACCGGTTCAAGTCAGGACTGCAGCACTCAGGTCTGATCCGAAAGCTGGAATGCAGCCGTGGGTCGATGGAGTTGCAGGTGGAACTGTTCCCGGCCTTTAACTACGCACGAGACTCGCACAACACTCGTGCAAAGCTGGAAAATGACATGGAGAAGCACCGGCTCCAGACCATCCATTTTGAAAGTGAAACCGAGCGGCTGCAGGTTGAGATCTTTGCCGATTCGCGGGAGCCGGACAAGCTTGGGTTCCCGGCGGCGAACCTAAACTTGGAAGACCGCTTGGGCATAAACGGCCGCGGATTGGTGGCCTGGATTAGGCTGTCGGAAGGCCAGACGGTTCATTTGGTACTGCACAGTCCCGAGAAAGCTGTGCCCACCTCGGCCACCATGGCCGCCTACCTCCTCAAGATGGAAGATGAGACCTCTGACTACTGGACCAACTGGACCCGCAAATGTGCCTTCCGTGGTCACTACCGGGAAACGGTCGAGCGCAGCCTTCTCATTCTGAAGCTGTTGACATACAAACCCACCGGCGCAATCGTCGCGGCGCCCACCTTCTCGCTCCCTGAAAACGTGGGAGGTTCGCGAAACTGGGATTATCGGTATTCCTGGGTGCGTGACACGGCTTTTACGTTGTACGTCTTCCTGAAAATGGGTTACAGTGAAGAGGCAGAAGCATATGTTACCTTTATCTTCGATCGAATCTTCCCTCATGCTGCCAAGGACATGGACAGGGATAACAAGAGACCGTTTTTGCCACTCATGTTCACCATTCGGGGCGACTATGACATTCCCGAGGTGGAACTGGACCACCTCGACGGGTACAAGGGAAGTAAGCCTGTTCGCATCGGCAACGCGGCTGTCTTCCACACGCAGCTGGACATCTACGGTGAGCTTTTGGACAGTATTTATCTGTACAACAAGCACGGTAACCCCATTACCTATGACCAATGGAACTCCATCCGACGTATGGTCAACTATGTTATTACCGTGCGGAACCAAAAAGATATGTCCATCTGGGAATCTCGTGGTCAGATCCAGAACTTTATCTATTCGAGAATCATGATGTGGGTGGCTTTGGATCGCGGGATCCGCCTTGCAGAGAAGCGTTCCAGCTTGCCATGCCCCGATCGCTTTGAGTGGGTCAAGATCCGAGATGAGATGTACGACGAGATCATGACCAAAGGATACAATGAGGAGCGCGGTCATTTTTGCCAGAGCTATGAGAGTCCGGATGTGTTGGATGCATCCGTCTTGATTGCGCCCTTGGTCTTCTTTGTTGCGCCTAATGACCCCCGATTCATCAGCACTCTAAAGAGGATTCTGGAGAGCCCTGAAAGGGAGGGATTGTCCAGCGCCAAGATGGTGTTCCGGTACGACCATCTTAGAGCCAATGATGGTAAGTGATTATTGTGTCCCAGGAACCTTGCACTACCGTGCATTGGAGTCTGGCTGCTGATATGCATGTTGCACAGGTGTGGGAGGTGGCGAAGGCGCTTTCATCATGGTAACCTTCTGGCTTGTCGAAGCAATGGCTCGTGTAAGTGGTAATCCCACACCTGTACACTGAGATCCCGGCTGAATCCGTTCTGGAATTCCAGGCTTCTAACTACGATGTGCCCATTCCCAACATTTGGAAGCTCGCGCTTTCGCACTTTGACAACATCCTCTCCTATTCGAATCATCTGGGCATGTTCTCAGAAGAAGTGGCTATTTCTGGTGAGCAGATGGGCAATACTCCACAGGCATTCAGTCACTTGGCCTGCATTAGTGCGGCAATTAATTTGGAACGACTCGGACAGGGAGAAGACTAGAGCTCCTACCTCCAGGACGTCAAAGCTACGAGGAGATAAGCCACCGGGGATGAAACCTTAGACAATGCTATAGATTGACTTCAGATATTGTTTGTTCTCTTTCAAAAAAAAAATAAATAAATAAATAACTCTTCCTTTCCTTTGAAACAACAGCATTATATATCTCCCGATTTATATTAACTGGCGGATGAATCAATGCCGTTGTAAAGCCAAGATGCTACCATACAAGAAAGAGTCTAGTGACCATCTCACTCATGGAAAATCACCAAATGCGAGAAATGTAGGTCTGTGACTCTATGCTGGACAAGCGCCTGGCGATCTAGGCACCCATGGCAGGTGACGACAACATTCTTACGTAATGTAGAAGATCCGAGCTCATTACCCCAGAATAGCTTCTCTTTGTTTGCCAACGTAGTCAAAGTGACAGTGACCAGTGAACAAGGACTATCTTCGACAGGGATGGTCTTCGCCACCAGCCGTGCCCCACAATAACTGCGATCTCGCGCTAAGTTAGGGATCCGCTCCTGATGGCCGACTTGGATGCCGATAAGCCCGACCCGATGTCGTCAGACGAGGAGGGCTTCGTCTCCAGCGAAAGCACCGCCTCAGTCGAGCTGGAATCCTACGCAAAGAGAAATCTCACTCTCGCGCTGGGAAAGCTACGTTTGGAACAGGAGGACGTGAACCGATTCTCCGACCAAGGCGCTACCCCATCGACTCCCCGCACGGAAGGCCGAAGTCAAACGCCTCCAGATCTCAAGATGCCGAAAAAGCCACGACTCTTGTTGGATTTGCCTTTGGATGTGTTGAAGGAGATTATCAAAGAGGTATTACACGTCTTTCTCGCGATCTCTGGCGAGAGCTTACAATTCCCCATTACTAGGTCACGCATACAAATGACCTGACATCGCTCGCCCTAACATGCTCTGCCCTCCATGCGTTGGCTATTCCGCACATGTACTCCCGGTTCGACATCGTCTGGCCAGAGTCACTGAACCCATCAACGGAGGACTACTCGGGAGTGGATGCTCTGTCTTATGGCTTGTCGACATTGGTAATGGGCGAAGATGTGTTTAGTCGGCTGCCACTGTTCCATGACAGTCAGCCGAGCAACTGTACACACTGCGGTTGTCATTGCCCACCACATCCAAATCCCCCATCGGCAAACAACGAAGTCAGTGGGCGGTCGCGACGAGGGAATCACTATGCGCAATACACTCGCACATTCTCCATTGGAAATGGTCCGTTGAGCTGGGTCCAGGAATACTCAGTGACCAAAGAAGTGGGTAAGATGCTAGGGACGCTGGTTGCATTGGCCGTTGCGCGGATGATCAATCTCGAGGCTTTCGTCTGGGACATGCCGACTGGAGTGGTTCGTGAAATCTGGTTGGCGCTTGCATCTTTGGCGGATCGGCCAGGACATGAATGTCGCTTAGAGCGCATTTGGGTGCGCTGGCATGACAATTCAGAGAATGCTCTACGCAATCTGTCTGCACCGGCAACGAGGCTCTTCCAGAAATACAAACATGTCGAACACCCTTCGTTGTCTGTATTGCCTCCGCTTAAGAGCGTGGCTGTCCTTGACATAGATGAGCCGGCGTATGTGGAAGAGCTGGCTCTTCTTATTGAGCGATCGCGTCATCGCCTGACTGAGCTTCGAATTGGCATTGCCGAAAAAGCCCACATGAGCGCGTGGCTACTATGTGGGACGAACTCGGAGTCTGCATCCAGTTGGCCCCGTGCAGATGGCATTCTGGGAATCCTGAAACGACGCCATTCGTGTGACCAACAGGATGATGTTACTGCAGCCTCCCCTATCAAAGTTTTGATCGCACCTGACAGTGCGACTGACGTCGCCACCAAGTGGTCGACACCTGCTGAGAACGAGGAAACCCTCTCTCCAGCAGAACAGTTACTTCCCAGTGCTGAGAAGAGCAAACGGTTGCCACAAGATTCTGGTTTGCCCAATCGGACTACTCGTTCGCCAGTGTCTGCCTTTGAAGCGGATTCTGATATGCTTAACCTCGATGTACTCGAATTGGAACGTGTTCCACTCTCTGTACCCACATTACTGCCAGCCGTTGACTGGACCAAACTCACCACTCTAACTGTCATGCAATGTGCTGACCATGAAAAGCTTTGGCGGGCTCTTCGCCGAAAATATGCACCTCCTCCGGCACCGGTGAAGCGCCAGGACAAACCAGATCGCCGATTGAGTGAAAGCTCGGTTGACTTCCCGCTTAAACTGAAACACATCCGTACAGATAATGTTTCACCCTATTTGATACTCTTCATCAAGGATGCATTGGCATCGAATACCTTAGAAAGTGTCTTCTTGCATGAAGCGCCGGGTCACGAATCTTCTGTGCAAATTGACGCCATTTACCGGCACATCCTACGAAAGCATCGCAAGAGTCTGCGGAAGGTTCTTATCGATGGCACTGATCGCAAGATTGGCAGTGGGTATTCCGGCTCGCGGTGGCATAAATGGATGTTTACTCATGACATGATATCGTTTGTCACGAGTGGGAAAATGCCGCAGCTGAAGGAGCTGGGCATGGCGATGAATTATGCCGATTGGGTAAACAAGCACTCTCAACTTGCCAGTCACAACTTATACTAACATCAAACCAGCATTTCTTTCTCCAGAGGTTGCCAAACATGCCCCAGCTTCGAGCGTTATACCTACCAAACATCGGCAACACCGTCCATCGTGATCTGAAAGAGCTAGCTCTCCAAGTTCTGGACATCGTCAGCATCCGTCCCGATCTCAAAATCGCCTACATCGGTCTCCACGTCAAGTGCTTCCAAATCCTCGAAGCCAGACATGATGATAACCCCGCCGATTTCGACGACAACCCTACGGCCGATAACTCCCCGGCGCCCACTGAGGAGGATGAAGACCCATCGACCAACGGCAACCCCACCTTCGAAGACCACAGTGACGATGACGATTCATTCAACGCAGACGTCCTTTCCAGTAATCCGGAAGACTACGATACCGACCCAGACGACGATCAGAGTACCTCGCGCATTCGCTACCGACTGCAGGAGATTCTGTTTTATGACGAGAAGGTTTCCATTTTCAAGGCGCGACACGGTGTTTTATGATTGATGTGGGCTTGCATTTTACTTGCGCAGGTGTCATCTGGGCCATTAGCGGCGTTGGGAGACGTCCCGGGATCTTTACTCTTGCCTATGGGATACCATCACTCCTAAGCTTTGTCTTTACTTAAAATGAATTGTTTTCTATCATCGATGTCCTACGTAAACTGTAGTGTGAAGTCCCCTGCAGTTCCAAGTAGAGTCTGGGCCACTGCTCCCTCTCCACGTGGGACGGGATCTCGGCTGGTCCCGGTCGATCAGCCGCATGTTCAGCCGCATGTGCAAACGACCAGGCACAAGTGCGAGAAAGACCGTCTGATTGGTCCTGGTGTGAATAGGCTGATGATCCCATTGTTCTATTGTTCTATTGTTCTGTTGTTCTATTGTTCAATAGACGAATCGACCAATTGAATCACAGGTCCCTTCTGATCCAGGACATCCTCCAGAGCCAGGTCCCCTATAAATAGCCCTCCCACCTTCTTCCCTCTCTTTTTTTTCTTTCTTCTTCAACAACCTCCCCTTCTTCTTTCTTTCCCCCATTCCCATCCCCATCCCCATCCCCCATTCCTCTTTTCTCTTCCCCTTCCCTCTTCCCCGGCACTACCATGATGAAACGAGTTGGCCGGCCCGGGGTCAGCTGGACGCTAAAGTCCAGGTCCTCGGGAAGTGCCTAGCTCGCAGTCTGCGGGCTGGTCTTCGGACAAAAGCCCCCGGACTGATTCTGACGCCAGTTATCATTCCCCTTCCCTTCTTTTGTGTTCTTTGCTTCTCACTCCCCATGCACCTTGTTCGGGTCTGCGGACTCTTATATTCTGAAGCTGATCTCCATTCCCTTCCCTTCCCTTCTCTTCTGTCATCTTTTACTTCGTCCTCCCTACCTGCCTTCGACGATCCTGTTCCCCGAGTAGCTGTTTAGTGAGTCCGCGGTAATTGAAGACAACCGACAGCGTGTATCCGACCTAGACTTGTAGTCACAAAGCTTGCCAACAGATAATTTACCACATGTCACTTCCATGTCCGTGTTCAAAGGCTTCATTATCATTACATATAACTATCTGTCCAAATTATGTACGCAAACCATGACTCCAATCCCAATTTCCAAGATACAGACCAAATCCCCTCTCCCAGTATTATATAGCAAATTACCTCTCCTCACTCTTCATCTCAATAACAACCGTCTTGGTAATATTCCCAAGCTGCCTCACCTCGGATATATCCCCCTGACCAAGCCCATCGACATGCGCAGGCACAGGAACAGTCACCGAATTCGAAATATCAACCGACACCGTCTGCCCATCCCCATCCCCATCTCCGTTGACATTCTCATTCCCATCGCCATCACAACAATCCTCCAAATCCCTCAAAACAAACTCGACATTCGCACAATCATGCGGCGGCAACGTCCTCCTCCGACTAGACCCAACAGTCCCGGAAAGCTCATGCTCCCCATCTTGATGCTTCCCAGACCGATCATAAGAAGACCCCTTAAAGACAGAACTAAGCATAGGTCGAAGCGACGGCGCCGAGGCGGATATAATGGCAACATTGACTTCAACCTGTGACCAGATGAGGATGTGGATAGCATCGTAGGAGACATCCTTTGTGATTAGGTATTTGTATATGGCGCTGAGTCGAACGAAGGAGGCTGCTGAGGCGAACGTTCCTGTTAGGAAGATTGCGATAAGGGCATCTGTGGAGAACGTGTTAGTTGGGTTTGATTTGGGGATGAAAATGGGACTGAGACTGACACTTTTTCGGGCGGTGGAGATTCAGTTTTGTGAGTAATCGTAGAGGCATGAAAAGGATTATCAAGTCGGTTAGGATGTTGGCTCCTGCCATTGAGAAGTATGCCGCCGGGAGGTTGTTGCAGCCTTTTGGGAAGGTTGGGTCCCATGCGCGCCAGGGTTTGGTGCGGCATTCGAAGGCCTGGATTGGAGGAGTCAGAATTGAGTCTGGAATGCAATGAGAGAGAATGTTGAAGAGAGAGACTCACGTTGACGAAGATGACGACGACTGTGTAAATGAAGACGAACAGTGCAACTGCAGCCGTTGCGATTCGGAATCCCCTTGCGGGAAAGATGCGGTAGTATTGTGCCAAGATGCTGAATTTGACCAGGCCGATTGCGAGTGGGTAGACGAGCTGGTAGGCGTACCAGTGTTTAAGGGTTGGAAGGAGGATCGTTGGTATGTCGAGGTCAGCCATGTGACGACTAGGCGATGTTTGTTAGCCACACCCTGTGAAGAACATCGGACGTGATGATGGGGTTGAAACCAATGCGCTGGAAACAAAGAGGAAAACAGCACTAACCCTGTGCCAAAGCTGATATGAAACCCATTCATCACACCCATCGCAATGGTGACAAACAATCCAGTCACAATGAAATGGTCGTCCGGTCCAACCTTGTGGACTAGCGCTATGCGACAGTAGAGTCTCAATATGACACTGGTACATGATAATAATAACAGCACGATCATTATGGCGAGGAAGGCAGGCTGAAGAGAGCCATTGTCTGCCGTTATGTAGGCCATGATAGGCCGAGTAGAATCATCGGACCTACAGTAATTGAAATGTATGCAGCTATTCCCTCAACTTGATGAACAGGGATCTGTTAATTTCTTATATCACTGGGAGAAAGGCAAGCCATGTGATCCGCATACTTGTGAAAGGAAGCAAGGCTCCGGGGAAGCTTCCCCATACCATAGCTCGATATTGTGCTTCTTTGTATCTGAATTGAGTGTGATAGCATTGAAGCAGTTACGGTACTATCATCCGCCAGTGGCATGATATCATAGTCATATTTGCCTGTGATCTTAAACTTACGGTGAAAGTATCCTCGACAGTTCGAGTCCAGCCCTGTGGGCAACCGTGGGAGCTATCCAAAACTGGCACAAAGAGGACGATCTTTGGCTTTCTATTGGACGGGCTGGCCCCTTGCTCCGCGATCTTGGCGACGTTGGGGTTCCCGAGAGCTCCGATCCCCACGCCTTTGTTTGCACAAGATCTGGACTCGCGATTCACGGTAGCACTGAGATATGACAAATTCGTGCTTCTTTGTCACTTGGCAAATGCCAAGGCCGACCCTCACAAAGGAAAAAAACAATGGGACCATGGTTCGGCATTCTGTCCCGAACACTGTACTTTATTTCCCCCAGTATAATTGGTGGAGCCTATCTGTCCCCACAGGGATAGCTCATACCACGCAAAGTAGAACAGTCTAGGACCCGAGGCGGAAAAGTTGAACTTTATGTTCCTCCGAAGATATAGTGCACTCGGCGGAGATCTTAAACACCCCACTCCCGCCGTGAAAGAATTATTAGACTCAAGCTTTATACATTAAAGTATGCGCTTCCTCCGGCTTTCACTAGGAGTCTTTCTTCTGGTCGCGGACAGTCTCGCGGACACATGCAAGAATCCCCCGATACGCAAAGAATGGTAAGCCACAACGTTATCCTGTCCCGTCTGTGGTATGTATAATTGATTTTATCTCTTTATTTCCTAGGAGGCAACTGGATCTAGACGAGCGCCGTGATTACATAGGCGCAGTTCTTTGTCTGGCGTCTCAACCAGCGATATCTGGTCTAGAGAATGCAGCGACGCATTTCGATGATTTCCAGGCTACTCATAGTGACCAGACTCCAAGTATCCATTGGGTGGTAAGTATTGCATGCCTCATTTCATATATAGCTGTCTACCAAGCTAACACCGTTACCCAGGGTCACTTCGCCCTATGGCATCGATACTTCGTTGCGAGCTATGAAAAAGCACTTCGAGAAGATTGTGGATACAAAGGCGCACAACCGTAAGTCGTATCCTAATATCCTATACCCGGTAAAGAACGTAGAGAAAATGTAATTAAATCCCCGACAGGTACTGGAACTGGTCCTTGGATGCCTCCTCAACAGACAATTCCACAATGGCTATCTTCGAAACCGATGTCTTCGACGCGGACCGAGGGTTCGGCGGAAATGGCAAATACCTCCCAGCCAACGCCACCCAGAACCCATTCAACCTGACCGGCCGAACTGGTGGCGGATGCGTTGAGAACGGTCCCTTTACACCGCCAGATTTCATGCTCGCTGTTGGACATCAAAAAGGTCAACCGGATTGTCTGCGTCGGGACTGGATACCCTGGATCATGAATTACTTTGCCCAAGAGAGTCTTGTGGACCATGTCTTGGCTCAGCCGGATTATACATCCTTTGCACGGGCGCTTGAAAATCTTCCTAGCTTTACGCAGCCTAATATCCATGGAAGTGCGCATTTCGGGGTTGGAGGTGTACTTGGGACATTGGGGAACTCGGCTCTCAGTCCTGGGGGTGAGTTATCAATGCTTTTTATTTCTATATTCCACAGTATTGTTTTGCTGATATGTCAGATCCTCTGTTCTTCCTTCACCACTGCAATCTTGATCGCATCTTTTGGGAGTGGCAGAAAAAGGATCTACCAACTCGCTTCCACGAGGTGGGCGGTCCTATTACGCCGCTTGATTATAGCGGGAAGAATGTTACACTGGACTTCAAGGTCAATATTGGCAAGCTTGCCCCTAATACTACGCTTGAAAGCTTGCTCAATACTCAGGGTGATACTTTGTGTTATAGATACTCGGAATAGGGAGCATTTTCATTTGGATGTTGAAATGCCTTGTATCATGAAATACCGGATAATTGTATCATATGGGCCAGTGTTCCTTAGCTGTTTCAGCTGGACAGCTACTACCCTCGGTGCCGCATAAGCAGGTAGGCGGTGTAAAAGGAGCGGGGTGGAGGTTACATGGAGATTTTGCTGTCCCACTGTACTCTAGGAGTAACTGTATACCTAGGTATACTGTGCAGCGCATCCGTACGCTCGGGACAAAAACGCTGCTCATACCTCATGGTATCAGGGGTTTGTCTGCGCCCGGCGCGGGCCCAGGATCTGCCTGACATTGCCAATCTCGTCGCACAGGCCATGCTGGAGGATGAGCTTTTAATCTGGATGTGTCCCAGGCGCCACGAGCACTATGCGGATTTCCGCTATTCGTTTCTCCGGCGACTCAAGACACGCTTCGTCACCCCGGGTTATGTGATGGTTGTGGCGGTAGAACACTCCGGAGACCGTGAGCAGATCCGTGGATACAGTGGGTGGGAGAGACTCGGGACCGGGGCAGATGCGGGACAATGGCAGCGCGAGAATAATGGGTGGTGGCATGGTGGTGATCCCCGTTTCATTTACCTTACTCTTATCCACGATCGTCGTGGGCAGGCTCCTGGCTAACACGAGCATATGCAGCCCTGGAGCGCACACTACTAGACCTAGAGAACCGATATCTCTCTCTGGTATCCCCAGACCGCAGTGTGGATCTATATCGACAACAGCACTATAGGACGGCCGCGGCGGATGACGCCTTCCCCTTCTCCGACTTCCCCGAGTTATGGTACCTGGGGCAGTTGGCCGTCGACCCGGCTCATCAGCGCCGCGGCATTGGCCAACACCTGGTCGAGTGGGGGCTGCAGCAGGCACGGCGGGAGCGTGTGTGTGTCGGCTTGGAGGCCGGTGTTAAGGGCGCGGGGTTGTATCAGAAGCTCGGCTTTGATATAGTCAATACGACTGAGTTGATTCCGGGCGTGACTATTCGGGCAATGCTGTACACTATATAGTTCGTATGGCTGCATGATGAGAATCAACGATCTAAGAAGGAAATTCGATCCCTTGTGGTGGTGCATGATGATCATTGTCCTGAAAATCTACCCTTGTATATTTGTGATAGCTTAGATGTACTTAGGTTTAGTAATTCAAGCGAGACTTTACCCCATCCTGGCATCCCCCATTTATGTACCCTTGTTTCTCCAAGTTTACCCCAGATTTTGACCCGCAATTTCTTAGAATACGACACCATAGCACTATAGTTTCGGTTCTCGCCTCAAGGAAGCGGATCTCAGCATAGATCTCGGCTATATAGGCTTTAGGCTTCAGACCTTCCTAGGGTAGTAACATATACGCTACTCATGGACAATGATTGGAGTTTACCATACTCAAAATGCAACTACTCATAAAATCGTAATATAACATTGAAAATGCTCATGCTAAATTACTAAATGGGTATCTGGGATCTTGCGCTAGAAAGCTGTATTAGAGCGGGACAAACTTGCTCAATACTCAGGGTAATATTTTGTGTTATAGATACTCGGAATAGGGAGCATCTTCATTTGGATGTTGAAATGCCCGGATCAACTTTAGATGCTTACAACAAGCTTCCCTTTGCGAAAAAGCCTTATTCCAAAGTTCGATACATGTTGCAACTGCAGTTGGACAGAGGGTGGTTTCTTGAGGGCGAAGGCCGCAGAGAGTTGGTTCGGGCTGGCAAGTTGGCGGAGAGGAATGACCAACACTGACCGATATCTGGAATCAATCATGGATTGGAACGACTCGGACACAGAATGCTATCAGCGAGAAGTTTTACGAACTGGAGGAGATGAAAATTTTGAATCAGTTAGTCAAAAGTTGTAAGGTTGCAAGGTTTGTCGTCTTAGGGCTGCTTAGGCGCGGTTGGCGAATACTCTAGGACTACCTTAGCGTCCATGGGTGCCGGGAGTAAGCACTACAAGCACTACAGGCTAGTCTGGCCACCGCAGTCAAGACGGGCTGTGGCGAGTGTCGATGTCACGCCATTCAGCACAGCTCACCATCTCTGTACAGCCATATCCGCTTCTGCAGATCTCAATTATGCCTCGTCCTTCTTTATTAGTCAGTCATAGTCTCTACTTTCCACAATCTCAATCCCAAACATACTTTCAACCACATTGTCTGATTACCTACACACCCTCACTATGGGAAAGGAGAACTTCATCCGACAAATCGAGAACTCCGTTGAGTTCAAATTCCTCGACAAAGTGGTTAAGGAAGAAGTCACAGCACAAGATGCAGTCCAAGACCTCATCAACATGACCATTAGTGCATTGTCCATTCATGGTCCAAGCAAACAAGACGGGATCGGTCTTCCAGACTACAACGTCTCTCTTGCGGTAATGGAGCTCGCTCAACGCCTGGAGCCATCCAAACACACCAAATTTGCCGAGTTTATATCTCATCTCCAGAAGCAAGTTGCCGTTGATCCATCTACGAACGAACCCCTGAGGGTTCAGGGCGATACCCTCTGGACAGACATGCCGTCTTTCGGCTACACGGAGCTTGAGACGTGGTACGAGTTTGGTGGCGAATACAAAGGTGATATATCCTCCAATTTAAACAGTCAGAACGCTAACGCATGTAGACCCATGTGATGCAACGCTAGATTCTAAGCAACGAGATCGCTGGACGAATCTCAACGCTTTCCTCGCGCAGCTCACCCAGACTGTAGACATTCGCTTTACACCTCCCAAGGAAGGAGCGCGATTCTCTCCCCTGGACAAATCACTACGGGCCATATGGACCATGGCGATGGCACTCGAGAACGAGCGCCCTCCTGCGTCGCTGGGAGATACGGCGGCGATGGAAGCTGCTTGCAAGTGGTTCATCTACGCTGCGGAGCGGATTATCGCGATTGTTATTCGAGAGGAAATGCATGAGGCTATATATAAAGCATAAGCTCCAAGTTGATTGGAATCAACTTGCTGTTACGCACGACTATCGGGTCGTTGCTAAGTTAGAAGATTCCGGGTTATACTTGCCTAATGCTTCTCTGTTTCTAACGTTAAAGATTAGTCTCTTAACTGTACCGTTGCATAACACGCCTTATACGGGCTAAGTCCTTTTGCCTGTATTGAGGAGCGATGCTAGGTAGAGCGCCGAATAGATCTATACCGAAGTATTGGTCTGGTCGTAGTGTTATTAAGTTATAATCAAATAAAGAGTCACCAAGGTTTTGTAAATAGTAGACAAAAGTACAATGTATGATTGAACATAAAGAACTAAACTAAGTACATAAAGAAGTGTTGTTTAATAGTATTGGTGGAATCGTGGCTTTTCCTAGGATATCCGTAAGCTTAGGATGGCGCGGTCTATAGGGCGATCCTGTAGCATCGGTGCATACCAAGCCGTGGTCTTAGTCACAGTTATTCGTGGTGTGTGCACGTGACTTTGCTGAGACGTTTGGTTCCGGGGATGCGGGGGTTGGTTGGCTCTAGGTTGTGGCTGCAGGAGCCGTAACAGTATGCACGAACATTGCGGACCCACGATTCATCAATGCAAAGCGTAGGAGGCCCGTGCGATCACCTAGTCGTGGCTGACCTTTCCGGGTGGAGCCAAGCCTATGCATGAACCCCGAACTCGACACTTGGCGCCGCACAGACACATATGATCATGATTTGCTTAGCTGCCTGCCCGGTTGCTCTCCAACATCCTAGGCAAATGCCCAGGGATAGTGCCGCCATGGTAATCGGAGCCGCTCCTCCACACCCCCTTTACCCCAATCACAAGTTCTTCTCCTATAAGCATATGAACCTCTGCAAGCCCCAAGTAGCCCAAATGAGCCTAGATAGGTACTGGATAGACAAGGGCTTGTATCTCCTAGTCTACACGTTCCATATATTCTGGGCTCTGTCCTTTTTGCCGACAGCAGGGACGAAGAAGGATATATCGATGCATATAGTCTCATCAGAAAAGATCAAAAGTACAAGGCAACCTTGCGCTGCTTTCTCACTCACATTCTCCAAAGTTGTATGTCGCACAATATTTGCTTTTCAAAATCCGCTTTTATGATCTCGGCTGAAAGATCGTCGCAGCAAACAAAAGCTACATGCATACATATGCATAATATCAATAGTTCTTGTGTGATGTTCAAGGTCGTACACTAGTTTTAGTGCGCACCTCCTCCACTATAAACCGCCCTGTATGTCTATGACTCGCTCACCAAGAGATCCCGTCGTCTATGATTGGAGATTGATTTTAAATGTTTAACACGCGGAGAACAATAAATCCTTTAAGGAAGGCCCGTAATCTCATAAAAAGAATTCAACAATTCAAACGCGTTGTGCCTATCACCAAAAGTTGCCATTGGTCCTTAACTGTGATTTTCGAGGGGTTCATATATAGCACACATGATATCATGATGTTCACATACACATACATCTGTTGGTTCCCAATAATAACAGATTGAAGGCAGCTGATCATAGGAAATGTCTTGCTAAGTTTGCCACTTGAGCGACTAGACGATCGATTATACCACATATGATCTCATATGGCAGCAGGGATCAGCGGCTCAGCTGAGAATTATCATGCATTATGAAGTAAGAGAAATAGTAGTTATCGTCCTTCGGATTCTGAACAAGATCCGAATTTGTAATTGATGGCGAGAAGCTGTCTATTTAAACTCAACACGTCTCCCGAGCTGAAGATTACATTTCAAGCCAAGTTTCGAATTGTTCTACCTTGTCTTCAAATTCACATATATTCGCATTCAATATGAAGCTCAACTTATCCAAATTTTTTGTGTCGATGTTCGTTGCAGGCGCTTTTGCCCAGTATCCTTACTGCAACTGTGGTAACAGCGACATCCAATGTTCGTACAGACGTTTTCCAGCCTTTTCTCTTCATTCTCTATGGATCTACCTCTACAGAAAAGCTTTCAATGACTGACAATCATAGGTGGTTACAATGACGACCAGGTCTTCAATAACGGCGGCAAAACGTACACCGCGTACTGCAATAAGCGTAAGTCGCTGTCTATCTCATATTGAACGTCTTATGTTCCAATCTAAGTGCCTTGGGTCCAGTTGATGACGACGGTGGTACGAACTTGAAATACTTCGTCGCCGATTCGGTTAAGGCGTGTGTGAAGGCTTGCTCCGAATATCCGGATAACAAATGCAAGAGAGCGATCTGGTACACTAGCGCTGCAAGTGGTGGGCAGACGGGCTGCTGGCTCAGGGAATGGAACAATGTTGACTGTGTCCCGACGACAAAGAGTACTGCGTATAGCAGTGCCCATGTGCACGACTCTAAATGCCCCCAGTAAACTCGGGTACATCGACGCTGGGATGGTTAGGCACAGTGGCATACCGAGACTGCCTCAGAAAACCTCAGTACTACCTAGGTTCTCGCTAAGTACTGCCTAGGTAGTTATATGTCCTAGACATGCTATGCATTCGTACCAGTCTGAGATCAACTATTCGGGTTCTCCATAATTAGTTAGGCGGCCTTTACTCAATGTCGCTCCAGATAGAAGAGTATATAGTGCCGTTCGTCAAGAAAATACACTAATAGAGCAGAACTCTGATCACACCACGTTCGACTTTGAGAGAAAACAAGTAGAAGGAGTTTGTATGTTCTAATGCATATTTACGCTTAGAAGGCAACCCAACCCAAGACCCAAATCGGTACCCGTTTTCGCTTCTGAAGGGCGTTTTCAGCTCGCAGCCAGGCACCAAACACCGGGGGGCATTGCTCTCAATCTTCACACCGCTTAAAACCGCTTAACCAATGTCAGTGGCCCGGCTTGTAGTCAAGAACAGGACGCTTACATAATATCCAAAGTTCCGCAAGAACACAGTCACGAGGTGATTGTAAGCTTCATGAACGTCAGCGCTTCATCCATATGTAGTACCAAAGCCTCGAATATGCCCTCGAACTGCTGGTCTAGTACATTGGGGTCTCCATGCCCAATAATAAGTTCCCCTGCGAAATATAGCTTTATGTAAGTGGATACTGAATGAGTTCCTTTTCGGGGTAGCATTTTACACTTTAATAAAGAGTTTAAAAAGATAGCATAGTAATGAAATTTTTAAGAGGTATGAGACTGATTAGTGGTCTACATACGAAGGTGACTAGAGAAGTTTGGGAAATATCGACAAACGTATCATTTTGAGCCTCTATGCAGTGTTCAGCATGAATCTGATAACTATTATATCAGCCAAGGATCACTGCAGCAATTGAATGCAAATCTCATTTATGGGGACATAAATGCGGAAGTAATAGCTCTGGGCTAAAATGACCATCGAGAGATTGAGGCCGCTTTGCCTTCGAGTAAGCTGTCATTTTCATCATATCTAACGAAGCCTATCAGCGATACATTATCATACCGAGTACACCGGAGAATCATCCCCCGTGGCTTTGGAAAGCTGAACTACAAAACAAGGTCACGCCTGGCTCTACTTTTTGCTTTTGAGGGCTGCATGGAAGGACACCAGTCCTTGCTTAAGGCTAGTTTCCTCCACAGAGCCGTCTCGAGGAGGGAGAGGGAAAACCCTCCCCGCCTTCATTCTTGATCGACCTTAATTTTTCCATCAGAACAAGAGGAACGAGAATGGAGATTTCTGGTGCTAAGGGTAAGACCGGCGTAAGGTCCTCATGGCTTTTGGAGCTCTATTAGGCGAGCAACACTCATTCGTGCATGACCTCGGGTCAATTTTCTAAGACTTATTCTGGACATACATTCACCACGCTAGACCAACAGACAGTGCTAGAGTGGTCTTCTCAAGAGCCTGTCTAAGGTTCCTTCGAGGAATTTTAGGTGACGTTCTCTTCAGACTGCAGATTAAACCGTCAAATGACTCTGCTATTAGAATATCCCGGGAATAAGTCTCCATGGAACGATACTGCAATACTCCTCCCATTGTGTTCCATACTTTGTCTGACACTTTTTCTCGTCTCTTAGACAACGGTGCACCATTACACCTATGACAAAAATGGCTTCTGTCCAGGGATAAATTGAGTCGAAGCCACATGTCGCGCACAACGCGCAAGTAAAGATCACGTTTCCAAGATAGTTGGCATGTCGGACAACACCCCACCATCCTAGTTATCATTAGTTGGCCGGCATTTTGGTAAGATGAAGGGAAAGGGGGAGCGGTCTAGCAGGCTAGCTAGGATACATACCGGAGCACAACAGTTTTGAACTTTGCACCTTTCCACAGGCAAGTGTATAGGAGCATTCAATGTAATTCGCCTTTGCGCCCCAAATCGTACACTGGCCTTGGGATTCGCGGGCTAGATCTTTGTGATAATTGGCCCACAAAGAGAGAAACCAGCCAATCGTCCAAACAAGCGCAATAAAAATAACACTTTGGATCGAAAGTGACTTAGGATGGCGGTAGAGGTATTGCGCTTGAAGGGTGTATATCATAGGCATGAATACCGAGTATCCGTAAATGTAGTAAAACCCGAAATGCTCATATGCAATGTCCAATGTACCGATAAACCTAGAAAGTTCAGTAATCTCTCCCAAGAGCCAATTTTAGGGACAGTGAAACGTACCACTTCTCATTGGCAAAGAAATCTAGCACAACTAGCAGTCGCAATATGACAGCCAGGATCATAGAATTTGTCAAATAGCCAAGACTGTTGTACTGAGCAGCAGCAAACGAAATATCCCTTCTCACCGTTAGTGATCTGAAATAAGAATGGTATGCCCAGAGACTGTTAAGCATATGATGGATAAACTTACACCACGTTCCAGATAATAACACCGCCAGCTCTAGTGCTGTGGAAGTGTTTTATGTCCCAAAGCTTTCCGAAACGGGGGTGGAATTCAATGCCGTTAAGCAGATCGGTCCAGAAGTGCCCTAATTACTGTTAGCGCCGGTCTCCAGGACGATATGCCCTTCGAGACTATTTAGTTAATTTACCTGCAGATATGTTATCCTCTGGACTATCTGGCCAGTAATAAGCCTTCGAGTGGAAGATAAAAAGTAAGGCCAGACTGTATATATTCACAGTCCAAACGAGTCCTTCCCAGTGTTCTGCAATAAAAGTTAAATGCACCAATCCAGTAACTTGCATCAAAACCATTGATAGCAGTGTTAAGCCCCAAGCAACAAGTCCATTGATCCTATAAGGAAGACGTTTACCCGAAGGTGTCGGTTGACCTAATAGCAGCGGTCCGGGGAGAAACTTATACAGCATCGCTTGGAAAAATGTCCATCCCGCATATGCCAGAATGGATGCTATGTCAAAAGATGGCATTCGGCTTCCCAGGAATCGAAAGATGCCTTCAAAATAGGCAGTACGCAGCGTTGATGAGAGAGAGGCATTGAAAAATTGATAGCAGATCCAGTAGAAGAGCGCAAAAACAGGACTGGCGAGGATCAGAATAAACGAGGATACTTCAATCACCACATCATTCGGAGACCATTGCGTTGTCGTTTTGGACACCATATTTGCGGTTGTGTGTGTTTAACCGGAGGTACTGAATTGGAAGCACATGTATTTATATACAGGATGTGGAGAACAGCTTGTCGCGGGAGAGGGGTATTTGTGAATAATAGTTTCCGTAATATTTTTGCACCAGAGAATCTTTATGGTATTTTGAGATGCAAATCCAGCGGTGAGACGACGTGTGGATACTATTGATATATGTACCATGCATTTTGTCGGCCCATGCGTTGATCTTTCCGTGGCCCTAAAATAGTTCAAGACAGATCATATTGGGAAACAGACTTGCGTCATTTTTCCTATTCGTGCTGCTACATGCAGTCCCACGTTATATCCTGGAAGTAACATCCTCACCTGTACCAGTAGGTTTTCCCGTCGAGCATCCACTCTAAATGGAGTAAATAGGTGATTGCTTGGAATCTCGTGCAGTGGAACTGTCGAGGTCCATCGACAGTTCCACCAGAACAATTTCAGGTATGATTGGTTCCACTTCATCTCGTCACGTAAAGTTAATAAGTATTTAGGATTGGTGCTTTTACCATTCGACCACTTCGAGGCAGGTATTTGATATTTATCGCCTGTTGTGACAACCTTACAAAAGGTGCAATTTTCAACACTCGAATGCTTATTCTATGGAACATTCCGCCCAGGAGCTATCAAAAACTGTCACTCGTTTCCAACTGCTATCAATATGGACGTCCTTCTTAAATATCTCGATCAAATCTATCTTGATCCGATATATAGTTCGATGAAACACATAGCTACTGATCTAGCATGTGTTGTTGAAAGTCCGATCGGGCTATGGGGGGCATCGAGGAGGCAAGATTCATATGCAGCAGAGTTAAGACATGAAATTTGTGTTGTCATCCAGTCTGAAAACATATGGGATCGCCGAAGTATCGCCAGGCAGTATCTTAGTCTCTTTGTCTTTACAATGTGTGGCTCTCAGGGGACTCACGTATCTGGCGTACGGAGTTGTCAGCTGACATTCAATTAGGATATCGAGCACACTGCTTTTTTTCATCCTTGGCGGTGTTTGCTATTATTGCAATTTCCAACCGACGTTGAAGTCCCATCCGAAGTTTCTCAAGAAGCAGGTTCGACAAGAGATTAGAGAGTCTATGCTTTCACTCTTCGTTTTGAATGTCCTAACAGCTCCGATATTTGTGGTCCAAATTCGAGGATACTCGAAGCTCTACGGTTCTCCAGAGGAGGGGCCTGGGTATTGGTATGAAGCCGCGCAGTTCTTGCTCTTTGTGGTTTTTTCTGACACCATGATGTATTGGCTTCATCGACTTTTTCATCTCCCTTTGCTTTTTAACACGATGCACAAAGGCCACCATCGATTCGTTATCCCTACCCCATTTTCGGCTTACGCATTCAATCCTATCGAGGCATACATAATGAGTCTCCCGATCCATGCATATGGCTTTATTTTGCCAATGTCCAAATTTGCATACATTGCGATATTCCTTATAAGCAATATCTGGTCCTTTCTATTGCGTATGTACCCTCACCCTGGACTGATGGACTGGCCATACTCATATTTTGGATTAAAAAAAGACGACAGCCAAGACACCTTCCACACTGTCCACCACAGAAATGTCAAGTTCAACTTTGGTCAATTTTTGCCTCTATGGGACCAGTTGGCTGGAACATATCAAGATCCCCTCTGCTTTTTTTCGCCAAAGCGATCTGCTCAATCTTTCAAAACTCGAGAAAACTCACGAGCAACCGCGAAGGGTAGTTCATAAAAAGAGAAGATGTTCCCTATGAAGTAAAAAAATGAAGCTATCATTAATGCTCTATATGCTCCAAGTCGTAGATAAAATCCGCTTCTCGTTTACCCAAGGAACTGTAGTTTTAGTGATAGCGCTTAACTCCCATGGCCAGTGTATGAATATTGTGCGGAAATATCAACTCCTTGATCATCGGCTTGGAAGTTGAATTAGTAATATATTCCATTTTACGAAGCCTACAGTTTTTTGGACGTCACCCACTTTACCAAACCAAAAATATCCACTGTGGGTTAGGCCTCTCTGGTTCGCTGATCTCCGAAAAGATTTATTACAAGTGGCTTTTGCATGTTCCCTCTATGTCCTGATGTTTGCCTGATTGTGACGTGAAAGGACTCAAGAAACTCAGCATTGATTCGCTTCTATACAGGCCCTGCATCTACCCCCTTCAAGGGAAGTCGTCCTCAGAAACAGCATAAGGTGGTGATATTCGTCCTCGCATGAAGAGAGGTCTCAGATGCAAGCTATATCACATGTATTACCACGGTGTGACGTTAAATAAAGCAAGCACATTTTCGGGCAGAGTCGGTGAGGGTAATGGCGATCATGGCGTGGCTGAAGTCGGACAAACAATCATGTACTGGGCGAGATCGGCAGTACCGGCGATCTGGATTGATGGGCCCCGTGAATACAATGGCTGAAACACGGCTGGCAGAAGCTGAACTTACACATTTTCCGCGAACAAGATCTACTTTGCGGCCCCACAGCCAGTTTTCCGAGATTCAGCCAAGTGGGTACACATCTTGTTCTAGCGGGGACCACGGGATTAAAGATCAGTCGTTCACTTTGGTCCAGAGCAGTATATTGATAAGCCAAAAGTGCTAATTGTCCACGTCGATCCCACATACAGAGCGCTGCGGACTATACTGTATGTTTGCAATGACTTCATTTTATGTGCAACTAGCGATGGCCATAGTACATGATTTTTCTATAGACATGGAGGTTCCAGGAACCAACTAAACAATCTCGGGAACGGAGCATTTATGTCTTGGAGCTTTAAGGTTGAGGTCCAGGTGCTCAAGTGTTCCTAGGAATGCCTTCATGCATTCCTGGGGGCGCCTGTTGAATTCTTAGAACGAATCAGCCGGCCTGACATAGAAGCATATATATGGAGCGAGCAACATCGGCAAATGAATTCATCATGGTCGATGTTTTTTGCTGTAACATTCTCACTTACGCACATTTGGAGCCCGTCAAAGCGTCAGCAATATGCGAATATGCAACAATACCCGCACCCGAGACGCTGCACAATGACTTTTCGCTCCGAAATCGCCGTGGTTATAATCCAGAGCGAAGCTGTTCTCAGGAAAAAGCCACTTTGTGGTTCACCAACTTCCAAGTTGAAAAATGCGATTAGGGTGGACAAGTAGGGAACGCCCTACGCTGGGCAATTAACTTTCTTCCCTTTTGCACCTGACATGTACCACTAGGTCATCATTTGACGAATGGCTAGTCTGCTGCAGGTCCGCTAAAGAAGGTTAACCTCGAGAGCGATGGACTGAGCGGAGAATACGTAATTCCGAGGCCGTGTCTACCATGCTCACCTGATCACATTTTCACCCCTCCCAGGGACAGCGGGAATATCGCACACGGCTAGTGATCACCTCATTTTAGAAATATTGGCATGGATATAGCCTTTGTCAATGTTCAGACCCCAAGGGACGCCCTTCAGCTCGCCAAGGAACCCGAGTTTCGGTCTCACGTGGCACATCATCAATGGAAGCACTCTGCGCGTCGAAATAAGCGACGCCGGAGGGCAATGTTGTTACATGATTCGCATGAGACGAAGAATTCCGAATATCCAACTGGGCTCGTGATCAACCCTTTCAGCTCGGATCCAGTCTCGATTTCGCCCCAAATAGGCGGACTCAGAGTCGATCCTTTCCAGACATATCCTGTCTCAGCTCAACCTTGGACTCCGCTGCTGGTCGATCACTGTATGTTAAATTTTCAGTTCTGACGTAGTCAGTGTGGACTTCTTTTTAACATGGATAGACTTGATACACATGGCAGTTGACATACCTGAACTTGATCTGCCTGGAAAACCCGGCCTCTTGAGGACCATTTGGTTTCCGTTAGTGATGACTGAGCCCGCCTTGTTCTCTGTCATTATTCTTCTTGCGGCGTCGCATTATGCCTCCTTGCAGGGTAATCCTGGCGGCATGAGAATCAATCTCCTCAGTCTTCGCTACGAAGCTGTATCATCCATAAATCGCAGGCTTGGTGCTCAACGGTCAGAGAGTACATATGATGCTTTAATAGGGGCCGTAGCAAAAATGGCAAGCTACGAAGCCATGTTCGGCAGTCTTGAGAATTACGATATCCATATGCAGGGTCTTGCAAAAGCCATTAGTTTACGAGGGGGCCTCACATCCCTTGGACTTAATGGCTTACTCCGTCGAATCGTGGTCTGGATTGACCGAAACGCCGCTTTCTTGCATGGATCGTCCATATATTTCCCTGTGGACACCAGGGCGTCAGGTGAAACCCCATCAGATCCGAATCCTGGCCAATTTCTTGGAAGATCCTGATGTAAGTAGTAGCACTGGCTATTCATTGGAATTTTTAGAACTTCCCTTATCCCATATATTCATAGAGTTTCTTGATGGGACTTCCTAGATAGGATACCACATACTAAACCCCATATTTCACCACGAATGAAACAGCGTATTTGCGGCTGTGCCCCACACATTTCCCATTGAAGATAACACATACTATGGAATGTGGGTCAAAGTCCATACCGCTATTACATCACAACAGCCCGTTTACAGTCTCTTGGATATATATTAAGCGATGAACAACTCTTATCCAAAGGCCATACTTCGGCCCTCAATTACCACAGTCCTACTTGACATCCTCTAGCCACTACCCATTTCCGACAACCAAATGGCTCTTGCCGGCAAAGTTGCCCTTATCACGGGCGGTGTTAAGAACCTTGGAGCTCAAAGCGCCCTTGAGTTGGCTGGCGTGGGCGCCAACCTTGCTCTTCACTATCACTCCTCTGATGGTGAAAAGGAGACAGCCGCGCTTGAAGCTGCACTCAAGGAAAAGAACCCTTCAATCAAGGTTTCATTCTACCAAGGCGATCTGACCACTGCAGCTGCAGTGAAGAAATTGTTCCAAGATGTTCTTTGTGACTTCAACCAAGTTGATATTGTGATCAATACTGTGGGAAAGGTACTGAAGAAGCCTATTACGGAGATAAGCGAGGAAGAGTATGACACAATGTTCGCGTAAGTCTCGGGGAAGAACGTTACGATGCCTCTATATGTGCATGGCTAAAGTGTTTTCCTAGGGTAAACTCTAAAACTGCATTCTTTGTCCTCAAAGAAGCGGCTACTCATGTGAGCGATGGCGGGAAGATCATCAGCATTGCCACCGCGCTCCTAGGAGCGTTTACTGGCTACTATACTTCTTACGCTGGTAGCAAAGCTCCCGTCGAGCATTTTACTCGGTGTGTTGCTAGTCCCCTGATGACGAAAGACCTAGTTAACAATGTCCTAGTGGCGTTTGCAAGGAACTTCAATCCCGTAGGATCAGTGTGAACAATGTCGCTCCGGGACCAATGGATACACGTAAGGCTATCCTAAGTGATTTTTCATTCGAGAGATCTAACGTGAGGTTTATAAATAGCGTTCTTCTATCCCCAGGAATCTCCGGAAGCCGTTGAGTTTCATAAAGCGAATGGCATGGGGGGTCGTCTTACCATGATCGAGGACATTGCTCCTATCATCCGCTTCCTCTGCACGGATGGTGCTTGGATTACTGGCCAAACGATTTTCGCCAATGGTGGATACACTACTCGTTGATAGAAGTTTTAGAGCCATCGCAGTAGGGAAATCAAGGTTGATCGCAACTAGTGCTAAGTCTTGACGCCTGTATGCGCGTCTGTATGTGATTAACTCGCCGATGTAGACTAAATAAGAATCCGTCCTTGTCTTAGTAGGTGATGTCCATAATCGGTTTGTGAAGGATCAGGGCAAATGAAAGTGAAGGTGGTGTCTTTCTGCTGGGCTGGATTCCGGTCCAGCTAGATTGACAATACGAAGGTCCAATTCCAGTGACATGGTCAGTACGGGCTTAGAGCATCACAAAGTTATGGTCGGTGATGGGTCGGGACGGATTGTGGGAGTATGCCGAGCAAGCACATGTTCTTGCGCATATTAGTAACAGGTCGCTCGCTAGGGCTCCGAAAGGAATATGAATGAGAGACTTATTCATACTCGCAAACTTAAAATCTCGCAAATTCAAATATATCTATATATATAATTCATATTTAGTCATATACTGAGGGAGCGTACATTGCCGTTCATGTCGACAAGCAACCATAGTTCATGGGCTCAGATTCCATTACACACAATGTACCCCTTTTTGCGATACGAAGTCCTCTTGGATTTGAATATTATCATTATCACAAGCCTGGAATTCTATTTTGACCCGCAATTCCTCAGAATGCAACACCTTGGCACCATAGTTTCGGTTCTCGCCTCGAGGTCGCGGATCTCGGCACGAATATCTGCCATGCAGGCTTCAGGCTTCAGACCTTCCTGGGATAGTAATATATACGCTACTCATGGACAATGATTGGAGTTTACCATACTCAAAATGCAACTACTCGTAGAACCGTAATATGGCATTGAAAATGCTCATGCTAAAGTACTAAATGGGTATCTGAGAGCTTGCGCTAGAATGCTCTTTTACAGAGCGAGAAAGAGTTGCTCACGCGATTTCGCGGTGGGCAACCTCCTGCTGTGCGCGGATCAACTCGACCTCAATAGCGTGCCTCTTTGCCTGGTCTGCTGCACTGGAATTGTCTTTGAAGACATGGTCCATTTGTTCCAGGGTGCGGCCCTTGGTTTCTGGGACGAAGAAGTAGGTCCAGATTCCGGCCAGGACGCAGAATACGGCGAAGAAGACGTAGGCGCCGTAGCCAGTGTTTTGTACGAGAGGGGGTGTGATCAGGCCCTGCAGTGAAAGATTAGTATTCTTGGTGTATGGATAGAGGGGCGATGAAGGAATCTCACGATAATGAAGTTGTTTAACCAGTTAGAACAGGTCGATAGAGCGACACCCTTGGCACGCAGAGAAGAGGGAAAGATTTCTGAGTATGTATATTAGCAGGATATTTTGGTTAAACAGGATAAGCATTCCCATACCGGAAGGCAGTGCCCATGGAATGGGTCCCCAAGAAGCTCCGAAGGAAATCATGTAGAACAGCAGCATGGCCACACTAGCCCATCCCTGAGGCCGATGTGCCGGCCAATTGTTCGAGAACTTGCCAACCAGAATCGCAATGATAATGTGTGAGATGGCCATGAGAGCTGCGCCAACTAGCAGCAGCTTCCGACGACCAACCGAGTCCATGGTCCAAATACTAGTGGTAACACCAACAAGCTGTAGTATATTGAGGACTCCGGACATAATGAGCTGCATGCTCGAGTCGAGACCCATTGTCTTGAAGAGGGTTGGGGAGTAGTAGATGAGAGCATTGATACCAATGAACTATAATATTCATTAGCCCAGTCAACTCGGTGGATCTGTGGAGATACGAACCTGTTGGAAGAAACCCAGTCCAACACCGATATGAGTCCGACGCCAGCATCCCTTCTTGAAGCAATCGGCCCAAGATGCCATTTCCAGCAAAAATGAGTTCTTGGCGCCCTTTTCTTGAAGATTCGGGTGCTTCTCTTTGTTGGTTTCCTGGTGGAAACGTACTTCGGCCTGAATATCCAAGAGCTCTTGGCGAACGCGTCTATCTGTTGGTGGTAGGGAGCGAAGCTTGCTGAGACTCAGGAGTGCTTCCTCGTCGCGACCCTTAGAAGCCAACCAACGCGGGGAGAATGGAAGCATATATACACCGGCAGCGAGGACAAATCCTGGGATCATTTGCAATAGGAATGGGAGACGCCAAGCCCATTCGCCGACCATATAGCGGGTTCCGTAGGTGATCCAGAACGCGATCACGATACCGAGCACGATACACCATTCCTCGAGGACCAGAAGGGTACCACGGCATTCAGGGGGGCCTAAGAAGGAAGAGAACACAATTAACCATGTATACTGGGTGATACAAAGCATCAAAAACAGAGGCACTTACTGATTTCAGAAATATACAACGGTGCAACCATCGACAACATACCAACTCCAAGACCTCCAACGAACCGAGCAACCGTCAACATGGGATATCCGTAAGCAGCAGTCTGCAACACGGAACCAAGCGTAAAGATAGCAACAGCAACAAGAATCGAATAGCGGCGTGAAATCTTATCCGCGATCCAACCCTGATTCAGCGCACCGATCAAAGCACCCAATTCAATCATGGCCGTCAAAAGTCCCTTCCAGAAACCCGCTCCCGATGCGGTCTCCGATACTCGCGGGAATTCAGCGAGGAACTGGTCCATGACGAGAATCACTGACACAACACCCTGGTCATAACCGAACAGCAGCCCTCCTAGTGTTGAGCAGGCTGCACACAGCAACACAAATGGGTTGGCGACTAAACCGCGCATACCGGGTGGCCCGTAGGGCTCGCGGTCGTGTGCGATGTTCCCGGCATGGTGTGAGAAGCCATCTACCACGGGGTCGTGTGATATTTCTTTTGTTACTTCGATTTCATCGGCCATGTCTAAATTGAGGACGGAGGCTGTGATGGAAAGTTGGTCTCTGATTTGGTGCTTTGGTCTGTGAGGCAGAACTGGGCACGAGGTATCATGGAAAGTTTTTATGGTATTTATACTTGCGTGCCCATTTCTCCTGGGATACTTAGGTTTGGTCATGACCCGGGGTGACTTGGGGCCTCGGGCTGCCTCCGGAGTAGACAGCCCAATCAGCAGCAAGCCGGGAGCCAAGTCGGAGTTGAATGACGGAAACCCTGTATGTCTTCATTTTAGTGTACGGACCCGTGGGGATGCGGAGGGGAAACATGGGGGTGGGATCGGCGGTATGCTTGTGGGGGATAGGGCTTCAATTGGTAATCCGGGGGCGGCTATTGTCGTAAGTTTGACCTTTTTGCCATCTAGGCATTCGGCCTTTAAGAGATATGTTGAGCCTTTAGGCTGAGATAGTGGTTTCGACCTCTTTGCTCGGAATGTGCGTGTAATGCGCGCGATCTTGGACAGGCTGATCCTTGCAGACCCGCTTGCTCCAGACCTTTGGTCGGCCAGAAACCCCTCAGATTTCGGCTTGACTCCGGTACTAACTGGTTCCTTTGGTCTCCACTTGATGTTTGAAGTCAGGAAGTCAGGAAGTCTGGGAGATGCGAATATCCGGAGTATCACGTGGTCTTTTACTTGGGCCATCTATGGTGTTTTATGCTGTAGTCCTTCTATGATGTAGTTTTGTATTTTCGCTGTCATATAATTGGGCACAATCCTTGGATATTCACGAGTATATCATATACCAAGTTGGCATTGAATATATGCCAAGCACACAAGTTTTAGTCGAAGTCTATATAACTCGGCCCGGTGTAAGCCGAGTCAGTTGGAGCCGATTCATCCCGTGACGAGAATGAGGTTCACCTGATATGTCTCATATGTCTCCCCCACGGGGAAACTAGAAAGTCCTATAAAAGACCCTCTATAAAGATTATTCGATTATTCATACGGAATTCACCTACCGAGTGGAGACAGAAAAGCGGTCGGCGTCTGCCAAAGCCACAATCTCACGGATTCCAGTTCCCGACTCGACGTCACCTCCAACACCTCCCCCCAGACAATCTCACATTCAATATGGTTTCCTTCGTGGAGGACCTATGGTCCAGCATTTTCACTCCAGGTCCCACCCCAACCCTCCTGATCGCAACCAACGTATCCTTCGCCGCCCTCCAGCTCGTTTTCTTCGCCCTTCTTCTAGCTACATACAGTCTGCACTTTGTCGCGCTCTCCATCATCAGCGCGGGACTATGGTACTCCATCAACTGGTTCGCGGCCGAAGTGCGACTCGCCCAACTGGCTCAGGAGGCTGAAAAGAAGAAGGAAAAAGACCAAGAGGATGACACCCGTGCGCGCGGAGCCAGTGTTGGCAGCGATACTGAGACTGAGGTACTGGCTTCCAAGAAGCAGAATAAGTCTGAGGCTGTCGCGACTGGAAGCACTTCCAGGTTGCAGCCTACCGAGCTGGATTCGAAGAAGAGACCCAGTACTGGTGGTGATGGCTCTGGATATGGAAGCACTGATAGCGAGTGGGAGAAGGTTGATGACACCCGGTCCTGAGGGATGCTGATCGTGAAGTGACTGAGGGTTCTACGGGTCGTGGGATGCTTTCCAGTCCCTGGGCTTCTGATGCGTAGCGCATGGGTAACACAAGGCCGGAGTTGGCCTGTTACGCGCCTTTAGTATACGCGCACTCTGTTCTATTTTGTCTCGATACCCCTTGCTGTGTAGATGGTACAATATACACTTCCATTTTGCTTCGCAATACACAAATAGATTCATGAAGAACAAGAACTTGCATATTATCCGAGTAGAGTGGGGCCTGAAGCTATAGAACTACCCCCACGTGACCACGCGATATCATCTAAACATTCCCCAACTCCAATCCGGTAAAAGACGAACCCAACGGCGCGACACACAAACAAAGCTATACCTCACCATGCCCAATGTCTGATGGTTACAATGCTATCAACCGTTCCCCTCAACGTGGGACGTAGGCGCGTGTTTGGCTCCGTCTTCTCCCCCGCGACCCTAGAAGCCCCGGCGAAGTCGAAGTCAACCCCGAAACACGAAAACGACCAGACACCTACCACCTCCTTCCATAGCTCGACAGGCTCAACTTCGACATTCAAGGCAGACTCATTGCCCAATTCATTTGCCACTGTTGGAGGATCGACAGACTCGCCGGACGAGGAAACATTGGAACAGGCGCGACTTGCGGCGAGCGAATTCTTGTCTGTGCCCAACCTCGGCTTCCAACTGCTCTATGACTACAGGAATACAGATGGGAGTGAAGTGCTGAAGCAATGGAACCGGCTCAGCCCGCCGTCGAAGGAGACAGCAGAGGCGCTGGACTGCCTAGTGCGGAATTGTCCGTGGACGCTGTTTGATGGATATGGTTGTGATATTCGGAGGCATTTTCTGGTTAATCTTCGGGATGGGCTGTCCGAGGTAGGTTGCCTGCTGTCTGTGATTATTCCCGCTACATGTGCTGACTGTATTATAGCTTCTTGGGAGCTCGGAGAAGGATGGTCTTCTCCGGACCATCGTTGACTGCTTACAGCTTGCCCGTCGAATCTACCTCGCGCCCGTCGTGCACTACCTTCTTCCTCTGATTCCGACACCCCACCAAGCCGGGTTCTTGGCTCAATTACAACGGGCCTTTCATACGGTCGTTTCATATTCTCTGCCATGGCGGCAGATTTCACCGCTTCTTGCAAACGAACTCACGCGAGATGCTGTCACTATTTTGGGTATTGATACCGTGGATGGGGATTTGGATATGGAGAAAATGAGCGTTGATGAGATGGAGGTTGATCGAGCATATTCCGTCTCGTACAAAGACTGGAGGCAAGAAACCACTGAGGCTCGAGCACACATGATGGTTGAGGGGGAAGACCATCGAGTGACAGTTGCCCGAGATCGACTTCTAGCTTTCCTCAATGGTCTGCAGCTCGTTGGACTTGGTGCCGAAAAAGCCCAGAAGGTGTTTGCGAAGGTGATGAATGTTATGATGTCGGACTTCATTTCTGCTGCATACACCGGCCAGTGGGACGCACCAACATCAGCGCCACAACACCTGCGACAATGGATAGAGAATGTCTTCGCCCGGCTCGCGGTACAGGTCTTGGCTATCATTCATTCCGAACAATCAGGAACCCAGACTGGGGCCTTGGATGTGAGCTTTGGTGATGTGGAAAAGTGGCAGGATATGGGAATCGCCCGCTTAGGTGCGCTTCGGGTTAGTGAGCTTTTCGACGTGGTCGTCGAATGGCCTGCGAGCAGTGGAGCGGTGGAAGATCTGCGGCACTTCACTACACATACTACGTCGAGAACACATGTTACGCAGTCATTTATCAATATGCTGCAACAACGGTTGCTGCATCCTGGAGCTTCCACTGTCGAAATCTTACAGGTGTACATCTCCATCATTCGAGCCTTCCATCTACTCGACCCCAAGGGTGTTCTGCTTGATCGTATCGCTCGACCTATCAGACGTTACCTGAGAGATCGCGATGATACCGTCAAGGTCATTGTCGGTGGCCTGTTGGCGGACTCTACAACGGCCAATGCAGGTGACACTTTGTCAGAACTATCGACAGAGCTGACCAAGGTACACCAGCACTCCATGCGGAGCAACAAGGGCGAACTGGACTTTGACGACTTGAACTGGGTACCTGATCCAGTGGATGCAGCTCCGGACTATCGAAAGTCAAAGAGCGTCGATGTCATTGACAGCCTGGTCAGCCTGTTCGACTCGAAAGAGACTTTTGTGAAGGAAATGCAGACTCTCCTCGCAGACCGCCTGATTCAGAACCGCAAAAACTATGACCAGGAAATCACAGTCCTGGAACTCCTCAAGGTCCGATTCGGCGACTCAGCACTGCAAGCGTGCGAGGTCATGCTCCGGGATATCTCAGATTCCAGACGTCTCAACATCTCCGTGCAGAAGCAGAGCCATTCAAAGCCTCGCTCAGCCGCCATGGCCAACAGACATGTGCAACCAGAGTCCACAGAACTCCACGCCAAGATTCTATCTCGCTTCTTCTGGCCCGAGATCCAGGAACAAGAATTCAAGGTCCCCCACGAAATCGCCAAGCTACAAGAAAGCTACGCCACCGGCTTCGAAGCCCTCAAAGCCTCGCGCAAACTCAACTGGCGCAACGGCTTAGGCCAAGTAACAGTCGAACTCGAGCTAGAAAACCACAGCTTCGTCGGCGAAGTCACAACCTGGCAAGCAACGGTAATCTACGCCTTCAACTCCGACACCGACACCGATACGGATCCCAACGAGCCAGTCACAAAAACAATCACCGAACTATCCGACACTCTGTCAATGACCCCAGCCCTAGTTCGCAGCGCCTGCTTATTCTGGGTAAGCAAACGCATCCTAACAGAACCCCACCGCGACACCTTCCGTGTTCTGGAAATCCTACCCAGCGAAGACGCAGCCCAAACCTCCGCCGGAGGCGGCATCACCGGTCCCGAAGGCGCAGAAGGCGAAGACGCCGACGGCGCCAATGCAGCGGCAGCAGCAGAAGCAGCGGCAGCTGCTGCAGCGAAAGAATCTGCCGAAGCGGCTGCTATGGAGAAGATGAATTTGCATTGGCAATTTATTGTTGGCATGCTTACGAATCAGGGTCCTATGCCGTTGCAGAATATTGTTATGATGCTGAAGATTGTCGTTCCTGGTGGGTTTCCGTTTAGTAATGAGGAGCTGAGGGAGTTCCTTGGGGGTATGGTTTCTAGGGGCAAGTTGGAGGTTGTCAGTGGTGGCAGTTATAAGATTGTGCATTAGGTTACTGTTACGAAGTATTTTTTGGCGTTGGGAGGTGGTGCATTGTGCATGGATACCCAGATCAATGATTTATGATTTATTTATTTTGTCCAAGTACAGCAGTTTTCGGAATCAGCTATATTCCACCCATGTTGTTTCCTTCTGAACAACTTCGTCATAGCCAAACCAAATCCATAAAAGAAGAAAAAAAGGTATCATTCTCATAACCAAAGCATACACATATACACAAACTACCTCCCAAACTACTCAGCATCCAAAGGCGCGACAGGCGCCTGATCATCAACCTGGATACCCCCCCTCTTCTTCTCATTACTATCCCAAAAGGCAACCTCCAGCCACCCTCCTCCTCAGGCGTAGCCAACCAAAGCCGCATAAGATGCCTTCTCGGCTTAGGCGGCGCATGATCCGTGTAAGCCGTCCGCGCATGCAAAATATGCGCATTAGACAGGAACTGAATATCCCCAATATCAAGAACCATATGCAACGAAAGCCGCACACAAGTCTCCTCCAGGACCTTCAATGCCTCGAGTTGCTCTGCGCTCAGAGGGGGAATGATGCCTGCGTCGCTGAAGCGGCCCAGAGAGCGGACGTAGTACGGGTCCCATTTTGTGTAGACGCGCGGCTCGATGCCTGTTTCGGCTGCGCTGCGCTCTAGGTAGATTACACTTGTGCGGATGAATTCTTCTTGGCCGGTTGAGGTTTCGCCTTTGCGGTCGAAGTACCAGATTGGGGAGATTAGGGTTTTTAGGACGTCTGGACGTTCGGCTGCGAGGGTGTTGTAGACGTTGTGGGAGGAAACTAGGTCGCTTTCGCCGCCTTCTAGGGCTTTGGCTATGCAGAGGAGGCCGACTATGTCTGAGTCGTCGGCGTGGAAGTATTGGCTATTTTTATATGCGGTAAGTAAAGGCTCTTTTTCTTTCTTGCTTGCTTGTTTCTAATAGGGTAAGATACATACCGAGCATTGGTACGGTAAATCCGGACCTTATCGATCTGCGTCGAATCCTCGCCGAGATCCTTGACGTGGCCGAGTACATGGCCGCGACTGTTTTGGCTGACGAAGTAGCCGAGGTATGTACCCAGGCCCATGTATGCCACGGCAGACTTGTGGTTACCCCATTTCTGGACAGGGAAGCCCTTGAATAGAATAAAGCCCTTTCCGTCAATGAGATCTGCGCGTAGCTTGTGGAGATACTCTGCTAGCTTTGGGAGTTGGAAATTGCTCTATACAACAAATAGAATCATGTTAGCTTTAACTCTTGTCTTTTCTTTTCTCCTCCCTAGACTTAATATCTCACCTTGGAAATGCCAGTCAAAGGTGTCTTAGAAGCAAGGAAAGCATCTGCCGCAGCACTCAGTTCGGCTACCTGCTCCTCATTGAAAGTATGCGTCCATTTCTCCGGGTTCTCGCGGTAATCCTCGGCTTTCCAGACAGTAGGGCCGGTAATCTGGCGCGGGAACTGGTCGAAGGGAACGAGCTCGTCGTAGAGAGGGGGTGTTGCCCGGTAGTTTTTAGCCCATCTGGGAAGATATCCTTGGAGATAGGACCACCTAGGTTGTGCGGAGCTGTTGGGAGGTCGCCTGTAAGAGCGGGTGCCATTTTGGAGGGCTTGTAGGGCAGGGAAAGGAAGTGGTGTGGCTATAGAGTCATGTATGACGAGGGTCCTCGGGTTATTTATACTTATGTTACATGTGCTATGAAACGGTGATAATCCGTGATAATCAGTGAGGAATGATGTGGATTGTATGGCGTGCGAGATCCACCGAATAACTTTGGAATAGCTGTTTATGTAGGATATAGGTATTGTTAAGTGACCAAATTGAGCTGATTGGGAGGTTTGCGGCGAGATGGCGCAATTTGCGGGGTTCGATGTTGTGATGGCAAGGGCCGATCACGAATATTTTGTCAGGGTAGGAGTAGATGTTAGTCCGAGATTTAAGAGTATATTAGCAGAGTACAGTATAGTAGTATAGTAGTACTCCGTATAAGTTAATATAGAGTATGCATGTAGTCGATGTCAGTGAAATAAGTATAATGTGACGTTGACTCCTGGCTATGTGGTGAGCCGCAATGGAGGCTTACAGCACCCACGTTACACTACACTCTACACTCTACATTATTCGGTACGCGTCTATCCTATTGTTGCGTAATTCTCGGCCGATATCTTATATAGCTCCATCCCATGAAATACCGAATCGACCTTGGCACGCAGCGAACCAGCATGCTGCATATCGAAGACGCAACTTTATCCTGATCGAGAACCCACCTAGTCGATCATCTCATGCAAAATCAGGAACAATCTATCGGTCGAGAAGTGACTTCGGCTTTTGTTCGCTGGCTTATGGCAGGTTTTTAGCGCTAAAATCGCATGGTCTCGTCTACAGGCGGGTCCCTCAGGAAAGTTCTTGGTTTTTTGTCCTTAATCTATCCGTCGCATCTCTACCTAACCCCTTGGACTATCGCTTGACTTAGTGAAAGATCATCTGTTAATGTGTTGAAAGGTGGTCTGCATTTTATACCTTGAAGCGCCTATCCAAGCTACAGGACCAGAACCTGGCAAGCGAAGCAACAGAGGCCTGGCATCACAGGCATAATCCTGGCATCAGGCATATTTAATATTTTTTCACACTCACTGCTATAGCCTACAAAGGGAAATTTTGAAGCTATTACCACCTTTTACTAGCCGGAGAGAATCATCTCTTATTCGGCTTTCTATGGCGTTGAGAATTGCTACCCAGCTAACCCCACAAATCAATTGCCATAGCCTTTAGGTGATTTCATATCTATTTCACTCCATATCCCTGTCTTCAACTCCACATGAGCTTATATCCTTCATTCTGTTACTAACAGAACGACGGACCAACCAGATGCTCTTCCGACAAGGATTCGATTTCCTCATTGGGAAATGGCAGGTCCACCAGATGACTCAGAGAAATTCTGATTAGGTATGTCGATGCGATCTGGGTATCAAGTTCTTTTGGGGCATATATACATTCGTCGTTCTTTTTGTACATATCTTAAAACACATATTCCTTATGGCGAACAACATCCACGTCGCCGTGCTAGACGCAGACATCCCCTGCTTATCAGTATACAAAGAGCGGGGTCTATACAGCTCTCAATTCCGCGTCCTCCTCCAAGCAGCAGCGGAACGCCTGAACAAAAGCGCAGACACAACCCTCCAATATGGCCCACTAGCCGTGAACGTAACGGCCTTCGACGCCGTAGGCAGGACCCTACCACCGCTCGAGACTCTCCGAAACAGTCCCAAGATCCCAGCAGAGCCTCATACCGGCGGACCACTTGGCCCGATAGATGCAATTCTAATCACAGGCTCCGCATCCTCAGCCTACGAAGACCTACCCTGGATCCACGAGCTGCAAGCCTTCATCCAATCAGTACATGCAGACTACCCGCACGTTAAGATCTTCGGCTCCTGCTTCGGTCACCAGATCATAGCCGAATCACTTCTCTCCAAGGACCAAACCTCACTGGAATCATCATTCCACGTCGCGCACTCACAGACTGGCTTCGAAATGGGTATCCAGCCTATCACTCTCGACCCGTCATTCACGGCGCGCTTCCCGCCTCTTGCGCGTGCTTCGGCACTGGGTTCATTCCGGATTCAGCTAATCCATGGTGATAGGGTAGTTCCTACGCCTGAAGCTGTTGCAGCTACTGGGAAGACGGATGTTTCTTTGCCGGCTCCATGGTGTAATATTGGGAATAGTGCGCAGTGCGCTATTCAGGGTCTTTATAACCCCGGCCGGGTTTTGACGTATCAAGGTCATTTTGAGTTTGATACTTTTGTTAATGGGGAGCTTTCGCAAGAATTTGGAAGGAGAGCGAATTGGCCGGCTGATGTAGTTGCTGGGTATTTGGAGTTGATTAATCGTTCACTTGTTCCTGGCATGGATGATGATGATGATTCCAAGGCTGCTGCTGAAGCTGTGCTGCTGTTCTTTGCTGGTGAAGATTTGGAAGGACAGGGGATTGGGCTTACTTTGCCTGGTAGTGGTTTACTTACTCCTCCGTTGGGTTGAGGTCATCTGCAGGATTGATTTAATGTGGCCTGGACATTATAGAAATAGAATTAATAGTCATAAAGTACTATATTAAAATTTGTCTCGTTCACGGTATTATAGCTCCTTCGGTGGACCAAAGTCAGCATCCCCCAATTTCCACAGTAAATTCCCATTGCTGTGTGGTCCTCAGCATCCCTGCCGTTTGGAATAGACTTCTTCCCAATTTCGTGCCATTTTTGGGGATTGATAGAGCCTTGGCGCACATTTAGGGCAGGAGGCGACAGTGGATTGAGAGAGCAGTGACATCTTTATAAAAGGAGGCGTAGGAGATGATCTCGTCGAGGATTTTCAATGGAAGAGAGAGTAATGGTATTGTTGTCTGTGTCGTTACTCCGAGTTTGCGGTTCATTTAGGCTATGGGGTGCGGGCCAGAAGAGGACTAGCTTGGTTGAACAGCTACGCCAGTAGCACACAATGAGGGATGTTATGTTTGGTTACAGGTAAGGGTTAGGGTGATCGTTGTACCCTAGGCCTTAATTTGGTGAATTCTCACATTCTATATGTATAAGCGTATCAAACGAATAGAGTCAATTGGAAATGGTCTCAGGAGATCAAGTCTCTGTTACAGCTCGTTCGGTGGTGTCCTTTCCCGACACGAAGCTACTGTTGTCCGGCTCTGACGAGGCAATGTGCAACAAGACATGGCAATAGGCGCCCTACGGTGTATTCGGGGACTTGTACGGGGTGTTCAGCGGCGTCGGTTCCTCTCAGGGTACTGCAAACTTGACATAGTTCTAAGAGCAACGATCAGCTACCGCAAGGGTCCTTTAGTATTTTCTTATCGAATTAATCAACTCAACAAGAGTATCCCCCCGTCATCTTGCGACATGTGTTATGCCAAATTTCCTCACCGGCGCATGTCACATTAGCCATTCTTAAACAACTCAGTCCAGTAGTCATCATGTTGATAGATTGATTCAATCTCGCCTTCGTACTCTTGGAGGACCTTGAGGCGTCGCGTACTGCCTTTGGGAGTTGTGCTGAATGGTTTCTCTGGTTTCGCCATTCCAATCCTCATCCGCCCAATTTGAGCATTAGAAGGAGCGAGAATATTTGCTTTCTCAACTGTAGACCAAAGGATATCGACGAGCTCTGAGAGTGGTTTTCCGTGGTCCCAGTGGTTCCAATTAGGCTCGACAAGTAGACCAATAAGAGGTTTTCCTTGTCCGAAAACCATGGCGCGTGAAGTCAACGGGTGGCCTTCAATTATCTTCTCCATTGGCACGGGATTCAACTTTTGCCCGTTGCTCAGGGAGATGGTTTCATCGGACCGGCCTTGGAATTTCCATAGATTTGGTCTTGACGGGTGAGGGCTGAAAAGATCCTTGGTGTGATATTCAGAAATGTCCGGGAAGGTATGAGTGTTGCCATGTAATTCACGCGTAGCTTCACGAGGAATCACTAGTTCAAACAGATCTTCGCCGACTTGCTCCATCCGAAGTGTAAAGTTAGGGTTCCACTCGAAGTAGTCCCAGTTGCTCTTATCCTCAGGGACAAGTGACAGCACTAGGCCAAGTTCACTCGCACCCATGACGGAAGTAAGGTTTATCCTTTCGCTCAAGACACGTCCAACTTCAGGCGCTAAGGATGCACCACCAATGTAGACCATTTTCAGGTGTGAAAGGGCCTCTAGAGAGGAGCCTGACTTACTTACTTCTTCCACCAGGGTTGGCGTGAGAACTGCCACGCTAGGTTGCGATCGTTTGATCAGTTCCACCAACTGAGCACCATCAAGAGGATTCACCAGGCTTGAGCAAACAAAAGGCGTACTATTGAACACTGACAAAGTTTCCGCGAATATGCCCATGATATGAGACAGTGATGTGGTGGGAAAAAAGAGGTCGTCACGACCTAGTCGACCGGGCACAGCAGACTCCCTTCCAGGGGGTACAGGCACATGTGACTGGGCATCCATACAGCCAAGAAAGCCATGTGTCAGCTTAATTGCCTTGGGCATTCCTAGAAAGGTGTCAGCAAGGAGTTCTACCATGATGTAGCTGTTTCGATATTCCCTACCCGTTGTTCCTGAGCTATGAATGATAACTGCAGTTTCATCTTCGACCTGGGAATAGGTTTTCTGGAAGAAGCATTCCGGAGGAGAGCCTTCTAACATCCTTCCAAGGGTCGGCACTTCGAGTAATTTCAAGTCTCCTACAGTTGACTTGATCTTGTGGGCCTGTTCTGCCAATTCCTGGCTAAACAAAATCCCTGAACATCCAGTCTGATTGATGAGATGCACGTGCGCCTCAATGGAGTTTCCGGTTGAGGACAGCAAAGGCTTTGATAGTCAGACCATCATCCCAAAAACTTGCGTTGATTATCACTTACAACCCGACCTGTCTTGTGACAAGAAATTATAAACACAAGATATCGTGCATCGTTGTTCCCGAGGTACATGATGACCTCCTGGTCATCATGTTGGCCAAATCTCTGGTCAATTAGATTCGCCATATGCCTGGTAGCTTTTGAAAGTCCATTGACATCGAAGTTAACAAAGCCGTCAGAGGAAAGGGAGCTATCTGAGACTTTGCAGATAACTCGCCCTGGGTCTTTGTTCGCCAAAAAGTCCACCACAGTGGCCATGGTTCTCTTTCCTGGGGTCTCGACCTCAGAAGCCATTGTAGGTAATTCTTGGGCAAAAATAGGGCGAAGGTACTTGGACAAGGTTGAAAAAGTAATTTGATACTGGGCAAAAGGGCTCGAAGAAGCACTTTTTATATGGCCAGCCGGAAACGTAGATACTTCTAGTTTCCGGGAGCTCTGTCTCCGATGATGTAGCCATGTATCTCCACATCCGAGTGTATGACTAGGGCGTGGGGATTCATCTAACCTAAATTTGGGTCAAAGTTCGTCCAAGCAAGGACCGAACAAGAACGCCTTCCGCTCAATTTGTTTGACGATCGAAAGTGTGCCGAGTTCCGTGCTCAATTCAAATATGCAAGCATAACGCGCAATTATTTAACGCCACCTGGATACTACAAAATGATCGCCGCCCTAGTAACAACCTCTGTGGATCCAGTATCTGAGCTTCGCATCCCCTCTCACTACCACCTATCGTGCTCCACTGCCTAGTTATGCCAGACTGGAAACCATAGATTTGGTTTCATGCAAAAGGTCAGCCTCCGCTAGATAGAGCCACTTTCAGTGCTCCACTCAGGATTTACGGCATTTGCATCACGTTAGACAGATTTACAACCGGAGACGTGAGGGGGCTCTCCGCAACACACAACAGCACGCCTGATACTGTCACTACGCATGTGGCCGGGCATTTCTTCCGCACCTTTTTGCACACTTTTGAGCCCCACAGGCCCCTCTGAGCTTTCGATAGACTTACATTTGGAGCAAGAAAACACATTGTATCATTTCAAGCAACCCACATTAGCCACAGGGGCTTCTCATCACCGCAAACTCAGTATGGGTGGATTTGCTTCACTGCCATCGCTTTCGAAATGTGAGTACACCTTGCTCCAAGCTTGAACATTCTAGGCCTCATGACATTCAAAGAATTAGTAGATTTGCTGGTTTCATCACTCATAATTTATAAACTAGGTTTTCGCTTGGCAGCGTTCATTTATTCCATTGCCTTGTCCTTCAGAGGTCATAGACAACCCATTGTCACCCGTGTCACGGCATAGATCTGTGGTGACAGTGTCGATCTGTTTAGTTAATTTATTGTCGAATCCACCTTAGCCAGGTGTTCTCCGATTCGTTGACAGATGAGCTTGACTCTGCATGAATGTGGGAGTCTCTGGTCTACTTCTGCCTGGGAATTATGGAGAATCGAATAACCAGTGTGGCTGAAGGCACCTATACTTATCCGGGCTGGCAAGCATCTCTATCCTCCTAAATCAGCTTATCTGCATCACACCTGATGAGCCCACTCATACTTTATGGTACTACCATTTGACCATGAGGGTTCGAGACATGCAAGGAGTCGTTTGGCTGATGCGGGTCAGACTATCCTAGGTGATGATCACCGTCTTCTCAAGAGCAAAATAATCCCAGGCCGTGCCGAGTTCCGATAAATTATGCACGTAAATCGCAGCCACGTAGCAATGCACAACGTGAATCAGCTGGGTTCAAACAACATCATAGGACCTGCTATGAATGGCCTTTTGGATGCATGCTAGGCTACTTCTGGAATGTTTCTACAATGTAACGCTTGCTAACATTTGTAGACATACGCGCAGTGATGTGGGTGCCTCATACATCAAGTGATGGCTAGTGTATATATTGATCCTTCCTCCATCCCAAGGTTCTGCCAGTTCCTCAACATGACTGCTTCGACATGACTAAAGAAGACCTCAATGCAATTCGCATACAACTGTCAAGTCTTCTCCGCCACTTGAATATTTGTGGCCATGTGCTACGGTGCATTACTCAAAAGCATCTTGAGATGCCTGTTCCACTCTTAGTCAATGGTGTGTCTCGGGACGGTAAGGATCCGAGGATGAGGTCCGACCATCTCGGAATCTTGGTGTCTCCGAACATGATAATGCCGGCTAATTGTGCTTTTGGCGCGGCCCGGCTTGAAGAAAGTCTCGGCGCCCGAAGGCTTGGCGATAGGCGGGTTCCACGTATCCAAGATATGCCCAGGTAGAGGGGTGTGCATGACCCGCACGTTACCTCCCTTAGACAGTCCTTGTAGTATTGTGGACCAGCTTTAGTGGCTTGGCAAGAAGTTTTGCTCCCGGTCGATCGAAGAGTCGATATGGTAGCCCATCATGACACATGGCCATGGCACAAGCTTTGTCCGGATTCCTACACCGCGGTATGTTGTGTTTGCATCTATGTCTCACTCTAAATACGTAAACGCCAGGTACAAACAAGGCATAAATAGCGAGACCTTGCCCGTAAAATGTTGCAATACATCAATGCCTGGACGAGTGGTTTTATAGTCAAACAGGAAACATGAGCCACAAAAGCAGTACTGTTGCCTCCCCTGGCAAAGTGGCCTTTGTCACTGGCGCGAACGGTATCAGTGGCCATGCCATCATCGAACATCTCATTCGAACACCTGATTCAGCCTGGTCAGTCAGTTTTCTTGCGTGAAAGTGAAAATTACTAAGTTTTTGACAGGTCCAAAATCATCGTCACCTCACGGAGACAACTTCCATCGTCATGGGTGGACCCTCGAGTGGAATTTGTGGCCCTTGACTTCTTGAAGCCGGCGGAGACTATCTTGAACGAGATCAAGACAATCTGCGCAGACGTCACACACGCCTATTTCACCTCCTACATCCACTCTATGGACTTCTCCACGCTTGCCGAGAAGAACTGTCCTCTTTTCCGTAACTTTCTGGAGGCTGTTGATGCGGCGTGCCCTAAGCTTGAACGGGTGTGTCTCCAAACTGGTGGTAAAGTAAGTACTAGAAAACTCTATAGAGAGTGTTACTTCTAACAGTTAATAGCACTATGGCATGATGTTCCGGGAGTTTTCCACGCCTTTCCATGAAGATACTCCACGGTATGAGGGCCCCGGGTCCGAGTCGATCTTTTACTATGAGCAGGAAGATGACCTAGCGAGGGTACAAAAACGTCGCAACTCGTGGCATTACAATGTCATTCGCCCAATGGGAATTATCGGATACACTCCTCAATGCAAGTTCACTATTATCCGAAACTCAACATCCTCACTGACTTTGGCGACTAGTCAATGGTATGAACGAAGTTGTTCCGCTCGCTCAGTACTTCCTTATCTGCCGGGAGCTCGGTGAGACTCCCAGGTGGCCAGGAAATCTTCGAAACTACCATCGAGTTGAGGATCAATCCTATGCTCCTAGCATTGCCGACCTCACGGTGTGGGCGACAACCCAAGAACACTGTCGAGATGAAGCTTTTAACCACACGAACGGTGATGTCATCATGTTCAAGTTCCTTTGGACACATCTCGCAAAACATTTCGACGTTGAAGTTCCTAGTTACTCTTCTATGCCGGATAGAGACGAGCCAGAGCTTGACTTGGTAGAATGGGCACGTGATAAAAAAGAAGTATGGGAAAGGATTGTGGCCAAGTATGGTGGCCGAGTTGACTCCTTCCAACTTGACGGCTTTGCCATGCTGAACTGGGGCTTCAACCCGTCAATTACCATCAAGACCCCATTCATGAGCACTGTTGGCAAGGCTCGCAAGTTTGGTTGGAATCGTATCGATGATTCTTACGAGGCTTACGACCGCTCATTCCAATCCTACGAAAATACAGGCATTCTGCCTAACCCCCGCCGCCCCTTGCACTAAATTGAGCTCCCGCGGGTGAAATGGTTGGAAGAGTTTCGCTTAGATAGCTCACATCTGCTTGAAAAAGAAGAATGAACCAATTATAAATAGGCAGTTTGATCTTTACTATTGTAAATTTGGTAACTAGATGTTCAAGTCCCATGTATGATAAACGGTGGTCGGAGACTGTGTTCTTAAAAAGTTTTCGGGGCTTGCTAAGTTGGGGATTGGATGCTCGTGAGGCAGGAATGAAAGCCAAAGCTTCACTTGTTAGTTAGTTGTGCTTCATTATTTAAATCATGCTCAATTGGTGTTTTGAAAAGGCTTCCGAGGTCGCTCAGCGATTTTAATGGATCACTATCTGCCTGGTTGGTTCCAGCGATGTCCAGCCGTAACGAGATAAGAATCTATGTCTTAGTAATCAGGCTTGGGGGTCCCAGGGTAGGGTGAAAACTTTTGACATCTAAAAAGCGGAATAGGTTCAGCTTTTCGCAGAATAGCTGTGGGTCAAGCCAAGTTTTCTCAAGGCAATAGTGTCGAGCCCCGCTTTACGCCTTGGCCATAGGAAAGTGCTACAACGGCCCGCGCCATAGTAGAAAAATCTCTTCCGTTTGTGATGGTAACCGATCCGATCAAGCGGTGTTGAACAGGCCGCCAAGCACTTCGGATATACGGCATTGCCTTTGTCAGACACCGATCAACGCAAGAGTGCCATTTTGGAAGTACATAGACGCATATAGTGGAACATACCATGTTCCCATACTCGAGATCTTAGACCAACAGAATTTGCTTTGACTGTGGGGCAAAATTAGCACTGTGGAGAATGTATAACACTAAGTTTTCGACGCACAGGACACAAGAATAGCCTTATCTGACAATACCCTTGCAACCTAGACAGCCGATGGTTTATGGCTTTACTGGTCTCTGAGATCACGCATTTTCTTTTGAAAAGGACAGTGGTCATTTTTCGTCTTCCCAGCCTTGCAGTGCGGACACTCTCGACCATGCGTGATAAACAGGAGATGAAGGGCGTATTTATGCTCGTCAGGAATTCTTGTTTCCAGATGTGCGCGGGCCTCTTCTGCCGTGGCCTGCATTGGCCTCCACCCAAGACGGCCGGTAATGCGATAGATGTGTGTATCAACCACGAATTTTTGCCGCTGCAAGGTCATTGCTAGCACGCAACTGGCTGTCTTCGGTCCAACTCCATTGTAACTGAGCAAGACCTTCATGCCCTCCTCATCCTCAAGCGACCCAAGATGGTTCAAGCTATACAGATCGTGCTCTGTCTTCACCTGGTGCAACATAGACATGAGCATTTTGGCCTTTCTGACATGGAGTCCCCCACAGGGAAGCACATTCCGAAGTTTGGTCTCGCCACCGTGGACAATGGCTTGATAATTTGTCCAAGAACCTGTCGAATGGCGTTCCGCTCATTCGTAGCCTGGCAAAGGACAGCATACACGAGGCCGTCTAGAGGGTCCGAGAAAGTGCTGGGTGGATCAAACCCGTCAGCATTCATCGCATTCGCAGCGGCCGGATCGCGGTCACCGTGAAGTGCTGCCAGGGTATCGTGTGCAAGTTTGCACTCGTTCGTAGACGGACGATAGTGGTCCGGAAAGGCGGTCCATGTTGCGAAGCGCTCATATTGAACCCACTTCTTTGAGGGTCGTGTCTCGGCGGTGAAGGTAGCGACTGGAGATTTGGGCTCGAAAGCCCGTTTCGAATGTCGAAGTGATGCCCGTGTGCTTAGAGGAGGACGAGACATAAGTGGCGACCAGCGTGGTGAGATCCTTGAAACGACCAAAATGGAACCTAAGTCTACATATTTGAACTTGGTAGAGCCTTCAAGATACGAGAGATGGTCTGCATACAACGAAGTGCAAGGTAGCAAAATTTTTGGCCAGCCATCTCATCGATCGATCGCAGCAAACTAGCCATGACGTCGTCAGTTTCTACAATGTTCACTAGTTCCCGTCCTACGCAAGATTGACTGACCGACGTCATTGTCCAAAGCTAACGGGGCTAGAAACACAATTCCAGACAGGCAGATTTGATTGCGTCCCATCTCCTGCATTGCCGTATGCAACTAGAAACTGCGGTGTAGGTCAGGGTGTTCATCTTCACGGTCTTTTCTCTTGATTTTTAGGGGCTAGATTTGGATAAAGGATTAGCTGGGCAAGGGTAACCACTGCAATGCTGCTCAAAAAATACCTTGTGGTCAAATAACGAGGCTTGCGCCGAATTTCGAGGAGACTTGGACAACTTGGCCGATTTTGTATGCACTGAATGATATATATGATTGGCATGATGCTATCAAGGCTGCTTGTTTAGGTATCAGCACTGAGTCGGAGTCATGCAAGACGTGTGTTCTCCGTTGCGAAGAAGGAACCAGAGAATCCGCCCCTTACTTTCACCGGTCTATACCGGGATATGGATTCAATGAATCTCAGAATCTGACCCACAAGATGAACGTTTGAAGTGGAGAAGACACTGAGACAAATCAATTTTAGAACAAAAGCCAAAGCGTGAGTTTATTTTTACGGGCCACACGACCCTTCGGAATCTTACCAACCATGCGGAATCTTCTTCTTCAATGGAATATTGCAGATCATTCGGAATCTTGCGGGCCATTCGGAGTATCCCAGGTCAATCTTCCAAGATCCTTCTGAATCAAACTACCCATTACTGTAGTTGCCGTTCTATTTCCGGAACTTTGCCTTCGTGTCATTATGGAGCTCTAAATACAAAAATGAAAGACCTGTTGAAACAAATATTGTCGTGGTCAATAATGTCATAGAAACTTAAAAGAGCAAAACACTGATCTTCATCACAGGTATGAAATACTTGAAAGTTTGATTTAGAGCTGATATGGTCACCAATACACCCGCTACCTTGAATAATGCAGCCTCATCTGAAGGATACGAAATATACAATACTGTGAGCTAAGTTCAACGAATGCTTTTTGGGCGAGTTGTATCCACATGCGGTGAGGGGAAACCCCGGCGAATTGACTCGGAATCAGTAAATTTGGTGCCGATAGTGTTCGTAAATGTGCCGAGTTCCGTAAATATATACTTCACTACGTAGCAATGTAGTCTTGGTGCAACATCTGTACCAATCACACCGTCGCCTATCCCGGCTTCAATCATAATGATATTACCATGGTGAATCACATTGCATGTGGTAGGTGTGCTAGATTACAGCAGAGGTGAAATGGCCAATATGAATGATGAATTTTGGATTATTCAAATAAGGTACAAATTACAATGAGCTGCATTTCCGCATTCTTGACGGTCTCCTTTTTCAGCGATTGCCCAATGGCCAAACATCTCCCAGTTTGCATGCTCTTGTCTGCCGGCTGGGGATAATCCCCAAGAGGCTTGTCCTATAGCCTGATGGCCACAACCTTTGCAGGCTCCGTTGTCTCTCCCAGAATCGGCGCAAACTGTGCCCCACTGGTTGTAACGTAGAGAAGAGAAAGATCGTTATTTGTTGTAACAGCGGTTGACCCCCCAATTGTGATTCTGAATTGACCTCCGGCAACCATGTGAACACGGCCCTCTGGCGTTACTTTGATCAACTCATTTTGAGGATTTGTGGAAAGGTAGGCCGTCCCATCTTCTGCCAGTGCAAACCCATCGAAAGTAAAACCACTGACAAGCTGCTGTATTGGCCCCACAGCTGCAGCATTCTCGTCAACCTGCACACGAGCGAATACTTCTTGGGTAGTGCTCGTAAAGTAGACGTTGTCGCCTAGCACGTTAATTCCGTTTACGCCAACAGCGATAGGTTGTCCAGCAGCTGGGAGCATAATTGGGTCACGCAAGGCCTCCGAATAATTTCCTGTTGTGATATCCAGACGCCAGACAACTCCCTTCGCGGTGTCTGAAATTAAGAGGAGGTTGTCGTTAAACTTGGACATGCCATCCAGAAACTGTCCGGCAGGCATAGGCGCTAGGATTTTGGCTTTGGGTTCTGCACTAGTGAGGTCGATGGTCCAGATAACAAACGATCCGGGCGTAGGAGTGACGCTTGGAAGGGATACATTGCCAGCAATAACAGCAAATACATCCTTGTCGATTTCTGTTATGCCTAGAACGCTAGTGGCATTTGGAAACCTGAAGAGGACAGAGCCACAGCTTTTACGGCTGATGTTTTTGCTCGGATTGATTGACCAAAGCTCAGGCACATCCATTCTCGTCGCGAGAAGGCTGCCATTCCGCTGGGCGGCAAGATTCTCGAACCAGGTTCCATTTTGTTCGAGCTGAAACACAGTAGAAGCTAAGGATGATTGGTAGCCTCTCTGTTGATGGGGTGCAGCAAAGGTAATGGCAGGGAGAAGATATAATAACAGCGAGCAGAGTCCTGCCACAGGCAAAGAAAGACGCATTGCTGCGTAGTAGAAAGGTTCTCCGAACAAAATGATGATCCAGGTCACCGACAGTCGCGGAGTAGTAGCCCGGAAAAGAAAGTCGTTTTCTTTTCAGTCGATGGCAATTGCACTGATTTAATAACATCCTATTTAGCGGTCAATACGCTTTCGTTGTCTTCCGAAATACACCGGAAAAACTGGATAGTTTTCACAACCTTTGCCCTCTTCGGTCAGACGTCCGGCTTGACAGCTACAACTAATCCTGTTCTAGAAGGTTCAAAGCAGAACGACCCACAGGTGACCTGAGCTTTTCCTCCGATTTTACGAAACAGGCTCGGTGGAGCACCATTCACGTCCATATTGGCACAACCATGGGCTCATTATTGATGGTGGTGGGCCACCGGAACATGCCAGGTTGAGTAGCCACGACCGTTTGTGACAAGACAGAGAATACATTTTCCTTTGTCAGTCGCGGTGAGTACATCAACTGGCTAGGCGCACTATTACTCGTGACATGAACTGAATCAGCACCGGATATAGTGTCTTGCTATTAGTAACAACGGTTCAATATTCCATGTGCACAAATGATACTGTGCGTTAGTCCACAGCTCGCAGTCTAATTGCCCCGGAGAATTGCAGGGTTCTTCGATGACAAAGAAACGGATCTCAACCTCAAGAACAGACATCATGCATGCTATAATTTCCTCCATCGTAGTTATGTGAATCCTTCTAACTTCCCTCCTGTCCGACTACCAATAAAGTCCTCATAGCGGTAGCTATTGCCCATGGTGTGATCAGTTCTACACACAACCACTCTGCACCGTTTTCATCGTTCGGGGAGTTAGTGGAAAGGTACATCTAGTGTGAAAAGTGGGGATATTTGCTGCATCTGGGATGTCGAGCGAAGTTACAACGGATATAACGGCATGTATTTTTAAACTCCATCTTCATTCATAGCTATATATGGCTTCAGGCTAGAAATCATGGGTAGTATCATAATTTTTACAAGGCGTGGCTTAAGTGTTACGAGAATGTTGGTGTTCCGCCTGCCTCATAAAGTCGTTTTGCTGTGCTGTCTTGGTGTGGCGTGTTAAAAAGCACTTGTTTGAGTTCGAAAGTCTCCGTGTTTCCTGCGTCTGTCAACAGAGAATATCGTAGACTACGTTGTTTATGAGTTCGGGTTGTTCAGTGCGAGTCGTGCGACATGCAACATCGGGCGCTTTATAGTATGACTAGCTGTAGGTGGCGGTGAGGTCGGATAAGAAGCTCCACGATGGGATTACTGATGTGCCCTATAAAACCAGATGCAACTGCAGCTGCCTAGACTTATTCTGAATTTATGTGACTTCCGGTCAGCCGACCACTTCAAGGTAAGAAATACTTGAGTTCATGCTTTGATGACGGCTGCGACTGCAAGTCCTTGAACATTCACTATAGTAAGTTGGCAAATCACCCATCCAGATTCCTATCGTATGGTGCAAAGACTTTTTGTGTCATTTTCTGCTTGAATCATGGAGTATCAACCTGATGGAACTGTATAGTAATGACATGAAGTATGAGCCTACTACGCAACCTAAACTCGATTAGTGCAATTTACCAGCAGGTACAAGGCAATGCGGTAAGATGGTGATCATTTTCAGCCCGGCAGAATACATTAATGATATACGACTTGAAATTAAATCTGTGGTTCTAGATTCAGCTATCGAGTTTCAACTAGCCCCTTTGTGGCCTAGTCTAATCGTGGTGAGGTCCTTCCGTTACTCATACCCTAAAGACAAGCCTTATCTAAGGGGAGGGCTCTGGAGCAAAGACGTGAGGACATTGGATTTGACCAAGACGAAATGTACAAATCCATTCCTCTCCTCATTCAGGAGAATCAAACAAATTACTTTCGAGACAGGTTACATATGCAAGTCATAGATCGAATTTTGTCTTGGTTGACCCTCGGCGCTAGCTGCAATGAGCATTGCAACCATTGGAACAATATATGTGTACTAACCCCAATACAGCAACTGTCGCATCGTTGTGTCAAAAATCATATCGACTGCAATAGTCTTCTCTTGCTAACAACGTCTCGCCATCCCCACGGTTTACAGTAGATAATTCGTTCAAAGTCCTTGTGTATATCTGATGCCGCGAGAGATCCTTGGCTGTCTTTTGGGTACCTGACAGGAACCTGGGGACACCAAACCTTCTTTTTTCCTCTCCCATGTTTGGGAATGGATGCCACGGATTTGAAGTCGGGTAGAATAAGGAGACACCTGTCGTCTCAACCAAAAGTGGCTTGTTTACCAATATATATATCACATATGTATGTATGCGCTTTATTTGAGTGGCCAATAGCCCAACTACTACCCCTTTCCCTAGGTCAATGGCCAAGGCGGATCACATTACATTCCCTGCCGGTTGATACTCGATAACCGACAGACGACGTACAAGGGGAACCACCACGGGACCAAGACGGGACCAAAGAGCTCAGGCCTAACCACTGCCCCGGATGTCCCGGGCTTCATTAATTTCACAGTTCATCTCTAAGTTTGGCCGGCGGGTTAGGTGTGGCAGTATGGTGCATCTAAACTAAGCATAATCATCGTTACGAACTAGGAGTAGGCGGGATAGTTTCCGTGCGGAAAATGAAGGGTTTGCTTTTCTCACACCATTTCCTTGTCTTTCAGGCTTTCAAGGTACTGTAGCTTTTACTATGATTCTCGTGCTCTCAGTGTACTTCACGGAATATATAATATTGAATCCATGCGCGACAGCTAATCACGTCCCGATCTAGGGACCCTGATGCCAGGGATCATCCAGGAGTACATCGGTTTCAAATTGGCCTGGGGGTGGAGAATTTGGGAAAGCCGGCCTACTGGCCCATACTTAACTCCGACGTGATGCGGGAGATGACGCCTTGCGCGATACATCGCCAAAAAACACATTGCCTCTCAATCCACAGGTTGGCATGTCGACTAAAATACATTCCGATCACTTTTGTAACTACGATAGAAACATGTCAGTCCTGGGAGCCCAACAAACAATAGGGAGGGCAACCCAAAAGGAAAAAGAAAATAACGATAATATAACCAAAAAGAAGGGAAAAGAAAAAGAAAAAGAAAAAATGGATGCACATAAACGGAGAAGAGTGACTGGAAAAACGGAGTTTCTCACCTGGCCAAACTATATTATCCGTGTCACAGACCTGTGACCACACAAAGGCAACCAATTTGCCCAACGAAGTCGCTTCGCACGCGACATCAGCATTTTCAAAAGCGTGGCGGACGGTGTGGAGGAGTACTAGGTCTTCATTTGTTATGGGCAACCAAATTTCCCTCCGTTGTTGACTGTTCCGCTTCTTCTAGCTTTTTTATCAACAACAAGGCTTGGAATGGGGCTAAACCAGCGGATGCAATGGAAATAAGGAACGAATAAAATTTACCAATAGGGAATCCGACAAGGCAAAGGTCAACTGGTAAGTCTCTTGAGGCTGTGTGTGCTCGAACGTGGGTGCCCCTTTTCACCGGTTCTACGCTGAACGAAAGTGCAACCTGCAATGCTTTATCTTGCAAAGTCATCGAACTTATGGAGTAAATAGCAGCGTATCCCGGCGCCCCCCAATACTTTTGTTTTCATGCCATCTAAAGGCAAGTGTCCGATGTGAAGGCGCGCTACCGCTGCCTTGTATAGCGTTATCGCCTTCTCGCACACCCATCTCGTCGAGTGATTCAATGCGTCGTGACATCTGTTGAACGAAGAAAGCCAACGAGAACAGGCTAAATCCGCGGTGACGAAAAGATTGCACCCAGCTTGACTACCGCCAGTTGAGGACAGCAAGGCATGGCCGAAACAAATACGGCGAAAGAGCATCCCAATTAGCGCATGATGCCCAAGCGAGGTTGTTGCAGAGCATTCCTTTTGGGATATGGGAGTCTGGAAGACAGTTAGCAGTTCTACAGGCTGCCTGGGATCTTGTAAACTTGACTTAACGATTTTTCCCTTATTTAACAGATATTTCGCCTTGCACAGTTTTAGAATTAAGTCCTACCGACACCTAACCTATTCCTATGTATATTTAACTATTGCTATCGGTCATTAGACCCTAGGGATATGGTCACAATCGAGGGGAATATTGTCAGGACCGCTGCCTAGCAATGGATTAAGCCAACTGTACCACCCATAGATTGCCTTAGGAAACACCGCTAGATAGGCTAGGGCAGTTGGGACACGTTAACCAAGACTTTATGTAAATGCCGATCACCTAGCAGCGGCAGCCCTATATAGAGTTCCCGCTGGTCCCTAGAAGGACCAGCGTTCAGCCGTATACAATACTTTCTTTATTGTACTACAAGCATTAGATGAGGAGTCTACTTCGTTGACCCATATCAAACTGATACCTGCTTGCGGGGTCTCACAGTCTATCACTATAGAGAGGGGCGGCTTTTGGCCTAACCGGTACGGCACTCCCCCTAGTCGGGTCGGTTCCTGTAGTAAAAGTCCATGCGTTAGTATTTCCTCTGGCCCTGCTCCCCTATACGGGACAGGGGCATAGCGACGTTCCCGTGCTTTTCTCCAGTCAGCCCGTTGAAGCAGAAGAGCCGTAGTGGGAAAAGATTCCTAGGTGGATACATATGACCACAAGTCAGTTCTTGGACCACAAATGGCAATGAGCAACTCAGTGCAGTCTGAGCCAGCTCTGTGTGAATTCCTCTTGTCAGTCTTACCCGCTGCCATTCCACCACAGAACGATATGGCACCTCATCTCCGCACCACCGATATCCACGCTCCTGTGCAATTGATCCAACGAGGGCAGGAAAGGATCAAGAAGGCTCCCGTGGCTGTTAGTTTGTCGCCACATCTCCTTCGTGTGATTAACTGGCAGGATCCGCTTAACGACCCTGTTCAATGACAGTTTTTTCCGTTGTCGACTCTATTGAACATCGATCACCCTGCAGCAGAGTCGGATCCAACGCAGAAGTACAAATACTCGCCAGTATTGGGGCTGATCCACCGATATCCAAATAGAGTTCTGTTCCTCCGTTTAGTTATCGCGTTAAACGTTCATAGTTACATAGACTTAAGTTCACTTTCGGCAGCAACATCCATCTGCCTTGTCTACTACTGCTTCTGCTTCCGCTCCTACTCCGTCGGAAAGAAAACCGGATCCGTCAAGTAACAGGAAGAAATGGTAGTCTCGATTCGAAATCATCGAGAAGACCCCAAGCTTGAAAGATATTGTCATCTCCGGCGGTGACACCTACCTTCTTGAAGCAGCATAACTCAAATATATCGGCGAGAGATTGCTAAAATTCCACACGTCCGTCGTTTCCGACTTGCTAGTATGGTTTGTCTGTTCCACCAGCACGACTCTTCGATCGCAACGACGAGTGGGTCTCCACTTTTGTCCAGCTGGAGCAAAAGGCCCGGAAATGGGCAAACACATCTGCATTTACACCCAATTTAAAACAACCGACAAAATTAGCTGGGTAACGCGTGAAGCTACAGTTACAGTTAGCAATCAATCGGTTCTTCTCACTGGAGTTGATAATACCCCCGAGCGAATGTGTGCTCTAGTCCCACGCGCTAGGCGATATTAATAATCAACCCATACGGCCGCAGTGGTTCCTCGCAGTGGGTTTCATGTTACAGTACTAACCCAAAGCAGTACTACGTTTATCAAGGTGATATCGTTCCAGGAGCGGAAGATCTACGAACTCCTGTGAGTGACAGTCTAGACCTAGAACGAGCGGTCAGAGGGCAGATCGCCAGCTTCCTGTTCCCAACTTCATTTCGGATTTGCCGGCAGAAGGGGCAACCGATTAACACGCGGGGTGGAGAGCTACGGTCGTCATATCGGGTTGTCGAAGGTCACAGCACCGGGACTGAAGGGAGAACGCGCGACGATGCAATATTGGAATCTTTTGTGGTCTTTGTCTCCAGAGGGAAAAGCGGATGTCTTAGCCCACTTTGGGAAGCGGTAATTTACTAAATTTGCTGGAGTTAATCGGTGTTTTGTAGGCAAAGCAAAAATGAACCTGCACCTAACTATTGGCTGAGATCGCGGAACATACATACTTTCTCCGTAGTTTACCCATTGTTTCCCCACTTGATCGGGAGAATATGTGACGATCCCTACGATTTCCGATCTTAATGTCTCCTCTCTGTTCGCCGACTTGGGTTCGTATGAGTTGCCGGTATGCTTGGTCTAAGGGCCACTATTAGCGCTTCCTTTTCTCCCTAAAGATTCAGCCCGTGGGCCCTCGCAATGCCTAGACACGCCACCCCGAAAAGGAGCGGTGTGAAAGGCTAGTGGAAGATCTGAGCTGCTTGTTGCTTTTCACTGGGTGCTCAGCTGCACAGGTTACAAAAACCATGCATTGTTAGCACGGTCGCTCGGCCCATTTCACCTTCCATCCTATCCTTCTAGACATACAAAACCTACTCAGGGGGAACGAACTTCTCCACATCTAATCTCTAATCTCTCCACAGCCTCATATTCTTCCTAAACTTCCCTCACGTCAAGCCCAGTAAGCATTTCACCCTCATCCTTCGCCCTGGTAGAACCATCTCCCCTCTAACCATCTAAGTAGTCATGCCTCAATGGCTCGGCTCCATGACGTACCAGGATGACCAGTCCCTGGCCGGCGTATTCACGATCAAAGGCGAGCAATGGGTATTCGAGAACCCGCGAGCAAAAACAGCCGCGACCTTCCAACATGCTCCGGCTGTTGTGAATATTCCCTGGAAGGAGGTCGAAAATATCCGACATTCCCTCCGTGTGCGTGAGCCTTTTACCGCGATTATCAGCGGGTCTACTATGGAGATCACTTGGTCGAATGGGGTTCGAATCACGGCAAATGTGCCGCATTCTGGTGATTATGGGTATTTCTCGGGGGAGGGTGGTTGGCGGGCGCAGTGATATTCAGTAATGGCAGCGGCACTGGTTGAAGCTTTCTTTTTGGTTCTTGCTGGATGATTTTTGTGTTTTTGGTGTGTTTTTAGCTTGGCTTTTTGTATTTTTCAGGATATTGTGCATCATAATACAGCTTCGCATCTCATATTAATCGTTATCATCTCATGGATTGGAGGGGTTCAAGTGAAGCTTGGAATCGACACCCCCAGCTATACTGGTCTCTACGCTGAAGCAAAAGCAATCTTGCGGTCAGTACAACTCCCGAGAGGTGGGGTATCGGGTAGCCACATCAACACTATAAGGCGCCTCTGCAGAGTTGAATAATCTTCACGATGCATTGTCAGTTATACACTAAGCGGTGCTTGGCTGCATATACCTCAAGCATATACCCGAGAGCTAAATTATAGGATTTTCGAGATCATTTAGATTGAGTGGAGCGGGGATATGCTTCTAATCACACTGCATCCAAGTTATTAATTTGGTGTGTCGTTAAGAAAAACTGTGCTAAAAACGCCACCACTTTGTCTAAGCATATACTGTCAGCCTCGATTCTAAATCGTTCTCAGCTGTCACGAATCAATTTTCCAGGGTGTATGTGCCTATATCCCGTGACCGATTCGTGATCCAATAGAGCGAGGCAAGCAATAACATTCATTGGCTGTCACGGTATAACTAGGAGCCAAAACGAGGAACATTAAGCTCGAGTACAATGATAGGACAGTCCCATTATGCTCGACTACGGCATACTTAGTCTAAGTATGCCATAGTCGATTAGAATGGATAAGGATAGATGCATGCCACATGTTAGCAATGCGGGAGTATGTACAGTGAAGTCACGCCGTAAGAAGTGAAGAGGTGGTCGCCTGAGACTTGGGAATTCTACAAACGAGCGAATTCTCCGTACCCGGCTCCCCGTCCCAAATTTTATTCGGTTGTGATCCCAGATTGCAACTGCGTGTCCTGTCGGGCTAAATTTTCCCGGTCTAGCTGTACGACCCATTGCATTGAAGATGGAGCGTGGAACTTTGAGGTTGTATACATGTAACTGCCTATGTTGGAGTAAGTTACTGTATAGAATTGGGTGTCAGATGTTCTCAAAATTGGACCGTGACAAATAGCTCCCACAACACTAGCCATATGCTATAAACATAATATGTTTCATTGAAAAGACCTCGGTTATAGAGCAGACACATGTAGTTTATACTGTAGACATAGTTATGAACAATCCCATTGTGTCACAGGGTTCTAGATAATGACGTAACTGCGTGCCGCGTCTATACTTTACCCGTCGTACTTAATTCTCCTTAGTCCCAATTGGCACCCATAGAACTGGTGTTTCGCCTCCATATTACACTTTAGCGTCTTGGGAGCCCAATTGCCGGTTGCCTGAAACCCTGTGACCAAGGCTCTTACGCGGCCCGACGCCATTGCCACATGTGGCGGTGTTCAACGTGTGCTTTACTCCGTTTCAAGAGTCTGGAACTGCTCCCAGGGTCTTCGAAGAACCCTGCAGATCGGAGTTTGGCCTCTTTGGTCAAGTTCGTCCGGGATAGGAATGCTCTGTTTGAATTGAATCCGTCACCATCGAGGCAAGGGACATGGCTGCCCGGATCTCCGGCCACGAGGTAATCGTGTATGCCTTGACACTATCTGGTGGAAGTACTGGCTACTTAGGACGGACTCTCATGGTCCAATTTAATACCTTTTTAACTTTGATTTCCAGTCGATGTTAGTGGTCAACGTGAGCCAAAATGGCATGCTGATTGAAGTCTCTTCTGTGCCCTTAAAAGCCAAACGAGAGGGCGTGTAGATCGTAGCTAAGTATGGTTGGAACGGTAGCCGGTACATCTGGCTTCGTCACTGCCAAGCCTCTCCCCCGTTGCAGCCACAGTCCCCTCTCCTTCTCACTCTTTCATCTTCCATCTCGATTCTCTAACTTCGCTTTTTAGACAGGCTCAGAGTTTGACTCACTCTCTTCGAGCCACTTTGCCACCTCTCCTTCGGAACGGGAGCTGCATGAGAGAACGCGCTTGACCACCACCGTCTTTGGCCGCGATTCGGAGAAAGAGAGGCCGTGTGTGCTTGGCAGTTTAACTCCTCTGCTATAATCATTCGCGTCGAACAATCGACTTCTATCCTGCGACTACGATCCATTCCGCCCATCCACCCTTTCCTGCGACCGCATAACCGACACCATGTCCAAGGTCGTGCGCAGTGTTAAGAACGTCACAAAGGGGTACTCCTCAGTGCAGGTCAAGGTCCGAAATGGTACGAGTGGTCTCATTCTTTTCGAATTGTTTGGTGAATAGCCAAGCCCGGGCGCATTCGCAAAATGGCTGTATTCGCGGCCTGTCTCCCTGTTTGGCCGGGGCTGCTGCAATGCGCCCCTCTATTCACCCCGCATGCAACAAGACCAAGACACTGACTTTCATATCTTTCAGCCACAAGTAATGACCCCTGGGGCCCTACGGGCACCGACATGTCCGAGATTGCCGCCATGACTTTCGGGAGGTATGACCGGCCTTCTCCCAATTGTGCGGATACCACTAACGTCATTTGTATAATAGTCCGAACGAGTTCTACGAAATCATGGACATGCTCGACAAGCGACTGAATGATAAGGGCAAGAATTGGCGGCACGTGCTGAAGTCACTCAAGGTCCTAGACTACTGTCTTCACGAAGGCTCGGAGTTGGTGGTGACATGGGCGCGGAAAAACGTCTACATTATCAAGACTCTGCGCGAATTCCAATACGTCGACGAAGAAGGAAGAGATGTTGGCCAGAATGGTAGGTTGCCTCTCCACACGAAGATGTCCCGGTACTGACAAGTGGGGATATAGTCCGAGTGGCAGCAAAGGAATTGACCGCCTTGGTACTGGACGAAGACCGACTGCGCAGCGAACGATCGGACCGAAAGCTCTGGAAGACCCGTGTCAGTGGGCTCGATGAAGGCTATGGAAACTCCGGGGGCGAACCCCCACGCCGAGAGCGACGCCGACGCAACCCGGACGATGAGGACGATACCGAGTACCGTTTGGCCATCGAAGCCAGCAAGAACGAAGCCGAGGAAGAGCGCAGGCGACGGGCCAAAGAGACCATGGCAGGCGAAGAGGATGAGGACCTAGCCAAGGCTATCAAGCTCAGCAGAGAAGAAGAAGACCTCCGCAAGCGTGAATTGGAAGAGAGCAACGCACAATCTCTTTTCGACGACACTCCCGCTCAAGTCCAGCCAACCGGCTTTAACCAGGGCTACCAGCAACAGGGTGCTGTGGATTGGTTCGGAAACCCCATCAATGTGCAGCAGCCTATGACGACCGGCTTCTTGAACAACCAGTATGCCCAGCCAACAGGATTCCAGAACCAGCCCACCGGCATGAACAATCCCTACGCCAATGGCTACCAACAGCCCTCGGCCTTTGACCAGAACCCTTACGGCCAAGCTCAGAACAATTTCTTGCAACCGCAGGCTGCTCTTCAGCCTCAGCAAACCGCATTCAACCCCAACAACCCCTACGGTGGTGGTGATATCTTCGCGCAGCAATCTCAACAACAGCAGCAACCCCAGGAGAACTACCCGACAGCAGGAAGCAACAACCCATGGGGCGGCAACCAGCAACAGCAACAAGCCGATGCCTTGAAGCCTATGCAGACCGGATCAAACAATCCCTTCGCCCAGCGTACTCAGACACAGTTCAACAACCCCGCACAGACTGGACCTCCAACTCTGAACTCCTTGGCGGAGGACCGCGCAACGAACCAGTTCAACCAAGGAAACTCGAACCAGTTCGGTCAAATGAACAAGCCATTCAACCAGCCCTCTCAACCCAACCCAATTTCCGGATTCCAACCCCCACAGCCACCGAAGAGCACTCCACCCATGTCACAGGATCCTCACCATGCTCGTCTGAACGCACTTCTCGCATCAGGCGAGGGCCTGGACACCTTCGGAAACGTTGGAGACCTCCGAATTCCCGCGCAGCACACAGCCCCGGGCACATTCGTCAACTCTGCCGGCCAAGGTCTGGACCGACTACACGCCACGCCTACTGGAAACAACCCATTCTTCGGTCAGCAATTCACAGGCATGCCCCAGCAGACCGGCTTTACGCAGCAGCCTACCAACAACCCCTGGGGCGGTCAGCAGCAGCAACAGCGCGGAGGTAGCCTCATTGACCTGTAATCAAGCCACCGTGGGACTATCTCTGGATTCATCCTTGACTTCACGAAGGCCTCACATGCGGATACCATCTATTTCTGTTTTGTTTCCTTCTGCTTTCTCGCTCTGTCATTCGGGGGCTTGATTTTCTGGTTGCGTTACCCGGTCTCATTATTATTTTCTTCGTTTCTCTCCCCATCGTCATCAAACCGATACTCTACTCACCACAATCTTCCTACATCTACGAACCGCTGGAGCTGCATTGTAAAGTGAAGGCTTCTCAAACACCCATGGCTTTCTTCGCTCTCCGCGCTCTCCTTCTGATGTCTTCACTTGGGACCTTTTATCACTTCATTGTCTTTTTACCCCTCGCCTCAAGACTCTTTCTTTTGTTTTCTGTTACCTTTGCCATTAGGATATCCTTCTCATTTCAAATCAGTTTCCTGAGGTCTTATCATATTCCCTTTTGCTGCATAGTTTTCGGTTTAGTCGAGCTGTGATTAATCTTACTTGCTGAGCCACCACATCTTGTTCTGAATCTTAATTGTAAGCGTTGGTCTTGTGGTTTTATGAAAGAGTACTTGGTGTGAATTAAGGCAGTACGAGGCGAATGTGCTAGATATCTCTCCTTAAACAATTTGGTTTATTATCTTTAACTTACCCTTACGGATTCTTCTGCAAGTAGATGTCTACTACACTTCTTGGTAGAAGCGAAAAGCAAACGAGATAAGGCCCCACGCATAAAGATAGAAAAAAAGAATCCTAGAATTTTGGTTGCACATAAGGTATGGTATCTACTCATCATCGCTCTCCTCCTCACTCTCCTCTTCCTCACTACTCTCCTCCTCGGCCTCAGCCAACCAATCAACAAACTGCTGAGCCTGACCGCGAACAGTCCTCATCTCCTCAGTAGCACTAGACCGCTCATCGTTCCACCACTGATCATAAGCCTCCTCATCAACAAGCTCAAGCTCATAAAGACTCTTAGCAGTAAACAGCAAAACAGTATCACCCTTAGAGCGATGCACAAGATCCTGCTGAAGCAAAAGCAACAAATCAACCTGATCCTTCTTCTGCTCCTTCTGCCGGTCGAACAACGTCCGCTCAACAACCTCCTTGTACTTAGCGAAGACTTCGCTGACAGCCTGGCCGGCGCCCTTGCCGGCTTCCATCAGTTGCTGGATGTGCTTCATGAATGAGGAGACGATGGCGCGGCGGACTTGGTTGTCCGATGCATTGGCTGTCATGCGGAGACTGACTAGCTCGAGTTGGACGACGTCGGCTGAGACGCCTTCACGGAGACTGTCAAATACGCTGGCTGAGGCGTCGTGGTGGAAGTTGTCTTGTTCTTCGTGGTCTGTGGAGAAACTGCTTCGGCCCGAGTGCGGCCAGGATCCTTGTGATAGTTCTGAGGATATGGTTGAGATTGAGGCGGATGAGAGGGAGAGTCCGGGCATGCGGTAGACTGGATATAATGTTAGTGACTGTTCGTTTGGATGGGATGTTGCTCGGGTAAACGTACTAAGTCCTGACGAGGCAACGCTTACGTTCTCGTCGTCATCGTCGTCACTGTCATCCTCCTCGCCATGGATAAATTCGTAGCCTTCGCCTCCTTCGCCAACTACTGAGGGATCGCTCTCTGCCCTGCTGCCGTCCATTCGTGTTTTCGTGATACGCTTGCCGCTTTCCACCGAAATGCCATCTGCGATCTTCACACCAAAGGAAATTAATGCACCGGTTGCGATGTTACAGTTCTTGCCAATAACAACACCATCAGCAATGATGGCACCACGCACATCAGTGTTGTCACCGATGACAACATTGTCCCAAATGTATGCACCATCCAGCTTGACATTGCGACCAATCTTGCAGTTCCGGCCGAGAGTGGTGTTGTGAACGGTTGTCCGGTCTCCGATGCTCGTCCCCTGGCCGATAACAGTACGGCGGCCAATAACACAAGACCGCGCAAGTGTCACACCTTGTTCTTGGTACAAGCTGCCCTTGCGGAGGTTGTAAGTGTGGCCAGGAAGCAAGTTCGTGTCGGGGCACAAGGGGTAAGCCCAGCGGGAGATGATATCCTTGCTGATGGCATCGTAAGCCTTGAGGTTGCGCACGCGCGCAGCATAGTTGTCGTTGATGATGTATGTGTGGAGGGTCTTGCCGTTCAGCTCATAGTCCTTCAGAACACCGTACAAGAACTGCTTCCGAGGTGTCTGGTAATCAAAGCTATCGGACCACAAGCTCAGCACATCGGGTGTGCAGATATCGATGCTGCAGTCGATCAGATCCTGGCGGATATCTAGCTCGGGGAATTCCAAAATGGTCTCGGTCTCGATGGTCACCCGGGCTGGTCCGGTGCAGTCAGGACTGCGGTCGATCTCTTCGTAGTGGACGCATCTGTTCTTGGTTGGGTCGATGACAAACACCGGCGAGGTGGAGGTGGACTTGGTTCGGTGGTTGCGGCCGGCTTCTCTTAGAACCATAGTCATGATTGCGTTCTTGTCCGTTTCCCGACGGGCCCTGTGTGCGGCGAGCGCGCCTTCAATGGGCAAGTTGCTGATAACATCGCCGCTTACAACGATGAAGTCTCCGGTGATGAGATGCTTGCCGTCCAAGTCACGCATCACGTCACCAACAGAGGTGGATGTGGATTTGAGGAAGCTCAGATGCTTAAAGGGGGAGGAGAGCGCTCTCCATTTGGATGCACTAGTAATATGGGTTAGTTGTGTACCACACGCAGTATGCAGGGCTCGCCGTACTTGATGTATTTCTCCAGTTGGTCCGAATGCGCTCCACCGTAAAGGAAAACCTCCTCTACACCTGCATTTGCCAGGAACTCGAGAGTATATTCGATAAGAGGTGTGTTGGCGAGTGGCAGAAGACACTAGTTATTTGGTTGGTTATTCCTCGGGTCTTGTATTCAAGGGTATATTGCAAGGGTACATACCCTAGGCTTTTCGCGGGTGAAGGGCTCGAATCTCGTCTCGAAGGTGTCGGCGAGGACCTAATAGCATCAAAATGAGTAATCTTGTCGCAATACCGCCAGGGCAGGTCCAGCGCAAACACCGCATATATTCGCTCGACATACCACGGCCTGGAACGTCTCTTCCACTTCCTCCGCCGCATTCGCCTTGGGCTTTTGCGCTCCTTTCTTGTTGGGAGCCATGGCTGTAAATGACGACAGACAGTCAGTCGAGCATTCGCACGCAATCGCTGTCTCAATCGCTGGTCCCCTCTACGAACTCAACAATGAAAACGAAGCAGGGCTAACATACCTCGCAGGATCAACGCTCAGAAACCAAGCTGGGACAAAATCAAGAAGTTGCGCGCCGTCAGCGGAAACAGAAGACTTGCTTTGCGAAGCAATTATAGATCCAGACAAAAAGATGCACCGATCTATCAAAGGAAGGGCACAAAAAAGCATCGGAGTCATCCCGCCCACCTGTTTGCTTTGTTTGCGTTGTTGCCAAATTCGACAAATTTATGCCTCAGGCATCACAGATTTTCAGGCACCAATATATCTATAACTAGTCACCTAGTTAGGACGGTGCTTCATATCAAGCCCTAACTACAAAGTTAACGAATTGCTTCATGGCAAGTATGTACTCAATCGAAGTAATCATGAAACAGACATGGGCAGAGCAACCTCCAGAATGAAATCCGATGTCACGATCAACATGTGGTTCAATGAACATGACTCCTTGCGATCCTTACGTACAGACCTTGCTATATAGGTCATCCACGCATTTTAGCCTCGCGCCTATAGCCTCGCGACGAATTTACACGAGCGCACAACAATGATAACTCTCACTTGGTATCAAGCTACTGCGATATTGTCACCGCTCAGAATCGAATTCATCCAGGTCAGAATGGCAGGCAGAATTGCATCTATTCCTTCTACGCTTCTTCCTCTTTACTCCGCACTTTCATTTATGCCGCATTTCCAACCTTCTTGAAGCTCCACTGCTTTGGTCACATCATACTGGCCAGCTCTAGGGCTGGTTACCAAGCACTCAGCTTCATCTCCACCACACTCGTCTGCTTCCTCTGTTTCATTGCTGCTGAGTTTACCCTCGTGCCTCGTATTGTTCCATCAAACATCATCTGGGTCCATCGGATAACATCTGGCTCCATCACGACATAGGACCAAGGTCCCAAGACAGAGTGACCATTGCCCATAAGTCCTGATTGATCTCCATCAGTCGTCTCTTCTCAGGCGGGCTAGGGCTAACGTCCTGGCTATGGAAGATCTGCCAAAGCTCATGCGCCATGTCTTTCCCTAACCCGAAAGCTGTACCCTTCGCCCCTGACCCTACCCCTGCTCCAGCTCCAGCTCCCATACCTCCAACGGGTGTACAACCAAGGCGACCAAGTGCACGAGGCTCCAACCGTGAAATTGGCTACGTCACACAAGCTGAAAACACAAGTTGTCGTCTCCGAAGCTACAAAGGAAGTATCGGAGACGGACAAACCGAATGGGGTGATGACGGCTTTATCAATGAAGATTACAGAGTTGGTGGGCCATACATGTGCTCTCTGCCTCTCACCATTACCCCACTGCCAAGACGACACAGGCTCAATGCCCTGAAAGAGAAAGACAGGATTCGCAAAGAGGTCCATGATATCCTAGCTAGTATCGGAATCAAGAAACCTCCAATGCACATTGCCCGGTGTACTTCACAAGTCAAACCCGAACACAGACCAATCACTACACTATTCATCCATGCGGAGCGTGAGAACCGCATCGACCACATATGGCTCGAAGCTTCCCTTCAGATCTACCACTTCCTGTCTGACAATGATATGCCGGAAATCTGCGTGGAAATAGCAGACTCACGGATCTACAAGCCCTACAAATTCGCACCAATCCAACAAATCCCCTCCATCTGGCATTGGGATCGCATCATTGCAGAAACCACAAAACGGATCGATTTAACAGATGTCATTACAATCGGATGTATGCGTGTCCAGGCTCCAATTGCACCGAACTATGTCCCAACCGTCCTTGTCACAGTGGAAATGGAAAGCGAGCGAGACTTTCGCGAGATGCGCGACATCATCACTGCTATCCTGGATAAATACGGGCTGCCCACGATTTCTGTTCTGATTTTGAGAGACGAGCTCGTTACAAAGGCCAAAGGATCACCAGGCTTTGATCGCACAATGCTGGATGGAGTAGCCCGAGCCGGTAGGAACTTCGGATCAGCGAGATCCCACCTTAGCTATGGGAAGCTTGGGGGGTTCGTGGAGCTGGAATTCGATGGCACGGACCTGGACCCGATGATTCTTGGTGTGACCTGCTTCCACTCCGTTCGCAGTGATAAAGACAGTCACGTAGTCTCTCGCCAGAGTAAGTCGGACCCTGACAACCAACACGAGAATTTACAGTCTGAGCTAATATCACTGCTATCTAGAGAGATTTGCCAAATGGGACAAGGAAGGATTGAACCTATTCGAAGAGCAAAAGAAGAGAGAAATCTGTTTCGTCGAGCAGCCACCCTTACACGATCTAACCCTACAACTCCAAATCAACAAGAAACGCATCGCTACCATCAAAAACCAACCAAGATTCCAATCCTGCCGCTATCACGAGGCAAATGGAATCCTCCACAACCGACCAAAAAAAGAGCAAAGCAGCTACAGAGTCTGGAAGCAAGAACTCGCCGAGCTGACCGAATTCAACAATGAAATCGAAGAATTCAGACCAAATGCTCGCCTCGGCTATGTAGCCGCCTGCTCCGGAAACAGATTCCTCCAAAAGACAAGCGAATGGAGTTCCAATACCTTCAACGTGAAGATGGACTGGGCACTATTGGAAATCCTACAGGCGCGAACATCCACCAACCAATGTGACTGTCACCATGAATACCTCCACCAACTTACCGACGAAGAAATGGAGGACCCACAAGCTACAGCGTTCTGGATTAATGGAATCGGCGGCCCTTCTCAAGGCCGATACAATGGTCTTAGAACCTGCCTCGTTTCTGAGCAGGTGGTAGAGGGGGTGAAGAAGACGACTGGGTGGTGGTGGCCGCGCCTAGGTGGTCGTTTGAGCATACTGTCGTGGCGGGGTCCAAGGACCCTAAGGTTTCGTTCTCTATGCCAGGTGATACAGGCTCCCTAATCCATTTTTGGAAAGGAGGTGTTGTCGGTATGGTTAGTAGCATGCTGCGGTACTCGAAGATCACTTTCTTCACGCATGTGAATGACTTGCTGGCGGATATTAAGGACCAGACAGGGGCTTCGAAGGTGCAGATCATGGGTCCACCCCTGGAGGAGGAAGATGCTCATGAGGATGATGATGAGGGGGTGGACCTTGATTCTGAGCCCGAAATATGAGGCTAGTGGACGCTAGGGGGCGTGGTGAATCTAAGAATAGGTTACCCTCACTCAGGGGTAAAAGGGAAGTGAAAGAAAAGGGGGAAAAAGGAAAAGGAATGAGGTATGAGGACTGTTTCTGTTTGTGTACATGTACGGATATACCCCCGAGATTTGTGACAAATCTCTACTTAATAGTCGGTGTAAATGTAAGAATACGGTCTGCATACATTCACCTCCAAGTAACGTTCATTATGCATATCCAAGGATGATATCAAAACCAAAAATAACTCTAATACGCCACACCCAGTCAACCCTACAATCCACCAGCCACATTCCTGAGGTCCAGAACTCCCCGCAAGGTCCAGGCCCTCCTGGACCTCGACCTCCATAACAGTCGTTCATCTCGACGGGTCTAGACTCCCCCGTTGTTCATGCCGATCCCGTCGGCGTGGAGATCCCAATGCTTGTTCTGATAGCTGTAGTGTTTGGCTCTCGGAGAGATTCGGGAGGTGAGCGTGAAAATTGTACTCCGTAACCGGGGACGTATAGTAGAGACTGGAGATGCGAATCATGGGATTGGGAATTATTGAATTATTGGGTCTTGGTGATGCATATGCATACGAAACCCCTTATCTGTTCCAGGTTAGTTCTCCTGGTTTTTCTGTGGTATGGCGTGGCCTGTCTCATACCATGTCCTGGGATCCGTGCTAGACCCGATACCTGACCACGGACACATACCCCCGACCTCTACGCCAACGTCTACTGTACACGTATGATAACACGCAGTACCTAAGACAGTCAAGATAAGTGAAGTAAAGAAAAAAATATGTTCGTAAATATATACCAGGCGAAAACAATCTCATAGGAGTTCAATATATAGAACTCCCCACGGTGGATATAGCTGACGAATGTCAAAATTCGCAATTCGCAATTCGCCACCCCAGAACCAGCAAAACAAAGCCACCAACGCCGTAACCTGTAAAAGGGGGTGGAAGACAAAGACAATCCGCGACAAGCGGCCAATGTACGATTTGAAAACCTCGTTATAGACAAGTGGGAATCGTGAGAGATAGACAGGCGGAGAGGTGGAGGGAGATATAAAGAAAGGAGCAAGAGAAGGTATGAGGGATAAATCAATTCGGCGATTAGATCAGCCAGGGCGACCTGCTTGCACGGCAAGCATGGGTTGAGGCTGGGGGTACATGCGCTGGCGTTTGGGCATGTTGGGGTTTTCTGTTGCGCTGGACATGTCTGAGATTTGGCGGCGATGAGGGGGGCGGGAGGGGGCGCCTGCTGTAGGGACGGCGACTGGTGCTGCTGGATATTGGATGCCGTTTTGGTCGACGGTGTATGCAGCCTGGGGTGCTGTGACGTATGCGCCCTGCACTGCGGGCATGTTTTGTGGGACGGCTTGCATATTTTGAAATTGGCCGGGGGATTGCCAGTTGCTCATGGAGCCTGCAGGCGATTGGCCTGGAGAGCTGTCTTCCTTGATTGATTGAGTGGCCGAGTTTTGAGCTGCGGCCATGGTTACTGCGGCGGCTGATGGTGGTACCTGCTCCATTGGACCGCGTGGTGACGTCTTGAGGTGGTCCAGGTGTCTCTCCAGCATTTCAAGGAGACTCTTGCGGGTGAAGGGTTTCGGAAGAACGTCATCCATTCCTGGATGGGTTAGCCGGGCTCATTTCAATGCTATCACAAGATTCTTACCATGCTGGAAGTAGAGCTGGATGTCGTCACTTCGAATGTTGGAGGTCATGGCAATGATAGGAGTGCGATCAAATTGACGGATAAGATGGCAAGCCGAGACACCGTCCAAGTTGGGCATAATAATATCCATCAAAATAAGATCGTACTTCGAGCCGCCCTGGATTTTGTTGACAGCTTCCAGACCATCGAACTATCGAACTGATTAGCAAAATCGCCTCCTCGCCTCCCCACGACAAAGAATACATACCGCGCTATCAATGACACAATTGAAAGAATAAAGGAATTTGCCACCAATCTGGCGGCAAGTAGAATCGTCCTCAACCAGGAGGATCTGCGGGCTGCGAACCCAACCAGGGTCAACATTCGTGCTTTTCTTGCGATTATCAGCGAACTGCCGGCGAGCATCCGACGTATCAATCTCCTGCTTAGCCGGCATCGGATAGGGAACATTATTGATGTGCTCGCTGTACATGGGATCGATGCCGTTGGTGGCGCCGACCGGGTAGACCACTTGCTCCAGGTCGCCGGCCATTTTAGGGTAAACGAGAGCTTGGTTAGCAGGCGCAGTAGTTGTCGGACGAATAGAACCGTTTCGCGAGTTCGGATCCATTGCGGGTGTTGAAACAACCCCGGCTTTGGGGGGCTCGTTCATTGAGTCGACGCCACTCATGTTGAGCTGCATTTCGGCGTTCATATCGCTCAACAGCTTCGATGCATTTTGAAGCGGTGAGGATGGCTCGTCGTCCACAGCTCCGACCTGAGACGGACTCATAGTTGTTCCGGCCTGGAAGGACACGGCCTTGCTGTCGCGGCGCTGACGATCCACCGTGAGTAGGTGAGCCATCACCTGGTGGATGACATTTTCGTGATTCAGGACCGTCTTTTGTACCCGCATCACTTCCTGCAGCATAAGTTGATGATCCACCGTGAGTTGGGCGTAGCGATCGGAGAGGTGCTGGATCTGCTGCTGTTGGGCGACAATCTGCTGGTTGAGGAGGTCGATCTGTTGGGTGGGCACCGAGTCATCGTTGTTCTGGGTTTGCTTTCGCGGGGCTGGTGCTTTTCGGCGAATGTTATCGAGGGACTCTTTGCTGTTCGCCCGGAATTCTGGGTGCTTGAATTCCCACGCCTGTTCAGTGTGAGAGGGGATTCCTTCAACCCTGGCATGGGGAGCCTACATTTTGCCCGTATGGCGACTGGCCATTTTCCTCGTTGTTTTGGCGAACCTTGTGGAAGTCGTACTTGTTCAGTTGGCGTACAAAACTGGCGAAGTTGCTGTGCTTGAAGTGCTTCGGTAGGATGGTCTTGGTGAATTTCTCGCACTGTCGGGAGAGATCGAGTTAGCCAAGATGCAGGGGTCCCCATAAGCCACGGGCGCATTACCTCCAAGACCACGAAGCTATCTCCTTCATCACCCCAGCGTACAATCGACGCGTAGGTCGGGTCCTCCAGCATTCTAGGCAAACATCAGTATATAGGGGCAAGAGGCGAATACGTAGATCAAACTCACTTGTACAATTTGCGTACCTAGTCATGTTAGCCGATATCCTGACATGGGAGGGGGTTTCGATTCACGTACAAAGTCGCTGGAGTTCCCAGCGGGGGCGGGATTGGAAGAGGTCTGGCCCTCCATGGCTAGACGGGTCGCGACCGGACAGACTGGTCTGGTCCCCTCGGAAAGAAGTAAATATAAAAAAGTGAAGATGGGGCGAGAGGGTGGAAGAAGGGAAAAATTAAGATGGGGGTTGAGTTGGTTTGGCGGTAGAGCCAAGTACCAAAGTTACTGTGGAGGTACTGCCTGGTACATGCGATGGACTTTGATTCTTTTATTCTTTTCGTTTTATTATTTAATTATTTAATTCTTGTCATATTTTGCGACATGCAAGGAGTTCATCTACTCAGGGACCAACGAGGGGCAAATATCTGGTATGTACACCCTTTAAAGGTGTACAGTACTAGCTATTGAGCGACTTTCTCTCCCAACATCTCAAGTCGGTGCGCAGAGGGACCATGCCCTCATGAGATGAAATCTGTGATGCCAAGAGCGATTAATAAGGGACTCCACTGGAATGTGAGGAATTGTCCTCAACATGTTCTAAGACAGTTGAATATGTTCCAAGGTTGTCTTTGATCTTTTAATACATAATGAACTACTTACCCACTTTATCGATTTCCAATAGGAAGCTGTATAGCCTTATACTGCTTAGTTGACGAAGTCCATTTGCCTGCGATAACCGATGATACCTACCTAAGACATAGTATAGCAACCCTCAGCATACGCCCTAGACTGACACTGTGGCACATACTGACAACATACATGCCATACCTCCTATTTCGGCGGTCCAGTCCACGATGTTTGCGCCGAACTTCACGTGGAACTAGAAGATGACTGCATCCTTCAACCAGGGGGGAGAGAGCAATCCACTGTGCTACAGGCCAAGGATCCACTGCGTCATGGAGGAATAGGATGTGACTTGGTATCATCCGATTCGAAGAAGCCTTGTCCTCCCTGTTCTTACAAGTGAGCAGTTATTATATACTCGCGGTACCTGCGGTATAGCCTCCGTAGGTCGCACTGTAGACACAAAGCAGAATAGTATAACTCGACAAGTCCGAATAATCGAAAAACACTCTTTGTAAAACCTAAGGAGAAAGAGAACACAAGTCAATGGAGCAGTAAAGCGGGAAAGGTCAGGTCTAACGTGCAGATCCAAGCCATGACGAAATTCGTCCAAGCTCCCATACCCGCATGCCTTCCGCTCCTCTCCTCTCCTCTCCTCTCCTCCCTAGACCTACACAACTTTGTCTCAATCCATACATCTATCAAGTCAATTGATATACATCATGTTCGCCGCCCGCCGCCTCGCAACCAACGTGCCCCGCGTTCGCGCGCAAGCCTCCCTCTTCCACAGCACGGCGCCCGTATTCGTGCAAAAGGGCGACGCCATCCCCGACCTCGATTGTCTCGTCGAGAGCTCCCCCGGAAACAAGATCAACTTGGCCAAGGAGATCAAGAACAAGGGTGTTATCATTGGAACCCCAGCTGCCTTCAGTGCGTAAACCTCGCGAAACAAACCCCGCAAAATACATGTCCAAAATGGAACTGACCTCTTTCAGGCCCTGCTTGCTCTAGCACCCACGTCCCTGGTTTCATTAACCACCCCAAGCTCAAGGAGGCTGGTCAGGTTTTTGTCATCTCCGTCAATGACCCCTTCGTGTAAGCGGAACCTGTCGAGTTACACTGGTATTTCTGGCTTTGTTGACGTTGATCTATCATATAGGACCAAGGCTTGGGCTGATTCCCTTGACCCCCAGGGCAAGAGCGGTGTATGTTTCCTTTCTCTCTCTGTCCATTCGATTTTGTGGTAGAAACTCTGCTAACATGGCTTTTTAAGGTTCGCTTCCTGGGCGACCCCTCCGGCAAGTTCACTGAGGCTCTGGACCTCAGCTTCGACAGCAGCGCCATCTTCGGCAACAACCGCAGCAAGCGCTACGCCCTCCTCGTCGAGAACGGTAAGGTCAAGGAGGCTTTCGTCGAGCCCGACAACACTGGTGTGAACGGTATGTCCCTTGTCAACGGAGTATATCGACCTATGCTAACATCCCCAAGTTTCCACCGCCGCGAAGGTTCTCGGTTAAACCGCTCGGCGTAGACATCCCTCTACCAGCCTTGCACATATGTAAGAAAAATATAACATGATTGCCCGCGGCATATAATTGGTTTTATCCCCGCACTGTACTCGTAGCGCAGAGGACGATTAATGTACAAAAAAATACCATCCATTCCAACCCGGCCAACGCCTGATAAACCGATCCAATAACCAAGGACGTAGCTGGATCAATGGAGTGGACAACTAAAATGGCTGATCCTGCCGACCAAAACACTCACTAAGTTATCAGTCCGGTCCAGTTCAATATCTTCTATTCCTCCCTTAGGGACTCTTAAGGAGGAAAAAAGTTCATGGTTCGTCAAATTGCAGTCAGCTGCACAATTGATTTACTGTGCTAGAGCCTGCCACTGCTCAGGGGTATAGCACTTAGGAGTCCAAGCATGGATAGCAGCGATCTCATCCTTAAGCGCAGCGTTGACGAGACGGTGTCGCGCAAGCATGGTCTTGCTCTCGAACTGGGGGGAAACAATAACAGCCTGGAAAGCCTGTCCACAGCCACCTATAATGAAGCAAGAGGTTAGAAAAAGATCGACCAATGGAGACCAAAACTGAAACAGTTTCTCCAGGTTATGACGCCATTCGGAATAGATCCATACCAGACAGATCCTCAACCTCGACGTGCAGCGCCTGCAGCGTATCAATGAGCTTGTTCTTCAGCGAGTCGGCGGTAATTCCAGAAGTATCGGCCATGGCGTCGAATGCGGCGGGGGAGCGCGCGGTTAGGGAGAACGAGGCCCGTTGGGTGGATGTGTAGAGAAGGGGAAATGATGCCGATGCCCGGGTGGTAGGGGTGTAGGGAGAGCGAAGAAGATAGCGGCAGCTTCTGCTCAGTGCGGTTACGGAGGAGGCGCGGGAGAACATCAAGGTTGGTCGGAGCAGGGGTGTGTAATTGAGAGATGGGCAGCCCGAGGTCACCGAAGTATGGCAAGTCAGGCGTTTATTACAAATTCAGAGGCCACCGCTGGCTGTGGCTGGTGTGGCACGTGTGTGGCGTTATCTTTTATCGGAGCTGTGCTTTTCCCGGCAACTTCGCGGTTAAACTCGTTCGTCTTTACTTGATGAATTTCTTTGGCACTGCTGTGCGGCGTTCCTCTACCATGCCTATCCTCTCAATGCCCAGTCATACCTCATATTTCACCCAGGCTGTGGTGACCTCTATGAGGAAGCTGTTCGTTCTCCCCCGCTTCATTCGAGAGCTCCCCGCATTATATTGAGCTTGGGTTGACCTTGAGTACAGCTACCCGGAGGCATTGGCAGACAAGAGCTTTGATAACACAGGATGTAAGCTTGTCCTATTTGAAACTTTGTCCGATGTTTACATGGTGCTAACCCTTGCTCAATTGTAGTGCTGCTCGAAGCTCCCTTCGACTATTCCCGCAAACAGAGGAACTCGGTTCTCCTAGCCATTGATCTCACAACAGCTGTTGCCGACGAAGCCATTGGAAAGCAATGCTCGATTGTGGTGGCATACCGTATGTTGCACCGTCCATCATTGAAAATGTCACCTCCTTCGATTAACACATTCCAACAGACCCAATTATCTTCCGCGGCCTCAAATCCCTCACCTTCGCCGACTCCCAACAAAAGTCCCTCCTCCGCCTGGCACAGCATGGCATCAGCGTCTACTCACCACATACAGCCGTCGACACCGTCCCCGGTGGAATGGCGGATTGGCTCTGCGACGTCGTGACAGGCAGCTTCAAGCTCAATTCAACAGCAAAGGCTGTCGTCAACCAGTGCGGATCCATTATGTACTCTGCGCCTTCCTACCCAGAAGCCCCGATCCCAACCGTCCACTCCTCACCGCAAGGACCACCCCACACCCGCAGTACAATCCACCCCTCGCCGCCAGCCTCGGTCCCCGAGGGTTTCGAATCAGCAGGTGCCGGCCGCCTGGTCACATTTACCGAATCACAGCCTCTCGTCACGCTGATCGATAACATCGCCCATGGCGTCGGTCTCCCGGGTGGTATCCCCATTGCCCTGCCGCAGGGTCGTTCAGTAGACGATATAAACATCAAAACTGTTGGCATGTGTCCCGGTTCTGGCTCTGGCGTCCTCCTCCGCGGTGACGGGCCTATCCCGGACCTCCTCTTGACCGGTGAGATGAGCCACCACGAAGCTCTGGCAGCCACGGAGCGTGGATCAGTTGTTATTTCGCTTTCGCATACCAACTCTGAGCGGGGATATCTGCGTTCTGTTATGCAGCCTAAGTTGCTCGATGAAGTTGAGCGGTGTTGGAATGCTTGTATAGATGAAGCTTCCGGGTTTGAAGGTTCTGTGATGAGGAGTTTGGAGGAGGATAAAGAGAAAAAGCTTGTCAGCGAACTTCACAATATGCAGGGCAGGGTTGAGGTTCATGTGAGCGAGGCTGATCGTGATCCTTATGGGATTATGATCTGGCGTGGTAACTAGTTTCTGTTGTTTGAGCTATCGTGGTGTTGGGCTTTCTAGTCTTATCATATAGGGGATTGATGAAGGTCTATCTGATTAAGCATGTTCAATGGGAATAGAATTTCAACCCTTAACCCGTAATATCAAGCCGGTCCTCGGGCTACTTGTAGTTCTCATAAACCCCTACAACCACTTGCCAGTTCCAAAATACGACTCAATCATACAATTCTACATCTACCAAAAGAAAGAAAAGAATGCATAAAATGGATTGCTTCTTCAGCCAACACCTAGATCTTGCAACAACAGATCGAAAGAAAAGAGGCCCATCGTTAGATCACAAAGATACATGGTCATCCAAAAAAACGCTGAAAAGATACAAAAAGCAGGGTCTCCCAATCAATAAGACTTTTTTTACCACCAAAAATCCCCGTGAATGCCCAAGACCCCCGAATCCAAGTCCTCTTCTCGTTCCTGCTCCTATCTCATATTCCCCTGGCGGCGAACCAGCGTCCGTTCAGGCGGCAGAGAAAAGGGAAGAAGCGTGAATCCAAAACGAACAAAGAGATAGCTAGATAGACAAAACCAAAAAAAAGAAGAAAAAGCGTATTGTCTCCGATCGAAACTTGATAGAAATGAGACTGTAAATGAGAAAGATGATAAAAGAAGAGAAAAAAGATGATCAAGAAAATTTGTACATGTAGATGGAAGATTGATTAAACAGCATACCAGAACCGAATATTATTGAATCAAAGATCAACGCTAGCGGCAGGCAGATGGATGTTAGTAGGCGGTTCCCCGAGACACGAGATCACGGACGATCCGAGAAAGAACTCACCCGTCCACGTCGGCCTCCGCTTGGCTGGCCCTGCACGGGTTGGGCCTGGGCATAGTATTGCGGGGGGAACTGCGCATACATCTGGGGAGGGTTTGGACCGGGGCTGAACTGCTGGTAGTTCGGCTGGCTGAGCATCTGGCCGGAGGCGGCCAGTGGGACGGCCTGCTGTGACAGGGTTCGCAGGTTGTCCATGGCTGGCGAGCCGGGGTATCCATAGTTGCCGCCTGGAGCGCCAGGGTAGGTGGGAGGAAGGCCACGGGCTTGGGCCTGGGCGTTGATGTAGGCTTGGTATTGCAGCTGCTGATACTGGTGGTTCACGGGGTCTTGATTGGGGTGGGGGAAACCGCTCAGGTGGCCGTTGAGTCCATTGCTTGCGTAAGGGTCCATGGCAGGGTTGCCCTGGTCGGCAGTCATGGGACGGGAGTCAATGTTAGGATTAAACTGTCCATTATACTGGCGATCCATCGAAGGTTGGGCCGGGTAGCCGGCTGTGCTTCCCTGTCGGGAGGATTGGCGTTGCGACTTCTCGGGAGTGGCATGGCCGGCTCCGTGCTCTCGTCCATGGTGTTCACGGCCGCTGCCCCGCGAGGAGAGACCCACCTCGTCCATAAGACGCTTGTAGCCCTGGCTCGGAGAAGCCTTGAGCTTTGTGAGAACCTTGGACACGTTCTTGACCACCTCGGATCGCATAGACTCATCAAAGAATGGAGTAGTCAAGACCTTGAAGATCAGAGTTGCACCAGAGGTCTGGTCGCTCAGGATCTTTTCCAAAACTTCGTCGCCAGGGCTGAAGAAAAGGGCCTTCAGAACAATGTCACGGGCCTCTGGCTCATTGCGTTGGTTGATCACCTTGAGAACGGTCAAATAGGCAACTTTGTGAGTGCAGAGGTGAACAAGGTGGGGCACAAGTCTCGGAGCCAAAACAGTTCGGCGGCGGGGGAATGTGCACGTATCGAGGAACCAGGTGAGGAGAAGAGCTCCGTTGGCATTGGTAGCCAGTTGTACACTGTGAAGAGCGATAGCAGCTGCAAGCATGCGCTGCTGGTCCTTGGTAGCGTGGTGGCTTTCCAGACAAGCCCGCATGGCACGGGCACCAAATCGGCCTTGAGCAACTTCCCATAGCCGGCTCAGCATAGATTCGAAGATGAAGTTGTTGAAGGGGTTGCCAAATCGGAGGCAGCATTGCAAAACGTAGTTTCCGTACTGGTCCAAGAAGAGGGGAACAGTGTAGGGACGGAGGGCATCAACGATCAACTGCATCTGCGCAGGGGTCTTTGCAACATCGATAATCTTCTGCGCAGCCCATGTACCGTTCTTGTGAACACCAATCTCAGCAAGATGAGGCGCAATGTGGCTCAACATCTGCTCCTTGGTAATCTCCGAGCAGAATTCAAACAACTTCTGCACAACAGTGTTGCCAAGGTAATCAGAAGCAAGCTCGGCAATCTCAGGAAGCATAGCTTCAGCAGTCTCTTCAATCTCTTGAATCGAGCAAGCACCATTATCAATTCGCTTCCGAATGTCACGAAGACGGGGTGCATCAAACATCCGGGACTGGCTGGGCTCTGGAATTGACGGAATCTCATCTTCGAAGTCTTGGAAGGCGATAGAAGTCTGAATGCTGGCCGTGATATTCGCAGAATCTTCTTCACCAGCACCAAATTCTTGCACGATTTGCACCATCTCGGGAAGGAGATCAGCCAAAGCTGGGATTTGAGGGACACTGTTGACGTTGTCTGCCCGATCCGTTCCATCTGCAGATGCGAGGTGTGAACGGAAGTTAGGGTCAGGAGTCGGGGAAGACTGAATGCCATTCGCACCAGGGGTACCGGTTGCCGAAGCACCAGGAACCTTGGCGTAACCAATTCTAACGGGTCCAGCACCTGGGAAAATCTCCTTCCCATTGAGCAGTGACTTAGCTTGGACCGCGCTATCGAGACGATCAAAGTTGACAAATCCACAATTCTTGTGCGTGAGAACACGAGTCGACTCAATCTTGCCGTAAAGTCCAAATATCGCTTCCAGAGATGTGACAGTCGTAGAAACGGGAATGCTGCCAATCCACAGAGCCCGAGTGGGACCATCCTGGTTGTTCTCATCCGCGATCTCGCCCTGTCGTACACCCATGGGATGAGCTGGACCGCCGAGTCCCATCAATTGAACAGCCTCGGACAGGTCATCGTATTCACCATTCTCGGGGATACCCAGATCAGCAGCACTGAAGCTGTTGTCGAGGCGGGAGGGAGTGGCGAGATAATTGCGGATGTTGTTTCGCTGGGAAGGAGCCTCCAAGATACCAGCAGTCCGAGCACGCGGTCTGCTCACAGATGCATGGTTGGCAAATGCCTGAACGGCAAGATTGTGCTGGTGAATCTGGGCCTGGGTGGCAGCAAGTTGAGCAGCGGTTGCCGCAGCGGATGGTGTCAGAGTACCGGAGGGTAGTTGAGAGTAACGGTTTTCATATTCGAGATCCTCGTCATCGGCGTATTTCTCCTTGGCGTTGACAGAGTAAGACCGGAACCGATTGTTGTTCTTCATCATTGCCAACTCAGCCAGGAGTGGCGGGAGCGCAGAAGCTTGCTGTTGCTGCTGCTGCATCAAAGATTCCATCGAGGGGCGCGCAAGAGAGGCTCTCGCCTGCTGAGGAGTCTCGGCAAGTCCAAGGTAATCCAGCGTCTTAACATCAGTGTCCGCGAGTCCGTCCCTGGAGAATGAAGAGTGACTGGGCGAAGTCGGCCCCTCTGAAGATCGAATACTAGTCAAAGTGGTAGCTCTCTCACGTCCCGTCGACCAGTTGGTTGAAAACAGGGATGGGCCGAAAGGACCGCCGCCTCCCAAAAGACTGCTCCTCTGCGGCATCGAGCCAGCTCGAAGGCGTGATAACATGGCTGGGTCACGGCCAGCAGCAGTGCTCGCAACCTTGGTGCCAGTATCCATTCCCGAGACAGGTGGTCTGAAAGGACTAGTCGAGGGTGTTGGTCGTGAAGTCTGCGAGAGCAAAGGCTGCTGGAGATCCATTTCGTTGAGAGTGCCCATTGGAGGGAAACGAGAAGGCACAGTTCCAGCACGAGCGCGGCGTCCGGGGCTGTTCATTGAGCTACTGGTAGTAGGCATCAGGTCGGGGAAGCTATCCTGGCTGGGCGATTCGGGAATATTTTCGCGAAGCGGGTTGAATGGCCGCTGGTGGGAGGTCCCCAAATGCTGGGAGAAACACCCTCTTGTGCTTGAATTTCGCGAGCTCTGTCGGAGAGTCAGTCAAGTCCCGTTCATTTCCACCGGAATCAACCTACCGCTTTGAGTACAAACGCGCTCCCAAGTCGTGCGAAGGGGATCCAGCCCCTGGCCTCGAACTACCAATCGATCCCGGAGCAGGTCCGAATGGCGTTCTTCCGCCTCCAGAGCCGGAGCCAGACAGATCACTCGGGGAGCTGCGCCCCGTCGAGGTACCCGACATGGGCTGGGTGGTTGGGATGTAGTTGAAACTCATTTGTTCAGATCGCGACACAGGTAACATTATGGATGATCCTTCTGCCTTCAGTTGGGCAGTGCCCAAGTCTTTCCGAATCTAAGACCGTGCGAGTGCCAAAAATGGACCAGCAAGGTACGTGGTAGAATTGCCTGTTCAAGTGTGTGGCACCAGCATAGAAAAGACAAAAGGACTCGAGGGATCGGATAATTTCGGAGGAATGGCGCGTTGAAGGATTGAGGAGAATCTGAAGATAGAAGTCGGTGTTAGTTGACGTTTCCAAGAGCGGTGTTTGGCAATGTTTGGGGGCGGATGGGAGGGGTTGACGAAGCACTTCCACCACGCCAGAGACATGTCGAGAGATGGAAGAATGTGGGGGAACCTCATACCGATATTGAATCCTTGACAAAAACAGCAGTATCCAGGGTCCTGGATGATAATCTCACCGTTTGGCTGTGCGTGTATGACAATCTGCAGGTGTCCCAAAGCGATCGAGTTAAGCCAAGAAAAGGACACCTTCTATGGCGCAAGTGGTCAAAGGCTCAAAAACGGAAATGCAGGCACAAAGCCAAAAGAAAGATGGAAGAGGATGATCCGAAAGGGATGGCTGGGTGGAATTAGTTGAGGCGGAGCGGAGAGCGGAGAAAGGAAAAGACCAACAGTTGGATTCGTTAGAATGCAAAACAAAAAAGAAAGAGACGTGAAGAAAGTCAAGGGAGG